GCACCATCCTCATCGTCAACTACAACCATCATACCTAGTCGACAGCCATCGGTATACTTGCCCCCATACCCTGCCCCTGGAATGTGATTGGGGCCGGATCCACCCGTGCCTGGGCCCTACCGTCCTCCTTTTCCGTTTTCCGCCTTGTTGGCTTTTCTCTCTCTCACTCTCTCTCCTCTTTCCCCTTCTCCTTCATCAATATTATCTATTATTCGCTCTTTTCGCTCTTTTTCTTTCTTGCCCAGCCTGGTGCTGCGAACTGTCTTCTCTGGTAAGTCTCACACGCAAGTCTGGGGTATTCTTCCTGATCCTTCCCCTTCCCCCTTTGTCTCCTGGCTTAGGCCCCCTCTTCCCTGAGCCTCTGTTTCGCTTCTCTCCACGGGGCGCGACCGTGGTTCTTGGACCCCACGACTACTTTTTTTCGACTTTTCGTTTCGACTGACATTTTCATCAAGCTACGTACTCTCCTTAACAAATCCTGTCGCCATCGAACTCCCTGCCAATCATCTGGGGGATCACTGTCCTGCTATATATCACCTGCACGCCCGACTCGTCTGCAGACTCCCCAGCGACATCGAGCCGGTCCTCATCCGTCCATCCCCTGCGTGAACCTCGTTCATGGTGACTTATACCGAAAAATATTCTCCCAACCCCTCAGGCAAAATGGCCGGATTCCGCCCGAGCAATATTCTCGGTGATCCGTTCGCCCTCGCGACCCTCTCCATCTCCGTCCTGGCATGGCTCATCGCCTTCATCTCGTCCATCATTGGCGATATCGACATCCCCAAATATCCTAACTTCTCGTGGTGGGCCAACTCGTACATGTTCTGCGTGATAATCGGGTTGATCATCGTGTTTGGAACGGATACGGCCCACATCTATGGCGTTGCTGTATGTGTTGACTGGGCGTCCCCCCGCATTGTTGTGATTGGTATAACTAAACGCATCTAGATTGTCGGTTACCTTGCGTGCGGCCTCGTCCTGACCTCATTGAGCGCCAACAATCTGGTCTATGGGAGCGCGGGATCATGGCAAGCCGCTGGAGCTGGTTTTATTCTCCTCTCCATGGTGATCATCGTGTGGATCTTCTACTTCGGCTCAACCCCCCAGGCTTCGCACCGTGGCTTCATCGACTCCTTCGCTCTGAACAAGGAACACCCGGGCTCCTACCGCGACAGCCGCCCAATGTCCGCCCCGTTCACCGCCCGCCCGGAGACCATGGCCACCAGCAACACCCCTCAGATGTACACATCCGCCCAGCTGAGCGGCTTCGAGACCTCGTCGCCCATGTCCGGCTACCCTGGCGGCGCGCCCGGCGCTGAGCAACGCGAGTCAACTGTCTCTCGCTTCGGCGCCACCAGCGCCAGCCCAGGGCCCAATGCGACCGCCCCGGATGTTGGCAGCGAAGTGCCTCAGCCCACCGACTACCCTTATCGCGCCAAGGCCATCTACTCGTATGACGCCAATCCGGAGGACGCCAACGAGATCAGCTTCGGCAAGCACGAGATCCTCGAAGTATCCGACGTGAGCGGCCGATGGTGGCAGGCGAGGAAATCCAACGGAGACACCGGCATCGCGCCCTCAAACTACCTGATCCTCCTGTGATCGTGCAGTTTGTTGTGTTCCTGATGCCCGCTCCATCCCCCCTCATCTCGGGGCTCCCTCCTCTCTGTCGCAAAATCGGTTCCTCATCTCCCCTTGATACCCTTTGGAATCTGATCTCGATGTATGTGTGTGCTGTTGGTGTTGTTGTCTCCTCCCCTATTTAACGTGACGTCTTGATGGCCTCCCTTGTTCTTGTTGTCATATACGGTCCCTTGCTCCCTCTCTATCTCTATCTCTTTGTCTTTTGGAACGTATTTAGTTTGGATGGAATTAGTTATTTATTGTCCTCTCACAAGCGGGTGCCTTGCCCGTGGTATTTTCTTTGATGTGCTTTTGCGTGCTGGTTCAGGTTTCATTCGTTATTGTTGGGGTTCGGCTCGGACCCTCTGACAGAGTGAATACTACATGGAAAGGAAGATCTTAAATATTTCAGGACTGGATCTGCTGTCTCTGCTCTGCGTATCATTTGGGTGTTGTAGTTGGTTACTGGATGTCTTCACTCTCTCAAGTGGAGCGGGTGCCCAGTTCTAGACCGTGGTGAAGAGATTTCGTTCCTGGTCTCGCCCACAACAGGCCTTGCAGCGGAGTTCCACATTCATCATTCCACTCCACTTGTACCACTGCCGATCTACAACATCTCAAGAGATCTGATTATGTATATGCAGGTATGTACAGTATATGTACATACTTTACATACCTTAACCACGTGGGGGATATGCGTCGGAGAATTTATTGTATTTTATACTTGAAATCAAAACCTTCTTCCCACACATCCAATAATCCCCACTCTTCAAAGATTAGTCTTCGAAGTAATCCCATCCCAATCATCACAAAGCCTCGCCCTCTCAGTGCAACTACTACGATTATACCTAAACCCATCAGGCCCAGGCAGCCGCAGAGGCAACTCCCTGCCCACGCATCTACAGCGTTTATTCAAAAAGATAGCTATCTTTCAATAGGATGAGTTTAGGTTTTAGTATACGTACTCTCCTGTAATAAGACATAGTATAGTAAATTTCCACCGATCCAATGGATCAGAAAGATAGACCACGAAGCACCAAGAAAAAGAAGGTGTAGTAGACAGAGTGCATATAGCTTGCAAGCTTGCATCCTCGATCCTTGAAAGGTTATTTACATCTGCGCCGGTTCAATTGCCTTCACAAACTTCGCCGTCACACCCCGGATATATTTGTCCTCCATCAACTTTTGAATAATGGGCTGCGCATTATGTTCATGGAAGGCTTTTTGCCCGGTATATCGCTCAAAGAAATGAAAAATAGTCGGGTCATCACCATCTCGGGCAAGGCAATAATAGATGATGCCCGGTTCGGCCTCGGAGAGTCGGGTGGTCTTGGCGTAGACGACTTCTAACGCGTCTGCGTGCTCTGGGTAGGCATAGACTGTGCCGAAGATGCAAAATTCGTCGTCAGGTAGAGTGGGCAGTTCGGTTAAGAAGTCTTCTTCCGGTACGCGTCGGGGAGCCATTTTGTTCGGTGGCGTTGATTGGGAATTTGTAGGAAGTAAAAAATAGACTGATTGACTGATGGATAGATGATCTGTCGATCTCTTGGGATTGTCAGAGAAAGAGGGAGAGAAAGAGGTGGGGAAAAGAAAGAGTGAGCGGGGGAACGAACAGCTGGCTAAATCCATTATACTCTTTAGCTGTTTGATTGGCTCGATTTGCATTAGAGCGAAAGTTCTACTAGCCACCATGGACTTCTCTATACCAACCAACGCGAAGTAAAATAGGCGGGATTTCCCGCCTAAAAAAGGTCAAGGCGGTCGGGTTGCAGGCGTGCCGCATGGATCTCCAGCACAGACAAGTTCCTGTATGCCTAAAACGGAAATAGGGCCCGACTCTTAGTTCAAGCGACATGCCCGACAGCCTCAACAGATGTCGCGTGGACGGCCAAAAATACCCGCGTCCGTCGCGTAACGGATGTCCTAATCAATTATTCCAGCCATTTTCTGTGGCGACACGGGGCCGCAAAGAGATGGAAGGCAATATCTCCCCGATCCAATGATAGCTCGAAATCGATTTGCCGGAGGGCTGATTGATATTCCGTCTGCCTGCGTTCAGCGCCGTCAATAATATATGGGACGGCAATTCCGACGATACTTCCTTCTTCTCTGCATATTTCGCCACTACGTCCGTACTTTTCTGCCCTCACAAACTCACTGCCGTTCTTAATATGAATGCTCTTGCTCTCAATGGGAGCGACAACCCTTTGCCTCAGCTGTTTGCCAACGATGGCCCATTAGCACCAGAGAGTGTAACCCGTCTTAAACCGTCCTCACCAGACGAGCCCGTTGAGGACCTCCTCGCTCGCCTACACAGAGATGGATACCTGTTTGTCAAACAGCTTCTGCCCCGAGCCGACGTGTTGAAGGCGCGAGAGGAGTATTTCAAGTTCATGTCTCCCACTGGCGTCCTCAAGCCAGGTTCTGTGCCCGTCGATGGTATTTACGATAGCTCAAAGGACACCTCTGCCTTCCCCGGCATCGGCGCCGGCTCAACTGGACAGAACTCTCGCCCTGGCGCGGAGCAGGCCCAGCTATTCGTCGACCTGGCAATACAGGCACATCGGGAGGAGTGGTATACGGAGACATTTTGCCGGAACCCTATCCTGACAGCATTCGTTGCTCGTCTGACTGGCTGGGGCGACAAGACGTTGCTCTTTCAGCGCAGCCTGCTGCGCAACAATATCCCCGGCACGCAGGCCATCGGCGTCCACTATGACCAGATCTTCCTGCGCTGGGGCGACTTGTCGAACCTGACGGCGTGGTGTCCCATGGGAGACATCAGCGTCGATGGCGGGGCCCTGATCTACCTGGAGGGCAGTCAGGAGCTGGGCGAGCAGTTTGAGAAGGACTTCATGGAAAGAGCTAGGAAGGAAGGCTTCTCGGAGACGGAGACCAACAATGCGTTCAACCGCAACATGCTGTCCAACGGACTGCTTTCCAACGATCCGGCTGAGTTTGGGCGTAAATATGGGAAGCGGTGGATGGCGTCCGACTACGAGGCTGGAGATGTGGTGCTCCATTTACCTTATATGGTGAGTCTCGGCAGCAGAGCAGCCAGCTTGAGTGAGCAGCACTGATATTTGGTAGCTCCATGCATCGACCATCAATTATAGCCCCGACAATGTCATCAGACTGGCAACCGATATTCGATTCTGCGACAGTTCCAGACCCTATGATAAGAGATGGTGTCACTTTTTTGATGTGAAGTGAGTGATTTCAAGACATCTTTGCGCAAGAGTATGTTTTTCCAGTTTCGCTAACAGCTATTAACCAGCGACGGTGTATGATCACACCTAAAACCGGGTCCAGATAGGGATTAATCTTCAAACGTTTAGACGCCATCTCATTCAAACAGAAGGGTATTTCCTTTTTCAACCAGCACCGTTCCAAACCTGCTTCAGTGTTTTCGCAATAGGCGCCGTAGGCCACCCTCGCTTATCCTCTGTAAACTCCAGCAAAAAGCACAGCCGCTCCCGATCCTTGTGGTCATCAAAACAGTCTCCACACAAAGCAATCGCCATGCAGGCAATCAAGATGGCCGCAGGGCTCGAGGGGTTCGACAATCCCACACCACACATGAACCAGACGCGCTGTCGCGCCTTTTTCCTTACGTCCTGCATCGCCATGCGATGCGCCGGGTCGTTCCTATCGAGCACAATTCTGGCGAGAGAGAAGAACTGCGCCGCTATGATCTGGTCTTCAGTGGCATAGCGAATATCTGGAAAATCGCTACATCCGTCTCTACAAAAAAAAGGCTGCGGGACACTGTCTGAAGCTCGACGGTTTGACTCGAGAAGATCATAATGCAGTGATCGTGGGCCGTCTCCGTATGCGAACAGAATTGCCTCTGCGCAGTGGAGGGTCGCTGAACAGGCTAGGGAATACCTGTCGCCTGGCTGGACGGCCTGCATCTTGCGAAAGAGCTGCAGGTCCAGACGGATAGATCGGTGGTCTCTTAGTGACATGTAAATCTCCTGTCGAAGACAGGCCCAGTACGCTGCCTGGCGCAGCCCCGAGTCCATGCCAACGCGCTCCTGCGCGCGGGCCAGTGACTGGGCGCCGAGAAGATGACCCTGCGGGTCTGCTCCCATGACAGGCACGTCTATCTCTTCCAGGAGCCGTAGAATCACTACGATAATGAGGAGCGTCTCGTCGAAGACGGACGGTCCGTCGTTGAGTGCGGGTATCAGAGTCCGCAGACAGTCATTATAGTGCCGGTCCGCGACTGTGGGATCGAAGGTGCTGATGCGGCTGAGATGGCGCGCGGACAGGGCGAAGACGGCGCTCAGGAGAGTACTGCATGTGCGGACGCGCTGGGGCACGACGGTTGCGAAGTGGCGCTCCTTGTCACAGAAGTCGAACTAGCGTGGGCAAATTATTAAGGACTTCAACTAGGCATCATGCGGTCTCACTTACAAATAATGATACCTGGTTGATAAAGTGTTGTAGGAGAGTCGCCTCTTCGGGGTCTTGCAATGGCCAGGTTGGCGGATCCAGGTAAATGCGCCTCACGGGGTTCGGCAGATGGGTACCAGCATCTATAATGGTTACATCTTCCCGGATGGAGTGAGCTGTCTGAAACCCAGATTGCACATTGCCTCCAAATGGGTGCAGAGGCACGTCACGCGAAGCAGGTTCGGTCTGAGCTCGGGAAGTAGATACCGGGGTTTGGGATAGCGAAGCGGAAAGAGAAGGCGGGGAAGATGACGCCGGGTTCTCCCCAACTGGAGTCGACCAGGTGGCTTTCTTGCCAAAGAATGTCGGAGCTGCAGTCGTGTTCATATGCGCATTCTTTCCTCCTCGGTCAGCACGGGCAGAATCAGCGCTGGACCCGGCACCAGACGACTCTGCGACGTTGACGAAATTAACCACTCCTGATTTGGTGTCAGTCCACGACTATTGAGAGAAAAGCTTCGCACCCACCCTTCGCAGGCAGAGGGAGCCACGTTTGGCTAGACGAGAACGAGCGCTCGACCCCATGGCGAGAAGCCTTGTAGAACTGGCGGGGCGGCTCGCGCACGCAGTCACGCCCGGCCCGGACACATCGACCACAGCGAGGAAGCCGTCCGTCACCTGGTACAGACTATATCAGCCAGGGCCTTGCCTGGCAAGCACAGTGACCACATAGAGATACTGCTAAGGACCCTACATTTGTAATGGCAGCGCCGACATGCCGTACTGTTTCGACGGTCAGAGGCACATCTTTTTCCATGCTGCTGGGCTAGGAGAACTCACCAACTCATATTTAGCGAATGGAAAAATGCCTGCATATTGATCGTCATCACAGGCCCACCGCGAAGGATCGATGCGATGAACACAGTCAGGGCGAGCTGCCGTTTTAAAACCAATTGTCGTGCTTTTCCCCGCGTTGTGGAATTGTGGAGCTCTGTGGGGTAGGTATAAGCATTTGGAAGGATGGAATTGCCGAGACTACGAATTACCTCTTTGACCCGAACACAACTAAGCCTTGACAACTTGAATATAACGTTGGGATCCGGGCATTGCCTGGATGAATCCAAATTCGACCACCAGAATTGCCTAGGAACACAGATGCAGAGCGACGTAAACAGGCGGTCGGGAGAAGAAGGTCGAGACAGGTCAGCGTCGTAGAGAGAAGTGTAACGGACCCAGACACCATGGAATTTGCCTAGAGGGCGAAGAAACATCTATTGTATCTAGTCCTGAGCAGTTTCAAACCAGCATGCCTGTTGAAGTTATGCAATTAAGATCGATTCTTGCGAGGGCCGTGCAAAGCCGCTCGCCAATAAACTACAGTAGTATAACTATTATTCGACCATAAAAGTTTTCGCTGAATTCGGGTGAGAGAGGCTAGTCAGAGACTTTCAGATGTGCATGAACAACTCGTGCGCGACTAGACTCGATCTTCCCTCATTCGGTGCTCCGCCTCCTAGACCCCTTTTTAGCCGCTCGGGATCTGACGTGGCATGGCAGTCAAGATCGCCGGTGTGATAAGGAGGTTCAAGAAGAACATCTCACGATTAGTCTCAGTACACTGCAAGAAATTCGAGAATTTTGTCGAATGTACATTTGCTTATTGAGAATTGCCGGTATATTACATCGAACATCCACCAGTCTTCCATGGGAGCATAAGTTACTTTACTGTGAGGAGCGTCAGCATTTTGCACAGCCATGCCAAGGCCGCTAACTCGCTCGCATTTTATTCTTATTCTCGAGTCACCCCTCGAATTTCCTTGGTAAAAATAATTTTCAGCACTACCATGCTTCAAAACAGCAATATAAGTCACTCCACTCTGCCTGTTCATCAGTGGAACGAAGGTATGTTATCAGCACCCTGTCAATCCACAATAGCGCTGATGGCGCAGACCACGGTTGGCGAAAACAGGATGTGTGCCTGGAAGATCTACGTACAGATAGTCCATCAAGTCCACCACGAATGATCTCGGAAGACACGAAAGTCTTCATCGTGTGCGTTGAATTTTGGTATTCTCTATATCCAAATCAAACAACTAACTTCACAAGAGTTCCGAGCGAATATCATGTCCGCGCAAGTCAGCAATCTCGGCAGTTGTTCATAGATAGCTTTCGCATGCCTCATGTATGGTGGTCCGATCATATCCATAATGCGAACGGATATTTTGGCTGTGAGACGACTCGTGATGCGGGCAACATCACCGGCTTCAGTAAGTTCTTTAGATGTGTATAGAAAGAAAGCGTGCTAAGAAAACTAGACACATGGGCGTACTTCGAAGTCAAGCATTTAACTAAGGATCTGAAGTACCATTGGTCTACTGTCAGACTTTTCACGCGATGGCTACCCTCAACCAATCAGACTGGCATTCTCCTGTTCGATTCAACCGAAGATATATGGAACTCGCTGTTGACCCCCGACCTAGATCGGCTCAAAGACCCATTCTGGGTGTACTCGTGCGTTTTAGAAGAGGTTTCTCGTCTAGAAGAACGCGCTGTATGGAATATCCGCGATCAGGTTCGAGAACTCGAGAAAGCGCCCCCGCCATCAGGTTGGAAGCCACAGCCCAACTATCGGCAATTACATGATATTGCTCGGCATTCAATACATGTTACTGAGTCCCTTGAAGTGACAGTGCAGAATGTTGAGCATATTGTTAGACAGCATGAAATTTTTGTCAACACATGGACAGATTGTCAAGCGGAGACAACTCATCTGGAAATGTCAAGGCGATTAGCATTTTTTCAGAGCTACATTGGCAGTATACGACTCCGCTCAGTATCAAATGAGAAGCGCCTGCAGAATGAAATCCAGCTAGCATTCAATATCGTCGCTCAGCATGATGCAGGCCTTACAGTTGACATAAGCCGCGCTGCACGTTCAGACAGCGCGACAATGAAGACTCTTGCGTTTGTTACCCTTACGTTTCTACCTCCAACCTTCATCTCCGCAATTTTCAGTATGTCATTCTTCAATTACGACACCGGTTCAGGCTGGAGTGTCTCTAACAAGATCTGGATATACTGGGCGATCGCCATTCCAACCACTGTTGCAACAGCTCTTGTGTGGAACTGCTGGCCCAAGTACTTCCCCGGTGATACTGAGAACGTCCATTATAAAGAGGCCAAAACCGTATTGTCGAAAAGTGGTGGAGGTGATTTTGTTAACCATGAACGTATGCAGTGTTAAAATCATAGTCATTAGTTAGAGTGTTTCAGGCTCAAGTCCTATTTCGACAATATACTCTAGTTCCATATCCCATCCGAGCAGCACGAGAGATTTGACCTTTGTTCTAATTGGGGAGGTAGGCAGGCAACTGTTTCCCGGCCATAGTGAAGGACCCAGACTCGACTCTACCAAATGTTAACCACCTCCATGGCGTTGAGTATAGGTGTAACTGTTGCACTCAATTCAGATAGCCTCAATTTTTTGTCAGCGCGGCACCGGACACTTTGCTAAGTATTAGCTAAGTGGGTAGCTGACACGGAGCATGAAATGATTGGAGTTCAAGGTGATCTTCGAACACCCAGCCCCTTGGCTCCTGCACATAGCCACAACGCGATGTTATAGAGCTAGACCTAAAATGTGAAAGAGAGGCAAACATTCTAGATTCTGCAATAATATATATTGCACAAGCTTGCTCTTCGGGTATCAGCAATAAACCAATAGCGCTGAAACTGATGCTTTGTTCCGAAGGCCGAACGTGGGCATGAGAGGTCCCTCCTTTGGCTGGCGCCTGGCTGTTACAATCCCTGCAACCGCCAACTAACCAAGTGGCAGTAGCTTGCAGACGGACCTCCAGCCACCTCCAATTAACCAATCAGCCAAGACTAGAATAGACGAATCAGAAGACGAAAACGAGAGCCTGATTTTTGGCCACTCAAGGCATGAGGCTGATTATGAAGTAACCCCATCGCACTCCCAGGGGCTGCTGTAGCTGCCTGATGCGTGGTCAATTTTCTCGTTTATCCTACCAAACGCAAAGAAAACCTGGCCGGCAATACTTGCGATAATCGCCATTTACCAGACCTCTTTCCTACTATTCACCAGTCTCTACCCCTGCAGATCTTTACACGCCGAGCCAAGTTGTGGCTCCTAAGTCGTCGCCAGATGGATATCTCTCCGAGAGGAGAACATACTGAGAGCTTATCTCACTTGCCAAAACGACAAAAGATGTTCCACCATGGCGATTCGCCCTCCCCGCGACGCGATCAATACACCATCGCCTGGATATGCGCGCTGCCTATTGAGATGGCAGCGGCTCAAGCCGTGTTAGATGAGATTCACGAATCTCTGCCTATCCATGCAGACGACAGCAACACTTACGTACTGGGAAGCATCAAGGGACACAATGTCGTTATTGCGTGTTTACCGTCAGACCAGTATGGAATAATTAACGCGGCAAACGTCGTGACAAATACGAGGCGAACGTTCACCGCAATCCGAGTGGGTTTGATGGTCGGGATTGGTGGTGGCGTGCCGGGTAAGGTTGATGTACGATTGGGTGACATCGTTGTCGGAAGCAGGGTGATGCAAACCGATCTTGGAAAAATCGTCAGAGACGGCAAGTTGGAGCATACAGGGATCCCTAGGCTTCCTCACCAATTGCTTGGGACAGTCGTGTCTACCCTCCGTGCGAAACACGAACTGGGGCCGAGTCGAGTCCCATCTATCCTACAGCAGAAGCTAGAAGAATATGGGTACGGTCATCCGAGATCACCAGATCGTCTCTTCCTCGCGGCGTATCATCACGAAGGTTCAGCGGTCAATTGTGACGAATGCGACCATTCAAAGCTGGTGCCACGAACCGCAAGGATGTCGGATGATCCAATGGTTCATTACGGTGCGGTCGCTTCAGGGAGCCAAGTCATGAAAAACGGCGTTATCCGGGACGAAGTTGCTAGACAACTGAATGTCATATGCTTCGAAATGGAGGCTGCTGGCCTGATGGATATTCTACCTTGTCTACCAATCCGGGGGATCTGCGACTACGCTGATTCTCATAAGAGCAAAGAATGGCAAAAATATGCTGCAGCAACTGCAGCCGCATACGCAAGGGAGTTGCTCGAAGAACTACCTGTGATCGAAGCGTATGGAAAAGAGGCAGACGTACTCAATCCTGGTAAGTAAGCTTGGTCGTCTTGAGAATTACTTGGGCTCATTCTCACACCAAATATGTAGATCATTGTCCATCGCAAGAACGGGCGAGCTTTCTAGATTCTCTCAAGTTCGAGCAAATTGATGCTCGTAAATCAAGCATTGAGACGGCTCACGCCAAAACATGTCGATGGTTCCACAGTCATCCTGACTACAAAGCGTGGCTGGATCCAGCAAAATTGACGCAACATCATGGTTTTCTATGGATTAGTGGTAAGCCCGGTGCTGGCAAGTCAACAATCATGAAGTTCGCATACTTGAGCATGAGGAACAAGGCCCGCCACAATAATGCCATCAGTGCCTCCTATTTCTTCAACGCTCGTGGCGAACTGTTGGAAAAGTCAATTTCCGGGATGTATCGATCATTGCTGCTTCAGCTGCTTCAAGGATTCCCTGACTTACAGACGGTTTTGGACGATCCCGAGCTCGTTTCCCAATGCCAGAATGCCTGCCCTTCCTTGAATGTTCTCAAGGACCTCCTTTTCAACGCGGTGTCTGCTCTCGGTCAACGCTCGTTTACCTGCTTCGTCGATGCGCTCGACGAGTGTGATGAACAACAAGTCGTGGACATGATCCAGTACTTTGAGGACCTTGCAGAACACTCCGTGACCAAAGGGGTGCCGCTCCGAATCTGCTTCTCTAGTCGACATTATCCCTACATTACCATTCAACGGGGAATTCGACTTACACTAGAGCATCAGCCGGGTCATGCGGAAGACTTGGAGGCTTATGTCTCGAGCCGCCTCCGAATCGAAGACACTGCGCTTTTCGAAGAGCTACGACCCCAAATTCTCGGTAAAGCTGATGGTGTTTTCATGTGGGTCGTACTAGTTGTCGATATTCTCAACAAAGAGTATCGTAGAGGTGCAATGGCCCTGAGAAGGAGACTCGCAGAAATCCCAAGTCATTTGAGCGACCTGTTCAAAGACATCTTGAGACGTGACAATGAGAATATGGAAGAACTTCTGCTTTGTATTCTCTGGATACTTTGCGCAAAGCGGCCTTTGCAACCGAAGGAGTTCTATCATGCTCTCTGGTCTGGTTTGACATCGCAGGGTATGGTTGATTACGTCGATAGCGAAATCCCAGATGTCTCAGTCCCAGCTACAAGTGGCAGCGTCTCCCGATGTCATAGATATGTTATTAGCTGCTCAAAGGGACTTGCTGAGGTCACAAAATCCGAGCGGCCATCAGTTCAATTCATTCACGAGTCTGTTCGAGACTTCTTTATCAAAGACAACGGTCTGCATGAGTTGTGGCCCGAACTTGGGTTCAACTGGGAAAGTCTAAGCCATGAGAAACTCAAACATTGTTGCAACATCTATATGACTCATACCGTTGTGCGAACATTTGTTAGCCACCAGCTGTCGGAGCCAAAATCGAATAGTCGGACGGAAATTTCGAACAAGTACCCGTTTCTGGAGTATGCCTGTCAGCATATCCTCTACCATGCCAACGCTGCGGCCAAAGTGGTTCCTCAAGACGATTTTCTGTCTTTCTTTGATATTCCCCACTGGGTCAGTATCCACAATCTCTTCGAAAAGTTCAAGATTCGCAAATATAGCCGAGAAGCAAACCTCTTCTACATCCTCGCAGAAAGAGGACTCCCCGAGCTCATCCGTACAAGGCTTAAAGAGGACCCAGACATCGATGTTCTTGGGGAGAGATATAGGTACCCGCTATTTGCTGCTTTAGCCAGTGGTAACAGAGACACTGTTGCGGCTCTTTTGAACTCGTCTTCGAACATTTATGACGGAGTCGACATTATGGAGGGCCTCAACTATAGGCAAGCCTTGAAGGAATATAAAAATCGAACACCGCTATCTTGGGCTGCTCAGGACGGTCGGGCAGTGATTGTTAAGTTACTTCTCCGAACAAGAACGACCGTCAATGGGGTGGATAGAGGAGGTCAAACGCCTCTTTCACTAGCCTCAGGACTTGGCCACGAAGTCGTGGTGAAGCTTCTTATCGACCAAGGAGCAGATGTCAACGCGAACAATAAAAATGGATCGACACCACTTTCATGGGCCTCAGAGAAGGGCTATGAGGTTATAGCGAGGCTTCTTATCGACCAAGGGGCAGAAGTCAACGCTAGTGACAATTCTAGACGGACACCGCTTTCTTGGGCCTCAGAGATGGGCTATGAGGTTATAGCGAGGCTTCTTATCGACCAAGGAGCAGATATCAACGCTAGTGACCATTGGGGACGGACACCGCTTTCTCGGGCCTCAATGAATGGCCATGAGACTGTAGCGAGGCTTCTTATCGACCAAGGAGCGGATGTCAACACGAACGATGAATCTGGATTGACATCACTATCATGGGCCGCAATGAATGGCCATGAGGCTGTAGCGAGGCTTCTTATCGACCAAGGAGCGGATGTCAACGCGAACGGTGAATCTAGATCGATACCACTTTCATGGGCCTCAATTAATGGCCATGAGACTGTAGCGAGGCTTCTTATCGACCAAGGAGCGGATGTCAACACGAACGATGAATCTGGATTGACATCACTATCATGGGCCGCAATGAATGGCCATGAGGCTGTAGCGAGGCTTCTTATCGACCAAGGAGCGGATGTCAATGCGAACGATGAATGTGGATCGACACCACTTTTATGGGCCTCAACGTATGGCTATGAAGCTATGGCGAGGCTTCTTGTCGACCAAGGAGCGGATGTCAACGCGAACGATGAAGTTGGATTGACACCACTTTCATGGGCCTCAGAGAAGGGCTATGAGGTTATAGCGAGGCTTCTTATCGACCAAGGGGCAGAAGTCAACGCTAGTGACCATTGGGGACGGACACCGCTTTCTCGGGCCTCAGAGAAGGGCTATGAGGTTATAGCGAGGCTTCTTATCGACCAAGGGGCAGAAGTCAACGCTAGTGACCATTCTAGACGGACACCGCTTTCTTGGGCCTCAGAGAAGGGCTATGAGGTTATAGCGAGGCTTCTTATCGACCAAGGAGCAGATATCAACGCTAGTGACCATTGGGGACGGACACCGCTTTCTCGGGCCGTATTGAATGACCACGAGGTCGTAACGAGGCTTCTTATCGACCATGGGGCAGATGTCAATGCCGCTGGCATAAACCATGGCCTCTACAACAAAACCTGAACACCGTTTCTTCCATTCGAAAGAGATACAATAATCCAAGGGCCTGCTTGTTAAATTTTTCTTCCGGTTACGAGTCAAGCTTAACCACAACCGCAGTTCAATTCTTGAGTCTAAAAAAAAAACTCTGAGTTTTCAGCAATAATGCTGCCCAACTATCCTGTTCTACCATCCATAGTAATGGAGGCAGAGGCGGAAACAGACAGACTCTTGCTTGTTGCTGAGATCCAAATCCATGGTTCGTACCACCTGGTGAAAATAAACTAATCCACAGAGATGTAAAGTTTTTCATAATTATTGGTATTATACTAGAAGCTACCCCAAGCTTGTGACTACTCAGAGCTCATCTTTCTTCCCATCAGCCTGCTGCCTCAAGCGCAGCATCACCACACCGTGGGCTTTCGCATGCACCGTGATTTTACCGCCAGGTTGCACGGCCCCGACATGGGTGCCCATCAGCGCCGTGCTATTCGACGGCGGTGTCTGCGCGTAGACTTCTCTGGGTGAGCCACCGTGGATAGTCATGTTGAACGGAATTGTCGCGTTGCCGGCAATGATACCCGCAGCCCTGGTGTTCGACATGCGGTTCGCCCACAAGTCGTAAATGTCCCACGCCTCCTGAATCTGCGACGCGGTGCCACCCACACCGCTCTCCCAGAAGATCTCCTTGAGCGTGGCGTTCATCTCGCGGTCCTTTGTGCCCGCGTTGAGGAACAGAACCAGCTGGTCGCCGCCTGAGAGAGGGCCCGTGAAGAGCTGGATCTCGCCCTGGCCGAAGACGTCGGTGTCGTCGACGTAGTAGCGCCACCGGCGGGTCGCGGATGAGCCAGCCGAATCCTGCGAGACGGCTAGCACGGCCGTGTTCTGCAGGATTGATAGTGTGCGGCCGTCAATCTTCGCAAAGACATTGGTCATGATCATGGGCGACTTCATGGCTGCCCAAAGGGAGAAGTGCGTAATGTACTCCTCGTCCGTCATTGCACCATTGCCAACCTCTGTTACAGGAGAAGTTAGCTTCCAAGTTTCTTTCTGAAGGGATGGAAGTTGCGATTGTGAGACCTACGGAGGAGATCCAAGTCATTCCAAGCTCCGGGGAAGGCCTTGGAGGGGAAGTAAACGACCTTGTTCAGGACGTTCATCAAGGAACAGTAAAAGCCGGGAACCTTGCAGTCCAGTCCCTCCTTCTCGACGCAAGGGCACTGCGGATCATCCCGGTCAAAAGTGTCTATCAGGTCTCCAGCGATACGCCATGAGTTGGCAATGGTGGGACCAAAGAGCCACGGGCCATCAACACCCCAGTTGCACATGCTGTACAGAATGGGCCGGCCGGTCTTGTTGAGAGCCATGCTCATGGCATTGTAGCGGTCAAAAGACAGCTTCTCCGTGCCCTCCTGGCCCTCGTTGAAGCAATTGTCGTACTTGAGGTAGTCGATGCCCCATTCAGCCCAGACAGCGGCGTCCTTGTCCTCGTATCCAAGAGAGCCGGCGTAGCGTGCGCAGGTTAGGGTGCCGGCGCTGGAGTAGATGCCAATCTTCATTCCAAGGTCGTGGATCTGGTCTGCGAGGCCTTTAATGCCGTCGGGGAACTTGGTCATGTTGGGTTGCAGGTAGCCGGTGGCGTTGCGGCCATCGGACCAGCAGTCGTCCAGGATGATGTATTCGTAGCCAATGTCCTTGAAGCCGTACTTCGCGATCTGCCTGGCCGTGTCCATGATGACACTGGCGTCGAGATCGCAGCCAAAGGAGCTCCAGGTGTTCTGTTTGAAGAGGTGTTAGCCCAGCCACTCATAGGTCGGCCGATTATCGTGGTCCAGATGTCGAGACATACCCATCCCATTTGGGGAGTGAGGGCGAGGCCATTGTCTGACGCAGAGACAGTTCCAATGTTGACGATGGCAGCCAACACGACCCCACCGAGTTCCAATCGCACCATGCTGGGATGAAAATCCGTGTGATGGGCCTTTAGCTTGTTTGATCCCTATTCTGGTTCTGGAATTGACATGCAAACCAGCTCTTGAACGCAAGGCGAGGGGCGATCGACATCACGCAAAAAGTGCGACCTCACTCACATATTAATAGGCGGGCCGCCAGTCACCCAGCAGAGCTCAACAGCAGTGAGTCCCGCAGCTGATGCCACTCGGGGCATTACTTGCTCGCAAAGCATCGTTAGTCGGATGGATTTTTGGTGATCTTGGCCTCCCCGCACATCGAGTCGGCCCCATATTCCCATTTAGGGAAGATGCGGAGAAGCAGATGCGTACTCAAGCCCCGATCTAGAGGACTAGGAAATTGACTACAGTTCTTCAATCGGCTTTCATCTGCCAAGGCGGGTATTTCCCTGGCCTGAAGCGGTAACTGGCTACGACTCTGCCAGAGGACTCAGCAGCCGGCATACAGTATTGATGCGTTCCATCTGTAGTATGCCCTAGCTAATATCGCGGTCAGACTTAATTTGGCTGGAGGGGACGAAGCAAATTCTGAGGCATCCGGGCCTGGCGAAGTATATGAGGGCCGCTTCCTCCCCCAGTGAAATCAGTACTTCATGGTCCCGGATGATTTGAGCCAAAAGTTTCATTTTCTGAGGCCCTCTGTCCTCCAAGTGATAAGCAACTATCGCTTCCATCAGGTCACTCTTCCAGCGTCCTCAAGATGAAGCCCATTGGCAACATCTACGCCATCGCCGCCGTCGCGATTGTTGGCGGTGGCCTGTTTGGTTTTGACATCTCCTCCATGTCTGCCATGTAAGTCCTGCAGCAGGTAATAGCTGCCCTCCCCCCGACATCATACTGACCACCACGCCCTTCCAGCATCTCCACACAGCAATTTCTCTGCTACTTCAACCAGTACCCCGAGACATACGATCCGACCAAAGACGTTCAGCAGTGTGCTGGCCCTAGGCCAGATGTCCAGGGCGGCATCGTTGCATCCATGGCCGGGGGCTCGTTCCTCGGCGCGGTCATCTCTGGTTCCCTGTCTGACATTTTCGGCCGCAAGACGTCTATTCAGGTTGGCTCCGTCATCTGGTACGCCCTTAGTCCACCTTCTATCTTGTTGTTGTGCTAACCACCAGCTTAGGTGTGTCGGCTCAGTCCTGGTCTGCGCCGCGCAGAACATCCCCATGCTCATCGTCGGCCGCATCATCAACGGCATCTCCGTCGGAATATGCTCCGCCCAGGTCCCCGTCTACATCACCGAGATTGCACCTCCCACCAAACGTGGCCGCCTCGTCGGCGCCCAACAGTGGGCTATTACTTGGGGCATCCTCATCATGTACTACATCTCTTATGGGTGCTCCTTCATAGGCACCCACGAGCACCCACCATCGCCCACCGCGTTCAGGATCCCCTGGGGCCTGCAGATGATCCCCGCCATCTTCCTGTTCTTTGCCATGTTCCTGCTTCCCGAGTCGCCGCGCTGGCTGGCCAAAAAGGACAGGTGGGAGGAGGCCGAGGATGTCATTGCTCTGGTGCATGCCAAGGGCGATAAGACGCACGCCTTTGTCGTCTCAGAGATGCAAGAGATCAAGGACTTCTGCCAGTTTGAGAGAGAGAACGCCGATGTGACCTGGCTAGAGCTAGTCAAGCCCAACATGATCTGGCGGACGCATATTGCCATATTCACCCAGTTCTGGTCTCAGCTAACCGGCATGAACGTCATCATGTACTATGTTACCTACGTCTTCGCCATGGTAAGCTGCTTCCCATTCAAATCGCGACCTCCAACGACGCGCTTTGTGCTGACCATTTTTCTCTAGGCCGGCCTCTCTGGAAATGCCGGGCTCATCGCATCATCAATCAACTACGTGATCAATGTCTGCATGACAATTCCAGCTCTCCTGTTCATTGACCGCATTGGTCGACGCCCTGCTCTTGTAGGTGGTGCAATATCCCTGTCCATCTGGTGGTATGCCACGGCCGGTATTCTCGCTACCTACGGCCATGCTGCCCCGCCAGGAGGTCTGCACCATGTCTCTGCCGAGTCGTGGGTGATCTCTGGGCACGCGTCAAAGGCCGTCATTGCTGCATCGTATCTCATTGTAGCCTCATTTGCCCCAACCTGGGGCCCCGTGTCGTGGACATACCCGCCCGAGCTGTTCCCTCTTCGCCTCCGTGCCAAGGGCGTGTCCATCTCTACTGCAGCCTGCTGGGCCATGAATTTTGCGCTTGGATACTTCACTCCACCAGCGTTTGTCAATATTGCTTGGAAAACCTACCTTGGTCAGTGCATATCCAACGATATAGCCCCTACTTGCTCTCGTGTCGGAACCCTGCCTAACATTGTCTTAGTTTTTGGTGTCTTTTGCACTGTCATGGCAATTCACTCTTTCCTGTGCTTCCCTGAGACAGCCGGCAAGCCGCTGGAAGAGGTCGAGGAGATCTTTGCTCTCAACACTCCAGCCTGGAAGACAAAGGGCGGCTTCGCTCAAGGGCGAGAGATGGAGAAGGGTGAGCGCGCTACTGAGAAGCAGTTGCAGTTTGCGATGCACAAGGAGGACGCGTAGGTCTGAGAGTGGCGGCCTGTTCGAGCTAACCAGAAACCTGGCTAAGTGATGGGCGCAAGGAGCTCAGGGGAAGTCAGACAAGGAGAGAGATCACGAAGGGGAAAGGCTATCTACTTTCAGTCAGGTTTTATTCAGTCCGACATAGCCCCATGAGCATGTCGAAGCATAATGTTTGTTACCTAAGCATTCTGTCGCGCTGCCCCACGCACGTGGAGATTGTGGCTGTCAGTCAGGCCCCCAGCCCCTACTAGAGGCCCCCCCAAACTTTTATCTATGCCCCATCAGACGGGTTATCTTGCCCTTCACTCTGGGATGAATCCATCCGTCAAACCAGCACCCCTAACTATGAGTCGTTTCTGAAAGTGCTCAATTCTGGCCGAGTAGGCCGCATCTCCAAGCCGCCTGGCTTTCTTCAAGTCTCGCATTTCCTTTCCTTTCTCCACCCGTTGGAGTCAACCACCAACATTTCTACAATGCCCGCTACAGTTGCGCAGATTCTCGCGCCTTACGAAGACCAACCGGAGCTCGTGGAGCGTATAGCATGGCGAACGGTACACCCTCCCATTACCATAATTGAGCCCAACCCAGAATGGCCGCACCGGTTCGAAGACGTCAAAGAGCGGATTCAAAAGGCCTTGGGGCCCTTGATCTTGGATATCGCTCATTCCGGCTCTACCAGTGTTCCTGGCCTACCAGCTAAAGACATTATCGATGTTGATCTGTCACTGAAAGATGCAACGGATGAGGCATCCTATGTGAAGCCTCTGGAAGAGGCAGGCTTCCGGTTCCTCCTCCGCGAGCCGCGATGGCACCAGCACCGGTTTTTCGTGGAGAATTGGCCCAAAGCCTATCACGTCAATCTCCACGTGTGGGGCCCCGACTCGCCCGAGGTTGTCCGACATCGTATCTTTCGCGAATGGTTACTCAAAACGCCAGCCGATATAGAACTGTATGCCAAAGTGAAACGCGAAGCGGCTGAAGAGACGGCTTTAGCTGGAGATTCGATGATGGAATATACCAAACGGAAAGATAAAACGATCCAAGAGATCCTAGAAAGAGCATTCCGTGATTTGGGCTACATTGAATGAGACTTTTGGATGATTTAATTGGTGTTGTCGGAATTGAAGATGAGCATGGGAGCTTGCAAGTCATTAACCGCTGTCCGCTTAACGTTGCCCTTACCCCACACACCTCGTGTCTCTAAACAAAACAAACAGTAAAGCATTGTTTGAGTTTTGCAATGTCTGTAGTTAGGTCAAGTCTGCTTCTTTCACTGAAATGGACAGCTTAGCACCAGCAGCATTGAATCCATTCCAGCTCTGGAGCCGGATTGGCTTGAGCACCACTTACTCCCCGAGATTCTGCATACGATTGTAGAGAAGCCGGACCTCTACCTCGATGAGAAGGCATGATTGGGACCGCATAGCAGTCCATATTCGAAACGCTGTGCGATGACCGCGTTGAAAAAACGAACGAGCTGAGAGACTGTCAAAGACAGTTTATCGCTTTCGCGTCATGCAGCGAAAACTACGCGAGACTAAAGTGCCGACCCATGATTTAAGTTGCAGCCCAGCTGACGTGCTTCGATTCAACGTCAAGAAATCCAAAAGAATAGGGCGGGAATAGGGAGAATGTGTGGAAGAGATAGAAAATAGACTTATTACAAACGGAGGTAGCCTGTTGGTATAGTACATGTGAATATGGACTTGAATTACGTACGCCGAGTCCAATTTTGGTTTTGAATGAATGCATCAAGATCCAGTATCAGATTCTTCAATGATTGTCGAAAATTTGCGTAGAACCTGCTTCAATGCAGGCCTGCGAATGGGTTTGCTGTTTCAATTAGCACTAAGTCAAAAATGGATAAGGATGCATTTACTAACCTTATGAACATGTCCATCCCCGAGTCCATACAGTCCTTGATGTTGCTTTCTTCCGCGAATGCACTCAAGGCGACAATGGGGGCTGAGTAGCCCATCTGTCGGATAAGGCGTGTGCTTTGAAGACCATCAAGATTCGGCATCTACAATAATGAGCATCATTAATGACGACAGACATCGCCGTGAAAAACTTACTTGGATGTCCATGAAAATAAGATCAAAGACCTCGCCTTTATCCATGTGAGATTTAACGGTGTCATATGCTTCCTGGCCGTCTTTGACAATTGTCACATCGTAAACCTCTTCAAGCGCAAGCATCCTGGTCAGGGTTAGCAATAAATTCCATCCCATTGCTTGTAGGCATTTAGAACATACCGTCTCACGACTTCCTGGTTCACAGTGTTGTCTTCAGCCACCAATACTTGAATCTTATTGGACTCGTTTCCCTTGCTGGTTGGCACCTGACTAGGAGGAATGTTGTTTGAATTTGAAGCAGGAGACGAAGGAACGGTAGGGGCGAAGAAAGGTTGGCTAAAGCCAACCAAGCGTGGTTGAATTTCCGACTTCTCAAACCCTGGAGCAGGCGCATGGGTCTCATTCCTCACTGAGCCGTGATTCGAGGGCGTTCGTGCAGTGTGGGAGAAATCTTCCAAAGACAGCACACTCGGGGTTCGAGACCCTGGAATGCTAGATGTCCGCAAACTTGGTGTCAACTCTTTGACAAAGCCCAGTGGAATTCTCAATGTGAAACGAGAGCCTTTGCCCTCCTCGCTGTCCAGCAAAATATCACCACCCATGATACGGGACAATTGAGCACAAATGCTGAGCCCCAGGCCAGTTCCGCCGTATTTGCGATTTAGCCCCAGGTCACCTTGAACGAATGGATCAAAGATCCGTCGATGTAAGTTGGCGGGTATGCCTGGTCCATTATCCTGGACTTCAAATTCAAATGTGACTTGACGAAGGTTGGGTTGGGTGGTTCTCAGTGGTTCAAGATGATTCTCAGTTCCACCGGCTGTGTCTGGAACAGAGGAGCCTAGGCTTGACGCGGTCTGCGGTCGTAATCGATGATCATTGCGAGACCAACCTATCGGGGTAACCTGGTTATCAAGCCCGGGGGCTTCTTCGAGAAGTCGAATCCGTACTTCCACCTTTCCCTTCTCGGGTGTGAACTTGAGACTGTTGCTAACCAGGTTGATCATCACTTGGAGGATGCGATGTTGATCACCCCACAAAACCATATCGGCTAGTCTGCCCGGTTGTACTGAGCTAGAACTTGCGTGTGCCAGGTCGAGTGATCGCTCACGGCACAAAGTACCTCTGGGCTCAGTGATCCCAGCGGAGACGAAGTTGACGCTAAAGTCGATTTGCTTCTCATGAACCTGATTTTGGAAGATAATGGCCAGTTGGGATCGGATATCGGACATTTTGAACTCTCTCTTCTCAATCGTGATAGCCTGGTCGATTTGATTCTTGCTGAAGGTGAGCAAATCGTTCAACAGATGCAATAGGAGATCACCTGATTGATAGACCACTTGAAGTGATTTCTTAATTCGAGACAGATCGTCCTCCCCCATGCATACCGCGCACATGCCAAGGATTCCATTCAGGGGAGTTTTGAGCTCGTGGGAAATGTTGGCTATGAAGAGTGTTTTGCTTTCATTGGCAGTCTCTGCGGCCAGCTTCGCCTTCTCAAGCTCTCGGGTCCGCTCGGCTACCCGCTCCTCTAGTCGGTTATACTGAATGGTCAACTCGTCCGACATCTCATTGAATGTTTTGGTGAGTTCCGTGAGCTCGTCTGTTACGCAATGCTTGTGCTCCTTGACCCTGCCTGGGATTTGGAAATTACGAGAAGTCGGGACCGTGCTAATGCTGGCCGAACTGTTGAGTCTTGCAAGCAGGCGTGGCAGGCGCTTTACCCACGTGGCAGGCGACCCTTTCTCGTTCAAATGTTCCTCGATAGCTTCGAATGTCTCCGTGTGATCGTCTTCGGTATCCAGTCCGGCTCTCTGTAACTCGCGCATCGAAAGGGGCGCGATCTCGGGCTCGACTGATTTCTTTGCGGCTTCACGCAGCCTCCGAATAGGAGCAACCGCCCAGTGGGTCAAGATAGGAACGATGACGATTATCGCGCCTGCAGTGCCAAAGACACAAGCAAGAATAATCTTGCGGAGTCGAACAACAGGTGCGAATGCTTCAGAGTGCGTTTCCTCCACGAGAAGAATCCACTCTACAAGTGAGTTTTGGGGACGGGCGGCGCCGACAGCAACATCGAACCCTTTTTCGTTTACAGTTGACAGCCGGCTGATTGACTTGGTCACGTCATTATATGGCTGGGTCATGACTTTGAGGACCATTGGGTATGAAGAGAGGACAAATGGTGTATCCGTCGATACGCCAGCGTGTCTACTAACTTGATCAGGTAGCGGAGTGGGCTCGAAGATATAATGCACTTGTGCTTGAGCAAGGGCCGCTGCGTCGGGCGCGGATGTGGCTGTTGCGGGTTGACTAGTAGAAGCGAAGGTGTTTTCTAGCCGATCAGGGCCAATGAGGAGGACCTGTCCGCTGGTCCCGAGCCCATCTCGTGAACTCACGACGCTCTGTAGGCTGGCTGCGCTCGCGACCACACTGGATGTCGTTAGTATATACGACGCATCAACCCTTCGACGGTCCTTAACAGTAAATCAGCTACTCACGTCATATATCCCAGGAGATCAGAGTCCGAGGTGTTATTAACAATAGGCAGGGTCAAGGAAAGGAGCGAGAAGGAGGAGTTGACTTTCAGGGGACCCAAAACCAGTGCGGCATTCAAACCAAGGGGAAAGTCACTGAAGGCATATGCGGTAATAGAACCGTTGTCGCCCGTAGTTACATATGTCAGGTTCGGATACAGCGAAGGAGGATAGCCGAGGCCATCATCTCCCAGCATCACCGAGCTGCCATTCGCGGCCACATATGGAAGGGTGATGTTCGGAGCGGTATCGCTGGTGACGTTGAGTAATGCTTCGACGCCTCCTTGTCCGTCCTTTGAATAAATTTTGGCCTGATATAGACTCAAGTCTCCCCGCGTCCCCAATGCCGATTGCACGTCAGCGATGGAATCCACCCAGTTCGAATCCGATCTGTTTCCCGCATAGTACCGTTTCAAGGCTGACTGGATGAGTATTCTCGTCGCGATGGTCTTGCTGGTGGTTTCGAGGAGGTTCAGGTTGGAGGCGACCTGACTGGCCTTGATGGTCGCAACGAGTTCAAGGCTCTGTGATCTGTCGCTAGGTTAGGTCCTAGTTAAGAATGTGAAGAGCCCGAATCATCACGTACTCAATCCCCACTACAAAATCATAGGTGGTGAACCACTAAGCAGATCATTAGTCGATCTACTGGGTCATAGGGAAAAGTGAGAGCTTACCGTTGCAATCGCGAGTGCAGCGACACCCAAGATAGCCGTCAACAGCACCAGCACCCCTAGCTGCACGGCAATTGGAATGCGCATCTGGTCACAGCCATGCGACCGAGCCTATAAAGCACAAAGGCCTTCTGGTCCGATAAAAATCCCTAGACGGAGCGATTCAAGATAGATGAATCCACCGGCCTCAAAGAGGGCTCGAGATGCATGCCTGATTGATTGCCAAGTCAGGGCGCTGAAAGGGAACAGGGTTCGCAGAACTGCGTAACACCTACATAAGTTTCGCAACGAGGATAGCCTCCTAATTTCCTCTTTCGAGGTTTTAGGGTTTTCGAAACGATCTCAAGTCATGAAAAGAATTCATTGAAAGGAACGAAATGGAACTAAATGAGATGGAACTCGGGCTTGGCACGTAAGACAAGGGGAAGCGAACGAGAGTCTAGACAGGACTAGATGCATCGAGTGGCGGGCCGAGAGTGCATTAAAAATTTTGCCAATAAGTGTCAAACGGTGTCCGCGAAGGCGAAATTAGGCAAGGCCGAGACTTAAAGCGCCATTAACCTGCTTTTAACCTATTTCGTCGGTCTTTTTCTGCGAAAACCGTTGGCTTTGCAAATCCCCTAGGGCCAAGGTGAAAATTGCCGACGGGCTCACTCCCACGATTGGCCGCAATGAACTTCTGTGGCATTGCTCGCTCTTTGACGTCTCAGATTATGTAGTTGATTGGCTATAGTAGCTATTTAGGACATTAATTATTCAATCAAGAGGATAAAAAGCAGAGAGGAAACTGATTTCGATCCATCCTGTAATCAATCTATCAACCATGGAAATTGCCGCCGATCAGAGCTAGAATTCTGCCTTAGGCAGTTGTTAGACTAGAGGTACAACATGTATGGTTAGCCCAAGGACGCCGCCCCAATTTTAGCGCGTATACGATGCGTCCCCCTTTATTGTTTTTATTTACTCAACATTTTTCCTTTGCCATTTTTTTGCTAAAAGGGTCACGTGTTTCTAGTTCAAACTAGGCACTACAGGACTACTACTTTGGGCTCTGAGAGCCATTCTCTATGCTGTCAGGCCTGACAGCATTCGTGAATAGCGGCTGTATATAAAGCAAGCTACATCGGGCAAATGAACTATTGCTTGATTGATTGATTGATGTCAAACACGAACGGAATATTCTTCAGGCTCAGAACGAAGAACTGCATGTGGAGGTGCAAGCACTGCGGATGCAGATCGATGGCCTCCGATCGACGCCTCGGCAACGCGAGGAGCCGCAGTGGCAGCAAGTGCGCCTAACATGGAACCTCCGGTGAGCGCTCAGCAACGAGAAAAGGATCACAGTCGTGTTCAAATCGGCAATCGGCTATCTGTGATTGAAACGCAAGACAGCGGCAGAAACGCCAGGAACACCTTCAGAGAGCTTTAGATTCATTGTTGGGGTGGTTTTCTAAATGCCGAGTTTTTCAACCTTTGCTATGACTTTATTTCATGCAGCCTGTAGTCTTCATTGTAATTGGAACCATCTATGATCTGGCCAACATCGTCGTGACTTGCTATTAGATAGTATCAATTTTGTGTTAGTCGAACTCTTTTCCTCGGTGGCTCTCAATCGTACGTACCGCGCCCGCGTGCTACTGGTCAAACGAGAAATCAAAACGAATACTCCGACCACATGTTCTAACAAACGCCGGAAACAATGATCGCCGCTTGGACATATATAGTCGTGCCGACATATCCGGGGTAACTAGGAGAATCCTTCGCAAAATGCGGAGTACGGTCTCAAAATATCGCCGAAGCCTTCGCATTATTACCCGACCCCGCTCTCGACCCCAGAGAAGGTGAGGTTCGAGGTTTACTACTGAATCTCCCGCTATATGTAGACAACTAAACCTGCGCGAGCCCTGGTTATGGTCAGCGATATTCATACCCCTGCTCACTACTTCTCCGTTCGCTCTCAAACTTGGCAATATGGCATCCTGGAGTCTCAAGTCATGTTTTGAACAATTTATTTCTGCTATAGAAACATCTCTTAACGGCAACAATGAGTTCAAGGCCGCTACCCTTGCACACGATGTTAAATTCTCCATTCTCTCATCGGACACTAACGAAAATCTCCTCGTGTCTATCCGGTCCAGCGTCGCTCGCATCCAGTTCGGTCGTTCCACAGTTGCCGAATTCACCTTATCAGCAAGGTCACAGGATTGGCATGAATTCTTTGCACTGGAGCCGAAACCATCCTATCAATCATACTGGGGCATTCTGCGTGTTTTTGGAAGCGAGTCTGGCGTTGGCATTTCAGGCGATATCGCTGCATTTAGCAAGAGCGTCAGCGTATGGCGTATCGTCCTTGAAACCGCTCGGGGAATCCTGCACAATCAGCCAGTACTAGCAATGGATGAAGATGTTGACGAAGGCATCGTGGAGGAGGATAGCATCGTGGGAAAATACACATGGCTCAAACTTTCTGCCTTTGGTCAAACCAAGATATTTTATGAGTGCTCGGGACATGGACCGAAGCATATCTTGTGGCTACATACAGCTGGTGCCGACTCCCGGCAATTCCATGAATTGATGAACAACAAGAACCTTCAAGAGCGGTACACCATGTATGCTTTCGACATGCCAGCCCATGGCAGGTCGTCTCCCGGCTGCAAACAAGTTCCGCAGGGCTATACAAATAGTGAGGAAGTATATATCGAAGTCATACATCAGATGATGAAAAAGTTGCATCTGACGCAGCCCATTGTTTCTGGTGCTAGTATGGCCGGTCACATTTGTCTTGCGGTCGCTTTGCGAGCCCGAGAAATGGGAGTAGGTGGCGTTATCCCTGTTGAAGCTGCCGAATATCTGCCGCTGGTACAACCTCCTTATGAGCTAGGTGGTCACTTCAACGAATCGATCATCAATCCAGAACGCGTGTGTGGGATGACGGCCCCAACTTCAACGAAGGCACGTAAACAGCTCATATGGTGGATATATTCATCTCAGGCCGCACGGGTGTTTCAAGGAGATTTGCAATTTTACTTCAAAGGCTGGGACGGCAGAAACCGGCTGGAACACATCGACACTTCAAAATGTCCCGTGTATATGCTTACTGGCGAGTATGACTATAGCTGTACACCGGAAGTAAGTGCAGCAGCGGCAGCAAAGATTCCGGGTGCTCAGTTTGAGATGATGGATCGTATGGGCCATTTCCCGATGACAGAAGACCCAGAGCAATTTTTGGTCTACTTAAACAGGGCTTTGAATTTTATCGAGAAATCTCGAACTGGCTAGTGGTGATGAAAAGTTTAATATATCCTAAAGATTACTGAGTTAGAATATAGGAATAACCATTCAAATATCAGGCAGTTTAAAAATGTGGAAGACTGTAGCTTGACTTTCACATGTGCAAGTTTGAAATAAGTTTACTTATTTATACCATGGATACAGTGCCCACAATTATAACGCCGATTTATGCATTTCAAAACACCGAAACGCCGGTGCAATTCATGGCACAAGGCTCCGCAGGCTGTGTAGATGGACAAGATAAAAACGGTAGGTCACCGAGACGACTTGTTTTCAAACTATACCCGCATTTTCCCCCGCATTTTGTAATTATTTGCAGCTTCTGGTTGGTGTTCATCAGTGTTACGGATATACCCAGGAATACTTTTGCCGTGGACGGCATTTTAAATCGCTCAGAGTATGAATAAGGATTCCAAGCATCCTTCCTGTCATAAGCACTGATATCCCTATAAAAGCTGGTTCTTAGTTCGAACCAAGCCGACGAGTTGCTGATCTCAAAATATTTCACAATTCCCTTAACTGCTTTCAATCGCATATTATAAGCATTATGAGTGAAATCAAAAAAGAAAAGTGTGGGGATATTCTCCATGCAGTCAAAACGGCAGGGATTGTTCTTTTACCGGCTTTCGAGGTTCTGTTATAGATACCTCTCAACCTCACTGTATTCCTTTCAGTACCTAAAATCCTCTTTTTAAAAAGAATTAAAGCAAAGGAAATAATTTCATTAATCAATCCCCTCGGAAATCTTTGGAGAGTAGTGAATTGCTTGCATGGTTCTCTATGCCGGAGTTATCAGTGCTAGAAATTGGAATGTTTCGTTCTATATTCAAGGTTCTGAAGTTGTAATATTCTCACTAAAGATCGAAAACTAGGCTAGGCATTACTGCGCATACACATTGCCAATAATCAATGGGCATCGATCAAGTAGGCATACTGACTAAATCGTCGCCGTTGAGGGGAACCTTGAACTTCTCGAGCAGACGCTTAGCCGCCTTTTCGCCGGTGGCAAACGCACCGTGAACACATCCCTGACCTACGCGAGTTAGATGCTCGCCTGCAAACTGCAGGACGCTGTGGCGATTGTTTTCAAGTGCCGCAATTATGAGGTGTGGATTATCGCCGACTTTCTCGCAGGAATAGGTACCAAAGCCAGCTAGCGGGTCCTGAGTCCACTGCGTGCATTCCATCTTGATTAGGCGTGGAAGGGCTTTGTAGGGCTCAGTGCGGATGAGCTTGAACAGCGGCTCGAAGAATCTGTACCGCTTCTTCGGGTCGGTCATGGCTTCTATCCGCTGGGTCAGCGGCTCGGCGATCTGCACGCAGAGCTCCCTGCGGTCGGCGACTAGCATCAGATTGACCGTCACCGTTGGATAGTTGAGTATGTTGTCCTCCGCCGTTTCGCGGCTGCTGGACGATCTGGGCGAGGAGCCCAAGAAGTCGGCGACATCCTCATCGAGCTCGGGCGGGGAGGGATAATAGATGATCTGGTCATTGTCTTTTGACCAGAATACCTCACTAAATTCGAAGAATATCTTCCCCAGCGCGCCGTAGCTGAGCCGAGAAAAGCCATGCTGGATTTCGTCCGGCAACGGCGGGTCGAATGTGAGGAGTTTATGATGGAGGGCGCCCAGCGGCACGGTCACGATCACTGCGTCACCCGTCACCGTCTTACTGCAGCCTGCAGCATCCTCGCACTCCACCTGGACAGCATCCTGTCCCTGTGCGTTATCGCACCAGGCCACGCGGGTTACGCGATGGTTCAGCTGCAGTGCATGCGGGCTCTCGAGTAGCCGCCCGGCGGTCCAGTCGACAATTCGATCGTAGCCGCCCTTCATGTATAGGTTGCGCTCAGTGATAAAATACTGGAGATATTTGCACGAGGCTTCAGCCGTACCCGTAGCGATCCACTGTTCAATCTCGCGGACAGCCTGCGGCGCCCACAGCCGCTCATCTTGGGTTATCAGCTCATGCCGACTGATGAACTCCTGCATGAAATCGTCGACGCTGCGGTCTTCCGCGTCTGGATGGGCTTTGTAATACCAGTCGACGTAGTCCGCGAACTCGTCGGCGACCTTTTTGGCCTTGAACTGGGCGCCGGCACGACCCTGCGCTGTGTAGTACAGCGGGGTGCCATCGTCGTAGTAGTATTCGATCCCGAGGGCGCGAATAAGTTTGACGAGCGGATTCTGCGACGTTTCATGCATCCACGCCGCACCTAGAGACGTTTAGTCGCCTCGCTACAGGGGGTTGGAGTAGGGAGGGAGAAGAGGAGCAAAGTCCAGCAACCGAGAGTTCTGACACAGCGTCAAGCGTGATATCCAAAGGGCCCATCGCAAGCCCGGCGGTCAGTACCGACTCGTGTGTCCAAGGCACACATACCTAAGTCCCACGTCGTCTGGCCTCCGTTGCGCGTCGTGCAGATGCGACCGCCGATGCGGTCTCGCGCTTCCAGGACGACAACGTCAACTCCGTGGCGCTGCAAAGTCGAGGCGGCACGCAAGCCGGAGATGCCGGCGCCGATGACGATGATGCGCTTCTTCTTCTTTTCCTCCTGGACAGGCTGTGGCTCTGGCGCTGGCGTGACGGTTGGGCTGCTTTGGATAGTGTTGCGCAGCATCTCAGCCAGGCCAGAGCCACAATTACTTGGTTTACTCCGACTGGAGGATATCACGGAGGCATAGGCAAAGCTCTGAGACATCTTGAGTTGGCAGGTAGACATCTATGTGTACTTTGGCGGCAGTAGAGGCTGCTATCGATGTGTTGCAAGGGCTTGTACAGCAGTAGTTGCAGTGGTGAAGTGGTGGTCGTAGGATAGAGCCTCGGAAGGTATAAGTAGGGCTGTCCCTGCTGACACTAGACCAAAGCAGTATGTCCATCCTTATAGTAGTGATCATTTCTGGTCTAGTGACTGCACCACGGGTCAAATGGTGGTGGAGTTTTACCTCAGGGGATTATGTCAAAACGCTATGCCGCTAGACCAAAAGCACCATGGGCCCAACTAGCTAATGCAGCCATTTTCATGTTCGACAGATTGTTAACTACCCTAATTCCCCGGGTCCCTCGATATTTCCCCGGGTTCGTTTCACTCCCCCGCCATATTATGTCTTGCCCCCACACGACTAATACCCAATGAGAAAGAACGAAGGGAACTGCCAAATGCTTGTCAGTGCTTGTCAGTGCTTGTTATTTATCCCACAGGATGGAAAGTAGTCCTGCTTGGGCTTGGGCCTCCATGTCCCTCACTTTAGCCGCTTCTCGGGCGCAAATAGGGGGTCCGAAACAGAATGTCCAACCGGGTGAAGATAAGGCTAAGCCTATGATAATGGACGGTCTGGGTGCACAGACACCTTCCTGGTATGTTTTGGGCCACTCTGGCGAAACTTTCTTCCTTTGTTATGTCGGCAGTTGATGCCACCACCGATAACAAGTGCAGAAGTTGTCGGTAGGTAATATTCTAGATCTTGATGAATTATTATTAACATATATCAAGAAATTATTACCCACTCTCTTCCTAGGTATATGGTGGTCAGCTCACAATGGCTACCGAGAACCTGGAGAACTTGGCGGGCACTCGCATCCTCTTTACCAGTGACGAGCATCTGAAGCTAACCCCGGAGCCGACCAAATCACCCAATGACCCGCTCAACTGGTCACCAGCGCGCAAATACTGGCATGCCGCGCTCGTGCTGTTTATTGTCGGCTTCACGGCGGCCACGTCCAACGACGTAGCAGCTGCCCAGTATGGTATGAACAGCCAACTAGGCATTTCGTGGACCCTGATGAATACGTCGGCCGGCATCCTCTTTATCGGCATCGGCTACGGCACGCTGCTGACCTCGCCCATTCCCTCGCTGTATGGCCGCCGTATGATGTACATCGTGTGTCTGCTCTCGTCCCTGATCGGATGTACCTGGCTGGCGCGTACAATGGGCCCAAATGACGCTCTGTGGAACCAGCTCTTCATTGGCGCCTCCGAGGCGTGTGCTGAGGCCACAGCGCAGCTGTCGCTTTCGGATCTCTTCTTCGAGCAGCAGCGTGGCTCCGTCATGGGTCTCTATGTGCTGGCCACCAGTATCGGCACCTATCTAGGCCCATTGCTGGCCGGCTTCATTGCCAATAGCGTCGGCTGGCGCTGGGTCGGCTGGTTCGCCCTCATAATCTCCTTCGGGACCCTCATCGTTTTCTATTTTACTTTCGAGGAGACTACATTTGACCGCAAAGTTTATCTGCGCGGAGATATCCCCGTGACCGATACCACATCACGTTCCTTACCAACTGCAGAAGAGGTGATATCAGCTAGTAAAGAGCATACACCTGTATGCGCCACATCGCTGAGCGATGTGGACGACAACGGCAGCAGCGAGGCGCCCAAATCATACTGGCAGCGGATCGCCCTCGTTACACCATCGCCACTTCTGCGTGGCACCGGCTTCGTTCAATACTGGAAAACCATGTGGCATATCCTGCGCGTCTTCAGTTTCCCTGGCGTCTGGTACTCAGGCCTGCAATGGGGTGCACAGGACGCGTGGCTCACCTTCTATCTCACTGTCGAGGACAACGATTGGGTTATGCCACCGTGGAACTACTCGCCGAATGGTGCCGCCATGATGAATATCCCGACGTTGATCGGCGCTATAATCGGCTGTTGCTATGGCGGCTGGTTTTCGGACAAGTTTGTGGAGTGGTATGCACGGCGAAACAACAACCTCTTCGAAGCCGAGCATCGTCTGTGGCTCATGTATCCGGCCGCCTTCGTCGGGTCGGCGGGTCTAATGCTCTTCGGCATAGGCACTGACATGGGCATGAACTGGCCCGCGCCGTACGTCGGGCTCGGCATGATTGGATTTGGCTGGGGCTGCGCCGGAGACTTGTCTCTGGCCTATTTGCAGGATGCTTATCCCGAGATGGTCCTCGAGGGCATGGTTGGTGTGTCGGTCATAAACAACTCAATTGGATGTATCTTTACCTTCTGTGCCGGTAAGTCTTTCTCACTCCACAGCATTTGTGACAGCCTTTCTTACATTTGGTGAATACAGGGATCTGGTTAGACGTACAGAGCACTAAAATGGTGTTTGTCGAGATTGGCATCCTCAGCTTTGTGTTTATGATGACCACAGTTCCGATGATGATCTGGGGCAAAGCCGCGCGCCGCTGGACACGCACGCGATATGAGAATTTCGTAACTCGTCGCGATGGTAATTGATAGGATTTTCTTCATGGCATCAGGAGCTCCCTTGTCCTATCTTTCTCCGTGGACTCCCGGTCAATAACGCCACGAGCAATACAACCATTCCTCCATTTTCTGTTCGATCTTACCTTTATAGGCAACCTGCAATTTGGTGTTATATATTTTACCGCCACCTTTTAATTCTTTTTACTACCGGGGGCCATGTTCGGATATTGTAAATATACGCTGACATTGTTGAATACGAAGCGGTTGGCTGCCTACTCTTTTGAGGAATCGTAGTACAATTATCTAGATCGTTGTGAGATTGATAACCATTTCTCGGAGCTCCAACATGTTTCAACTCTCTTAATAGTGGAACCAAATCTGAGTAGCTATCGGCATTTGGACTCCTCTAAACTACACACGGATCCACAATGCAGGAACGGTAGACCCTGATCAATCTTTGGTTAGCGTGATGCTGAGAAGCTGTCTATGCCGAATGGAGCAAGTCCACGCGAATTCCCCAAAGGCTCGTTTCCTCCTCACTCGGCATTTCAACAAACACTCATTTCCAAGGGATCTTGATTGATACGAAATAGCTGGCCATTGTTCTAAAATATAACTCATATTCTAGGGTTCGAACGTCCGTATGCCCATCGTCTTGACGAAATAAAGCAGCATATCCTCCATGGACCGAAAAACTCATGTCGCTGTCATAGGCGCCGGACTGGCGGGGCTGCGATGTGCTGATCTCTTGATCCAGAACGGCGCCCGTGTTACCATCTTTGAGGCGAGGGATAGGATGGGTGGCAGAGTTCGTCGAGAAATCCCTTGTCGGATGACTGTACTGACGGTTGCGTTATCAGATCGTTCAAGAAAAGATTGGAGAACATCTCGTTGACCTGTATGCCATGGCGTTATGTCTTTGCGATCAACAATTCTAATTCTCTCATTGCGTAGCGGGGCCAATTGGATCCATTGCACCAGAACAAATCCCATGATCGAACTGGCCGAACTGACCAAAACCCATCTCGAGGACTGGGATGGCGTCCAGGCGACCTTGGGGCCGAACGGAAAGCTCATAGACGAGCAGACGGACGATAAAATCTCCAAGTTCGTATGGGGGACCATCAATGATGCCTTCGCATACAGCGAGAAGTACGGTGACAGCATTCCCCCCGAACGCAGCTTGCTGGATTACTTCTCCGAGAAGGTGGAACAGACCAACTTCACAGCCGCGGAGAAGGCGCTTTGTCTGGAATCGTGCAAGCTGTGGGGGACATATATGGGAGAGCCAGTGTGGCGACAGAGCCTGAAGTTTTTCAAACTCGAGCAATGTATCGATGGAAGTACGTCAAGTTGCACCTTGCCCCTAAAGGATGGGCTGACGTGTTTCCACGCACAGCCAATCTCTTTGTGACCGCCACCTTCAAGACTATCCTTGATGCCGTTGCCCGCACCGCGAAGCAACACGCCGACATCCACCTCAGCGAACCCGTTACCAGAATCGACGCACAGCCGCGACAATCACTCACCTCCCGGTCTCCGATCACCGTCACAACCTCCGCCAATAAAACTTACACCTTCGATGAAATCGTTGTCACTAGTCCCCTGGGCTGGCTCAAAAAGAACAAATCGATGTTCAGTCCCGCGCTGACCCCCCGTTTATCCGCAGCAATTGACAACATCTCCTACGGCCGCCTGGAAAAAGTATATGTGACTTTTCCGCGGGCATGGTGGCACAGTGAGAGAACCAACTTCCAAGCCATTGTCAACGGCTACCCACCCTTCACCCAATTCCTCGAACCCGACCCAAAATATATCTCGAGCACCGTACGCCCAGCCAACATCCCTTGGAACCAAGAATGTCTTTCTCTGGCCGCCCTGGGCAAGGACTTCGCCCACCCAACCCTCCTCTTTTACACCTACGGCGATTGCGGGAGCTACGTCCTCTCGCAAATTAAAGACCTACCCAAACATTCGCAGCAGTACAATGCCTTCTTAGACGCCTTTGTTCGACCATGCTATTCCCTGCTCCCAGAGTTCTCCACCTCCGATCCAGACTGCGTGCCAACTGCGTTCCTTGCGACGGAGTGGCAGAATGACCCCTGGGCTGGGAATGGGTCTTACTGCAATTTCCAGGTCGGAGTTCTGGAAGCAGACAAGGATATCGAGGTTATGAGGGAAGGCATGGGGAAAGAGAGGGGCGTGTGGTTTGCTGGTGAGCATACCTCGCCTTTTGAGGGTCTGGGAACTACGACTGGCGCCTATTGGAGTGGTGATCGAGCCGCAGGGCAGGTATGTGAGGCGTTGGGTTTGAGCGGAAAGGTAGTCGGGACTGGTCAGACTGTACCGAGGGTGTCACACTTGTAAATAGAGATCCTCAGATTCTACGGCTGCGGATGTTAACTTATGTATGTAAAATTTACGTATGCACCTATACGTACCGGATTTCCCCCTGGCAGGTGGGCTTTCCTCTCTAGACTGCCATTGCTTTAATGAGGGCGCTCATGGTCTGGCTCACTGAGTAGATTTCAGCACACACACAGACTCAGTTATCTTGCTCATGTTAGTCACGTGCATCGTGACTACTGCTCTGTGAGCGCTCACTAAGCGCTTATTGGATGTTCACTGATCACTCAGTGACGCTTAGTGCCCAATTAGTGAGCATCTCTAGTTTACTCATTCCACGCTAAGTCTATCCCTAAAAGGGTATACTACCCCTATGGGGCTATTTATCATGTGATAGGTAGTCTGTTGATAGCCCTAGTCCTACCCTCATTTTCTTGAACACTTCATCCCAGCAAGAAAATACACTAGAACCAGATGGTGTAGGAAGAGTAGAGACACCCTATCTATCTTGGGATGATGCAATTTCAGACAAGCCTTTGTTTTCTAATATAAAAGCGGCTTAAGTTCAAAATCTCGGGTATAAAATCAGGCAATCGTCTACTAATACGTATTCAAACACCTTCCACTTAATCATTCGACCTCATATGTAACGGGCCAGGGCCGCTGTCTAATCACATGCAAGCACGCAACCCACGCCTATTGTTTAACAATTTCGCGCACCTAGATAGTTCTTCTCTCTACGGTTTTAGTAAATTGCAATCGGCCTCTCCAGTTGCCATTCCAACTCGACTCAGCCCTTACACTCGGGGTGTCTTTTCGGGTCGAGGAACGCTCTAGCTTCGGGTAGTCGATAACCTAGCCATAGTTCCTAATTCGTTCTATTTAGTTCGTTCTATTCGGTTCGATTCGTTGTAGGTCCGCCTTCTTAGCGCCTATTCGGGATTCGTTGTTCGGTTCGGTGTTTAGCGTTATCATAGCTTTCGCGGCGGGTTCTGCAGCCTTGTAGTAGCTTGCGCACTTGGGTCTTAATCAGTCGAAAGAGGTATCGGGCACTAAGCGAGCTGGGATAGCGTTCTTTGATGAAGTCGCGTCCGTACAGCTGTGCAGCGATGGTAGAAAAGAATGTGATGAACTTAGATCTTACGTGACCGGGTGCTAGGTCAAGAAAGAAAACGATAAAGAATTCAATATGAGAGCTATGGTCGACGGGAGATCCAAGTTGGGGAAGGGAAGAAGAGGCAGAGGAAGAGCCTCTACTTATCTACAACAGTCTATGTCCTGTGTCACTTGTCGAACCCGTTCCTCACGCGTAGTCCCGTAGTCAATTGCTCTTGCATCATGTCGGAGTTACTAGGGTCGGGGGGTCTGCATTGTGGATGCCGGCATAACGGGTTCCCGAGACAGCAGTCCCGTCATCCTAGTCGTAGCTGGTCACATTTTCCCCAACAACACCAAAAATAACCCAACTTCGACAGCTTATAACTCGACAGTCGTACAAATCAATAAAGTTCTGTTTGAAGATTTAGAATCAGCTAGTCACAATACCATGCTCTAGTATTTTATTCAGTTCAAAAATGTTGATGTGGCTGTTAGTCGAAATCGGATTTTTCCTAATGGTTCCAATATATGCTTGCGGAATATGCGCTGGAAGGGACCCTCTTGAAGAGGTCAATATCCTTATTACAATTCGATGGGCTATCCGAGATTGGAATTTTGACGTGTCAGAGAAGACAATTATCAACTGCTTCTATAGGGCATTCTCTATAGAAACAAGAGTTGGCACAAGTCAATTACCATCATCGCCTATGGATGACATCGTACAGGGAATTGCTCACTTGGAGCAAGGGTCTTATATCCATAATGCTATGGATATTGAGAATTTCCTGAATCCTGAAGGGGAGCTAGTTCAAGATGATTCTAAGAGTGCTGAAGAGCTAGTTCTCTCCCAAATCCAGGGACCAACTAGTATTCAGGATATTGATGAGGATGAGGATGAGGATGAGGATGATGAGGATAGGGGTGAGGCTATCGCAAGAGTTTCGATTTCGCAGGGAATAGAGGCAATTCGAAAGTCCAGATTTCATAAAGAGCAGGCCGAAGAGGGATATATTGAAGTTATTCAGGTTTCGAATCGCTGGAGAGTAAATATATGGCGAAAGAGGTCAATTCTAGGCATCAGGGGTTATTCGAAGCTGGTTTGGGTAGTAAATATATATTTTATGCGCGCACTTTGAAGCAAAGAATTCTTCGATTTAACGAATCCAGCTGGCTCCCAGAATTAATTCGCTATATCGAGGTATTACTGTACCTCTGTAGGAACAAACCGGTTTTAGCCGGCAAAACTAAGCCACCCCTATACCGATCTTGATGTGCGACTCGACTTCTTAGCATTCTTGACTAGCAGAGACTTGTTCTCCTCTCTCATCTAGCGCAATCACAATCTCCATGAGGCTCCCAAAGCACCCAGATACGATATTCTCCTCTCGACGTATGTCTTTATTAGCACAGATTTCCTCGATATCTACTTCGAGTCCCCGAGGATCATGGGTAAAAACAAGGTGGGCCTCTTCTTTCTCCCAATGACTCCACTCCACGCCATACTCAGTAAGCTCCTCATTCCTAAGTCGATCAATGACGATAAACAGGGTGTAGAACAATGGTAGTAACCGATAGTTTGAATGGAGGACATAAGGACTGCTCGCCACAGACTGGGCCCAAGGCAACTGATTCGCATGGTCCTGGGCATCTTGCGGGTCCAACACAATCTGCCGATTCCGGACCTGATCACATAACGTTTGATGCACCTGAGCGAGCTCGGAGACGACGTTAGGAATATCAGGGTGGCAGCAGTCAACAAACTTGCCGAAGAAGCTACCCCAACAGACGCGAGTCTTTTCACCCCGAAACCACCGGGCATCTATGAAATCGAACAGAGTATAACGATTAGGCCGCTGGAGCTCGACGGAGCTGTAGACTGCGCAGGATTTCCAGCAAAAGTCATGGCAGTCTCTGAGACTCATTCGCTCCAGCTTGGTCGGGTCGAGCTCGAAGGGATTATCGACCCATACGTATTGCTGTTTGTTTCCATTGGTCCGTTCGTCGTCTAGGCGGACTACTTGTCTCCTGGACAGTTGGGCAGAACTCTGTCGTGAGCTCCGTTAGATTTTGGTACATTTATATCAGCGGGCGCGTCTCACTCCTTTAATAAAGCCTCTGGTGCGCGGCCAGATCGCGTCGAGGGATATCTGCTCCGCCATTAGGAACCTGTAAAGACTTGATACTTGTACGGTGCCACTCCAATAACCGCTTGACCCAGAACTGGCTCACTTAATGACTGTGAACTTTGTAGCCAAGGGCACATTCAAGTCAAGCGATATGTGGGTGGAGTTGGTGGGGTGCACTTGGCTAGGTCCCACTCAAACTGAGTTCTCAGGTGACCCTTCGTAACAGAAAGGACGCCTTATCATAGACAAATCCTTAATAACTTTGTCGACACATTAGCCTGAGGATAATGGCCTCTTCCACAGTTGACACGGCCTCCGAGTTCCAAAGACCCGCAAAGTATATAGCCAACACTCAATTCGGGCACTATCTAGTAACAACATTGGGAGCGAAACGACAAGAATAGAGTACAGTGGTAATTTACCAGGCACATAACCAACACCACTCTGCCAATGAAGGTATTCTACCTGACTATTCTACTTATCATTTATAGCTGATAGCAGGAGAATTTTACCACTTCCATGACGTTTTCCATGACGTGGCTAAATGGCGGCCGTGGACCCATAAAACTAGGGGCTGTTGGCGAGGTGCACACAATCATGAAGGATTCCGGCCGGCAAGTTAACTAATCCTTGACAGTAGATAGTTAACTATGCTCAGGTCGGGCTCAGTAAGCGAATCAGGGCGATCAGTGAGTAGATCAGGCCGCTCAGCGCCGTGCTCAGTTCTACTCAGGGAGCAAGCAGTGAGCACTAATACGGAAAGAGCAAGCCAAGGATTGCCAGGCATTATCCGGTACATATGCAAAAGCTTCTGCTCTTCTATACTCGAAAGTCTGATGATTTTAGCCAAAGTCTATTTTAGAAAGTTCCTGTGTTCTGAATGTGATGGAGGCTTTAGTAAGAGCACAAAAGACTTAAGTTGAGGAAGTTAGAAGGTTCAGATCAACAAGAAAAGGTCATAAAACTGCTTCTAGCTACTGAACCACAAACTCAATTTTAGCGAGAGCTAGCTGAGTGATACAGGAGAAAGGATGAATGATTAAAGGCCCATGAGGGGTCCGGTACTGCAGAAGAAGGGAGTGATCGAACGAACCAGGAATCTAGTCTCCCTGTCCACCTATTGAGCTACCTAAAGCTCAGCACTAAGGTGAAGCTTCCTTGAACTAGACCCCACATACACCTTCTTTGGATGGTTGCTGATAAACCAGTCCTGAGTGACAACATTCCAGTTGCTTAGATCCCGACGGGTAAGCTTGGCAGAGAATTCTCCCGTCTCGCCCGGCTTGAGGAACAACTTATCGAAGCCGCGCAACTGAACCTTGGGGTCCTTGGGTCCTCCAAGGCTGATGTACAGCTGCGGGACCTCCGCGCCTGCGACGGAACCCGTGTTTTTGATGGAGGCTGTCACAGTATACAGCTCCTCATAGAGAAGTGGGTTACCACCAGGCCCGCCACCGGCGGGCAATAGAGGCTGAGACTTTCCATCATTGGCATGCGGAGGCAGGAACTTGGAGGCAGGCTGGAGGTCGCTCGTGCCCGCAATCTTGGCGGGGTCGCTGCTGGTGAAGTAGGGGTAGATGTAGTACATCACGTTTTTCCAGGTGCTGGGGAACAGGTAATCGGACAAATGTTTGCTGAAGGTGCCGAAGGTAGGCGCATGGTTGGTCTTGCCTGAAGCCGGTACATACGGAGGCACCCTGTTAATCTTGACCCGAATGTTGGAGTATTCGAACGTAGTGTAGCTGAGGCCAAAACCGAACTCGAAAGTGGGCGTGATGTCGGCCTTGTCCAGAGCGCGGTAGTCAATGAAGACACCCTCGGTGAAGTCGATCTGCGGTGCCAGCTCCCCGTTGTTTGGTTCGTACAGGACGTCGGGCAGCTGAGTGCGATCACTCACCCAACTAAATGGGCTCTTGCCTGACGGGTTGACGTCTCCGTAGAGGACATCCACGATAGCGTTGCCAGATTGATCGCCCGGGATACCGGCCCAGACAATAGCGGATACGTTCGGGTTGTGGTACCAGTCATCGACCACCACAGGGCCAACAGAGTGGATCACCACAACGGTCTTGTCGCACAGAGCCGACACATTCTTGATCAGGTCGTCACCGCTGTGCCAAAGGGTCAGATTGTTGCGGTCACCTGCATTCCCGCCAACGGTAATATAGCCCTCGCCCGAGTCAGCGTTTACAAAGACAATGGATACAGTCCCGGCTTGTGAAACCAAATCCGGGATGGCGTTTAGGCCATTGCCTTGTTGCGTGTTAGAGTCGTCGGTTGTGTAGTCGTCGAAGATGCTCTGGTACGCCGAACCTTCTTGGATGGCCCGGGCCTGGATGGCGGCATCAGGTGTGACGAGGTAGGCGAAGTTGGCAGTGCCGGAGCCCCAGGCCATGCCCAGAGTGCCGCTATCGCAACCCCGATCGCTGCAACCGTTGGGACCATCCAGATTCGGGCCGGCATCGGATCCGATCACTGCGACCTGCTTTACCTTCCTCAGGGGAAGGATGCCGTTATTCTTCAACAGCACGGAGCCTTCCGCAGCAACTTGCCGGGCCACCTTCGCATGGTCGCCACGCACATCAACGTGCCAATTGATCTGTTGGTGGCCTTCATCAGCGGCAAAATGGAGGGGGCCCTCTGTCGCAAAGGACCACGAGTCAAAGTTGACCGGTACTTGGTTCTCAATAGTACGGCCAACCTTGAAGTAGGCAGCCATGATCCGCATGGCCATATCGTCGATCCGCCACTCGGGAACGGTGCCGTTAACCACAGCCAACGTCAGGTTCGCACCCCAAAAGCTCAGACCCGAGTCAAACGCAGTGTCTCCCGGCATCGTCATATCCAGACCAGCCGCAGCACTCGCGACGCCAGTAAGCTGACCAGTCCAGTCGCTCATAACGAAGCCCTGGAACCCGAGCTCGTTCTTTAGCAAGCCGTTGAGCACCTTCGAATTCTGGCATGCGTACGAGTTGTTGATCTGGTTGTATGAGCACATAACTGAGCCAACACCGGCGCGGACGGCATCAGCAAAGGGCCAAAGGTACAGCTCGTGCATGGTCTGGTCATCAATGTTGGACGAGTACGATGCAACGACTCCATCCTGACCGGCGCTCCGGAAATGCTCCTGCTCGTAACCGATAAAGTGCTTAACACATGCAATCACGCCGGCGTCCTGGATACCCTTGATGGTCTCGGCAACCCCAACACCTGTGAGGACTGGATCCGGCGAAAATCCCTCCCAGTTCCGACCGCCCTCAGGGACGCGGCCTATCGGGCCACAAACCGGGCCGAGTTGGACAGTGCTGCCTTTCCCATGATGTTCCTGGCCCATCGCCAGACCACGGGCGTATATGAGGGCACGATCCCACGTGGCAGCTGCGGTCAGTCCTCCAGGAAATACCGTGTTGTAGTCGGTTAGACGGATGCCAACTGGAGAGTCCTGGGTGCAGAAGCCATTGAAACCCAGTCTGGGCACAGACCCAGTATTTCCGACGCACTGATCGCTCTCCCAACTAAATAATCAGATTCAGCGTTCGTCCAGTCATAACAAAGATGCGATGTAGTTAGAACTCTCTACTCACCCAGTGCCAGTTGTCAGATTGACCTTCTCCATCAGCGTCAACTGGGAGACAAATGATTTGGCCTTCTCATAGGCCTCTTTCCAGCCCACCTCCTCGGGATTCATCCAAGGCGACGGGTAGCTAGGTGGTGATGGGGGCATGGGCAGCTTATTCCTCTTGTTGAGTGGCTGTCACAGCAAGGAAAGAGTTTGGTGTTAATGAACGTTTCTTTTGCATTTTCTTATAGGATTGGCATGGCCCAATTCATGGGTTCACGTACATCAGTGCCATGTTGACCACGAGAGCTAACATGCGCGACCACGGAGTCGCAGCTCGCTAGGACGGCAACAGCGACGGTGGTCACCTTCATGCTTAAGGACAGTAAGTGTCTATCCTGAGATAAGCTGACGAGCGCTTCGAAGGACTGAAGATGGTCGGTGCCTCTTGAAAAGAGGAGCGAGCTCTGGCGTAAAGATCTTGTCGACAGGCCCCGGGCAGCTGAAGACGTTGCTTCTTATATGAAATGTAATCCATCTCGATCAAATTTGGGAGTCGGTCGGCATTTGCTCCGTATTACTTCCGCTAGCCCTTGAAACTTCTCGGTAGCCTTTGAGCCAATATTCTGGCGGCTGGAGAGGGGCATAGAGTGGGGACCGCAATGGGGTCTCCTTCCCCGGTCCTCCTCATGTTTGCATGTTGTAGTAGTGTCTTTGCGCTTGCAGTAGCGCCACCCTAATGCATTAAAGGGCCCGAATATGTACAGGGTACAGGGGTTAGATTTGCCACTAGCTGACTCCACAAACAAAAGCCTAATGTCCGGCTTTCCTAGGCCATCCTTTGCGGGATGCTTCTATAATTTGGCCGTCTTCTCTTTTATGGATAATTCAAGACACCAACGGTCGCGGACATACACTCAGCATTAAGTATATCTAAACTTGCTAGAGTATCCCAATATAAACCCTACCATGATCCCGTTATTGTCTGATGTTACGTGCAGACTGTCCTTATTAGCCGTTGCCTGAGCAGTCCTTTGATCCTGATCTGAGCCGCCTGGTGGCCAAAAGCCACCACCTGTTGCCGAGTCCTGTGTGATGGCTCACGAAATTAAGAGAGAAATAAACAGAAAATCATATGTGATTAAGTGGTCCGAAAGCTTGTTCCCTGCTAGGTAGTTGCTTGGTTTGCGGGGAATTAAGGCCGATGCTAGTCCCAAGTGGGCCAACTCCGACCATTTTCCGGGTCGTGTTTCAGTCAACAGGGGCGCGAGGAGCCGACATTCCGCGGAGGAGTGAATCCAGGGCCTAGCCGTTCTGTCCTCCCTTCACTCTCACAAACACTATAATAATAAAAATCCTCTCTTCGATCAACAGGAGCCTAGGGCAGAGATTAGCAGATCCAGAAGTCGGTGACAGAGTCCTCCATGCATGGAGCTGCGCTTATGGTGCCGACGCGGAGCTGTCAACAATCTTGGAAACAAAGCGCCGGGTCAATGCATAGGCTAATTACCTTCCTTTCAGGGGTTGGGCTTCCCCGCGACCTCCAGGGTAGGACAGCCATGTCTGGGGAAGGCGGGACCTAGAACGCACACCGCATCCAATAGACCGAGCCCGGAAATTGCCCTATAGGAAACAACGGATTCTCGGCACATTATCCTTTTGACAAGTGTAACCGTAACAGAGAAACGTGCAAAATTGTTGCACTAATGGCTATCAAACCGATATTATCCCGAGATTCCAAGCTAAACTACTAATAGCAGTAGTATGTAGTGATAGAATTCACTTGCTCGATCTAGCTTGCTTACATGCATGCTGCTATGCGAGGCTGCTATCTAGCGCGGTTCGAAGCGAACAAGTGTCCACGCCATGAAGACTGAGCCCCGAACTCTAGGCTTGCCTCCCCGAGCCCATTGCCGAAAGCCTCGCTCCCGATACCACCTCCGCTTCGGCCATCGCCACTACATGTGCGTGCTACCATGACATCCTCAGTAGCCTTAACAGACATAGCTCCAAGTCGGCTCATTTGGACATCCTCAGAACTACCATCTGTCTGTTCCGGAACCAGACTTTCCTCGCCTCCAGAACCTTTCCGTCCTAGTTCAGTTCGAATCGGACGCACGCCGTGATTTCGTATCTCCGATTGACTCACTGTCCAAATACCGCGCGATTCTCCTGCCGACTCTCGTACGGTGGCTCAGAGAACTCCAAAACCGCGGTTTCCTAATGAGCAAATTGGCCCCATCTAAATGCGCTTCTAGAAGTCGGCTGTGATCTCCAACGGAGGAAACCAGCATCACCCAAAGCTAGCAATAAGTTGGACACCGAAAGAATGCAGAATGTGACAAGTGGAAGCACTGACGGGAATGACCAAGTCCTTATGCATCTTAAGCTGGCGAGTTCTTATGGCTGCGATTATCGCGAGGGCTTCATTCCGCAGAAGCCTTTCCTTCGGTTCGCCTGGGTTCACCCCGTTATTGATAGCGATTCTGGCATGAGGCTAACTCATCTTGCACGCCATGAATCTACGGCAGACCACTCTGGTTCTCTTCGTGGCACAGGGTGTTGGAATAGTAGTTGTGAAAGATTTCGCGGGTGATTGCAAGATGGGTCGTCAGCTAACCTTTTGTTTCAATAAACGGATTCAAAAGCATAAAACATACCCGCAACTGGTCCAGCTCTTCACCAGATGTGGCAAAGCTTTCCCCTGCGAGTCGTTCCCTTTCTGGATCCGTCTAGGAGCGCTCAATTTTCCCAGATGGCTAGGGAGGTGTAGCAACTGGCCCGTTCGTGACAGAACTGCGTGCCTTCAAGCCTCCTTCGCCCACAGCTGATGATGGGTCCCTACTCCTTGATTGCTTCAAGAGCTGAGTCGCCTTATCAAATTCACAGTCGATCGGGAGTTTGTCGATGCAGCTCTCTGAAACTAGATAGAAAAACTTGTCGCCGACATCGTTGCATTGATGGGTCTCTTAAACTTGGATGCTTGGCCAAAATTCGGGATTCAGAAACATATTCGTATGGTTGTGGACCTGGGTGAATAGTGTATCGGGGACATTGATAGCCTGGCATTGCAAAGCATCTTCGTTATCCCTACTAAGACCTAGGCGAAATATGTCGCGAATACCAACTCTGTCTAAATCCGTTGTGCCATGACACCCCGAGGTAGAAATGCTGTAAGAGAATGCTTAGGAGCAAGTGGTAGGTGTGGAGAGATGGAGGTATACTACTCTTTCTTGTCATCGGACAACAAACCATACGGCAATAAGACACCCCGACTGCACTTCTTTATTGTTCAGATATCCAGCTTTAATCCGTTGGAACCAATTGGCCGACCAGGGCTGAGAACAGGAGAAGCCTGGGCCACGGAGAGACGATCTGGTCAAGAAAAGAAGAAGCCATCAAGTTGGAAAAAAGAGACAGAATTGATCCTAGAAAAACCGAACAGATGAACGCCTAAAGTGCATACATATAGACAGTATAATAATGGCTATTCATATTTGGAGAGTGAAAGATAGCTACACTCGGTCTCAGCTAAACTACAATGCACCCTCAACTTCGTTCCAGCAGTTCCCCATCGCAACGGCTTTAAAGCAATCGCTCCCAACGAAAAAGTACTTTCTGTCGGCTCTGTTGCAATTTGAGAGAGGTCCGTTATAATCCATACATATCTCTGGATCAAAATGTGAAGCACAACGCCCACTATACTCGTCTGTTGAAGAATCATAATTGATCCCATACGCTTTACTGCAGTTCTCACCGCCGTGGTTTGCAGCGCAGCCGTTGTTTTTTGCGAAGGGATTCTCCCCGTTATCGTCGTTATTCGGGTTCGACTCGCCACCTGAACCAGCCGTAGGCTCTGGTGCGGCAGAACCGTATTGGCGCTTCTTGACTGGGGAGTGGGCATGATGGTGGTCTAGGGAACGGCGTCCAAAGTCATAGACGCGAGTATTATCAATCTGACGGACAGGATGATTCCGTTTCGCGAGGAATATCGTCCCGTCTTGGATGATATTGTTGGCGACGCCACGGACATGCGACGTCTGTTTCCGACCCAGAATCGCGTAGTCACCATCTAGGGCGTCGTGCTCGAATTCCCCAAGATGGTTCGCCTCCACCATAAGTCCATTGTGGTCTAGTAGCGCAGAGGCCACGGGAAAGTAGATGCGCAGCTCTGCTGCATACGAGTCGTAGAAGTGAGACGGGAAGTCTTCTTGCAGGGCATAGGCATTAGTGTAATAGTGCTTTTCAAACAAATCAATATCCTCGACTGGGATCTTGATTGTCTGATACCCGATCAGCTTGACACTCTGGTTGTGATACTGGTAGTTCTGGCCGAGGATGTAGCGTTCCTCGTAGGCTTCTAGTTCTCGCTTGACAACGGTATGGGATGGTCGTTGCGCTGCTAGGGCTGTCGTAGCCCCAGCTAGCAACACAGGGAGGTATAGGAGGCGCATTTTAGCAAAAGAGGATGTTGTGTTTTCAATGCAGAGGATGAGGATTATCTGAACCTTTTTAACTCACGAGTAGATTCTCAGAGGGACTTTTGGTTTTTTATATATGTTGTATTCGACCGCTATTCATTGATTTATTCACAATTGGCAGAGGCTGAGTTCGCAGCATGATCTGCAGAAAATACGAACGGTGCTGACTATAATTAGAGCCTACCTTAGTGGACGGTAGCCATCATGAAAAGTTAAAGTGGCTGGCATCTCGTATAGCCACACCCGTATCACCAACCCGTATTCATGCAGCAGGCTCAGCCCGAAGGGACTGACTTTTAGATGAGGAACTAGATCGGCCATTCCTCATGGGTTTATTTCCATCTTCAAACGTCCACATTCCGCGAGGCGTAGGGCAATATGTGAATACGGACGTCTGATCTTCTCCGAGCAAGGCGAATGTTCCCACCGCGTCGTATTACGAATTATACTGGGAACCCTCTAACAACGTGCGCTACTACTGTATAAGTGACATATACATTCGTTAATGGCTTAGATCTAGGTGGGTAAACACCGGCCTCTTAACCCAGGCTCTGTACTTTTTGCCATCCCGAGCGTCTAACAATTGCCAACAATCAGGTAGCTCGTCGATTCAATAATTCTTAAAGAACCATGATTACGCTTCGTGTCAAGGTGATGTAATAGCAGTGAGACACAGAGACCTTTGAATCCTACATGGCTCTCTTCCGTTGCCCAGGAAGCGAAATGACGTCGACTCGGCCGCTTGCATGAGGATATTGCCCTTATACGAGGGTAGCGGCCACGAGCGAGGCTGTACGCAAAGGTCTTCCAGTGATTGAGAATTACTGGCTGGATACTGCGGTCAGCGATACGACCACGAGGAAACTAATTCGAGAGACCTGACTCGTAAATGCGCACCTTGTGGCTTTTCCACCTTCTTGATGGAAGCTTTGCGTGTATGTACAATGTCCTCCCGCTTTCTTAGCTAATTACGTTAATAGAATACTTAGAACCGTTGCATGATGAACCATGTGGTGAACACTATCTCGAGCGAGGGGGCTTGGAAGATGACTGGTTCATAGCCAATCTGCATTCTCAACAGAAGACAATGTCCTCCCACGTTTCTCGCTGAGTGCACTAATATAATCCTCAGCACCATTGTACGGAGGGTATGCTGTCTTTGCCATAATAATTATTTGATGTTTACTAACCTAAGTTTAGACCGATACCATTATGAAGGGGGTGACGATCGCTTCTGGACTCTGATTCAAGTGCTGCGTTGTGGCAAACATATCTCTTCATTTCGACGAGCACATAGAAAATCGCATACCACGCAGGACTAGCCAATGCAATATTTTTTGCCAGCTCTTCTTTTGCCTCTGCTGTGTATTGCCGTTCAAAATGACCCGTGAATGATCCTTTCTAGTCTGTCTAGACGCAGTACAATTTTAGCTGCTCGCACTGCATCGAAAATAGTTTAAAATACATTACTAAGTATTCGATCACACAACATATAAAGCTTCGCACGTCTGAATCCTAGGATGTTAGGCCTTTGTTCCTTTGTTTTCAAGAAATTAGGGTCCTTCAGGCAAGAAACAGGGTATTTAATCTACCACATGTAATACGGTATAGGGGGTGTAGTGCGAGTAGCCAGGTCTAGACGTCCCAGGGTTTATTGGTTGTGGAAGTATGCGGAGGCTTCGGAGGCAGGAAGGGTTTTGCACCGAGTGCCTGGGTCTTGACAACTCAAACGTGGTGCGTTTTATAGCGCTAGGCTAAAATTGCCAACGATCGAATTTCTGCTCTAAATGGTCAATTGCTGTCCAAAATCCGGTATACGTCGGGTTCATAGTTATACACTAGTTACTTATGCATTGGAAGTTGATGGCATCGTAGGACCTCGGCCCCTCATCCCCTCATCCCCACCGAGGGAACAATGATTGATCGCTTCTTTCACAATGCCCACTTTGTTAGTCACTGGCTTCTCCATCGACTGACCAAAACAGTGCTAGTTCCACTCTGCCAAGCGCACGTCACAAAGAAGATTGATAATTATCTGGCAGAGTCACACTCTAGCACCGAACATTCAGACAGACAAACAACCATAATGCGGAGTGTTAATTGGGCTCTTATCACAGTGCTGCTGCAGACTTGATGACACCCCTAAGTTGTTGGCATTCTATCCCACCCTGATTCGTCACTCCTCCCCCGGTCTAGGTCAGGTCTCGGGTTCACCGCTGCATTGCTTGCTAGCTATATCTCATCCTGGCTCGACATTATCGCACTTCTCCTACCTACTAGGCATCTAGTTTTCAGGCTCCAGACCACGGGGAACGTCGGTATTATTTCTTTCGTTGCTGCTGCTTCCAACCCCGCTCGCGACATTGTTTTCTGCTCTGACTGGCTGCGGAAGTCGTATTTGGCCGTTCATGTGCCGCACGGTGCATAGCAAAATCGACTGCAGCTGCGTTCTGAGCGTTGGCTGTGCGTGGCCGTGAAGGTTTTGAACGTTGGGTCGGGTATAAATATCGGAAGTTTGTTGAGAGACTATAGAAGTATTGTTCTGCTCTTTGAACCATCGAGACTTGCATCTCATCGCCATGTCCGACGCAGGCGAGGTCACAGTGGCGTCTAACGTCCTAGGTACCATCGGCACCGTTCTCTGGTGTATCCAGCTGGTGCCTCAGATTTGGTACAATTGGAAACGCAAGAAGACAGATGGGTTTCCAGCAACTATGATGTTTCTTTGGGCAATCTGTATGTTGGTCTTCTTGTTGTATCCAAGAATAAGATAAAACAAGTGCTGATGCTGATGTCCGTGTCTTGTGCAGGCTCCGTTCCTATGGGTGCATATCTGATTCTGCAGGTGAGATCGTGACTCGGAAGACAGAGATGCATACCACCCGGGGCTGACTTTCTTTTTCTGATGGCACAGCAAGTGAATATCCCGCTGCAGATCCAGCCTCAGATATTTGGCTTTTTTTCCCTGATTAGTTGGGGTCAGATATTGTACTACAATCAGTGGGTTCTGTCTGGCGGCAAGTGAGGACTTCCTGCTAATCATTTGGCAATAGTAACTATAGCCGGGTCAAGGCAGTCTTGACATGTGCCGCCACGGTCGTGTTGTTTGGTGGCTTGGAGGCTCTGTTGATCCTCACTTTGCGAGTGTGTACTTCTCCTTGATGTGAGATATCAGCAATGCTCATCGTCGCTCGCAGATTCCATACAACAACGGCGTGCGATGGCCGGATCTCGTTGTTGGAGTCGTCGCAGCCATCTTACTTAGTGCGGGCTTGTTACCTCCGTATTTTGAGCTGTGGAAGAGACATGGGCGCGTGATCGGGTTCAGTGAGTGTGATCATCCCGGGATGAGATGGACATGGAAACCCTAACGCAGCTCGGCCAGATTGGGTGTTCTTGGGCATTGACACGATGGGCGGGCTCTTCTCCCTATTCGCTTTAGGTATGATTGATGCCTTGAGACATGATCGATCGCCATACATGATCGATCGCCATGTGCCTGACTGACCTACTTTCAGCGGCGCAAGGGACCTTTGACATTCTGGCTGGGGTGTTGTATATCATTGTGTAGGTTGGCCTATCCTGATAGAGTCGCATGCCAACTAACAACTGCCCACAGCGTGGTCCTTGAACTGGGTATCTATATTAGCCACATCATCTGGCGTTTCCGATACCGCCGTCTTCGGAGGGAGGCCAAGGCTGCTGGGAAGAGTATTGATGATCTGTTGGAATTGCAGAGAAATAACACGGAAGAAAGGCAGGACCCGGAGAAGGGCCTAGGTGTCGGGAATGCAGACAATGGGCAGACAGAATGAAGTTGAGACAGAAGGTATACCAGTCAATAATAGTCCTAGGTTATACTTAGTGTCGGATAGGTGCATGAATGGATCGTCAACTACTTCCCCTCTTCTTCTTCTTCCTCTTCTTCTTCGTGCTTCCTTGGTTTCTTTTCTCGTCTTTTCTGTTTATTTCTCTTGTTTCCTTCGTCGTTCATCTTGCGTTCCGCGCCCGCAGGGCTGTTTACTCAAGCCCTACATTCGAGACATCGGTCTCTGTCCCCAAATACCAGGATAGCTAAGAGTTGGTCAGCCCCTGACCCTGGCCCTGACCCCTCTAGCTACTAGCTCCAGCCCTCCTTTCCTCCCTGGTAGCTGTGGTGGACAATGCATGCGGTGATGTGACCAGGACCATCATTCTCATCATGCCCGACCGACGGCTGGCGCGTCTGAAGGCCAAGTTTCTACGCCGATCATCGTTATCGCCCAAACCGGGCAACGGGGTGGACCCGCGTGGTGTCCACCACCCCATTTCTTCTCCCTGTCCTCCGCGCCTCTACGACTCCGCCAGCGACAAGTCCCCTTACAGCATCGTCTCCCGCTGCTCAGGCAACTTCGATCCTGCCGACCACGACGACGCTCCGTCGCCGCTCGCCCAGGAAGGTGCTGACACCAGGAGCCCGCAGCCTCCGTCGACCGGCTCGCCACCGCCCGGAGAGCTTCAGTTTTCTCGCAACCATCGCGCGTGTACCCCTCCGCCGACCGAGCCCACGAGATCGTCGTTACACACCCCTCTCACCGTCGACGTTCCGTCTCCCCGTGACACCCCTCCGCTGCTGACGCCCCAAACTTCCGAGGATACTCCCTTCCAGCCGGTACACTGCGAAGTTCGGACACCAACGCCAGTCGAGACTCCGATCTCCCCAACAACTCTACACACCGTCCTCGAGACCCCTGTAGACGACCGTCGCCCTTCTGCGTCCTGGTCTTTGTCTGACAGACGTCCCAGCCTTGCCGTCCGTCGGCAATCCCTGCTTCCTGCATCGCACCACCACTTGATCAACGGGCTGTTGGGGCGAGATTCCATCTCCTCACAAGGTGGCCAGAGTAGTAGACAGGCTCCGTCCGCCCCTGCCGAGATGGTGCAGCGCCGGGTTTGGGTCAAGCGGCCGGGTGGCTCGGCCACCCTGGTCCCGTGCTTGGAGGACGCGGTAGTGGACGAGCTGCGCGACCAGGTGATCATGAAATACTCCAATTCGCTCGGTAAGAGCTTTGATTCTCCGGATATTGTGATCAGAATCGCCCCGAGGGAAGGCTCCAATCGACAAGCCCATCCAGAGCGGCTGCTCAGCCCGGAGGAATCTTTGGCCACAGTTCTCGACACATACTATCCCGGAGGTCAGGCAATCGAAGAGGCGTTGGTCATCGATGCGCCAGCGCGTCGAACCCCGAAACCGTCGCCGCGCCATTCGATCTATCATCACCACCATTCCGAGCCCGGCGAACATGGCGACTACTTCCCTCTCATGCCTGTGAACGCCAATGGACAAACGCCGCCTGCACACCCAGCGAGTTCGGGAGGTGGTCCCAATGCACCGTCCATCTCCATCCTTAATACTGGCGTACCCCCTCCCCTGCCATCCCCGGGGACCCGGGGGTCCCGGCACCACCGTCGACCTCCGCTCACGCGGCACACTACAAATTCACCAACCCTACTTGAAGGGGCTCCCGTGGCGGGTATGTGTGCCGACCAATATGCAGAATGATCACTGACTTTCTTAGATATTGGCGTCTCTCCTCATAGTCAACCTCCCTCGGCACCGCCGGCCCCGACTGTCCCAACACCACCCGCAGTACCGGCTGAACCTTCACAGCTGAAGACGCACACTCCGCCAGCACCGATGGTATCGCCGCGTTTACGCAAAGGAAAGGTCTCCCCGTCACCCGCTACGGTTTTTGGTGGCCTAATCGACGGCACCGTGCCTCCCATCAATGTCCTAATCGTGGAGGACAACATCATCAATCAGCGGCTGCTTGAGGCGTTTATGAAACGATTGAGTGTGCGTTGGAAGTGCGCAGCGAATGGAGAAGAGGCGGTGCGGAAATGGCGACAGGGTGGATTCCATTTGGTTTTGATGGACATCCAGCTGCCGGTTATGAATGGGTTAGACGCGACGAAGGAGATCCGACGGCTGGAGCGGTTAAATGGAATTGGGGTCTTTTCCAAGACGGCCTCTGGGCGCTCCAGCGCATCAAGCACCAACGCTGCATCTCCGGACGAGAAACGACCAGGTCTGCAGCGTTCTCTCAGTGAGGATGACATGCTGCCTGATCTCTCGCAGTTCCGGAGTCCGGTGATTATTGTCGCGTTGACGGCCAGCAGTTTGCAAAGTGACCGCCATGAGGCACTGGCTGCTGGCTGTAATGATTTCTTGACAAAACCCGTCGGTTTCCCATGGCTTCGGCAAAAGATGACAGAGTGGGGTTGCATGCAGGCCTTGATCGATTTTGAGGGCTGGCGCAAATGGCGCGGGTTCGTCGACTCGCCTGTGTCTTCGTCGCCCTCCGCCGACAGCGCGGTGAGCCCGATGCAGACAGGCGATAATAAGCAGATCAGCCTAGACCCAAGGTCTCCATCGGCTCTGCGCACTACTACTGCCGCCAACAAAACATCCAAAAGACCCCATGGACCACGCCCTAGCCTACCTGATGCCGCAGAGATCATGCGCGAAGACTCCTGGGGCAGCGGCAGTGGCGACACAGATTCGCCCTCCAGTCCGAACCTAACGCCTGCAGATTCAATCGTTCCTGCTCCGGTCGATGAGCCCTCTCCGAATGGTCAGTGATCTAGGAACCACCCACTCTTTTCTTTGCATACGGCCACTACCGATCTCTCCATATGTTTCGACTATCTGTCTCTCCACTTGGATACCCCGCATGGCAACACTGTCCTTCTGAATAATTCTCCGGTCTGCATCAGTGCCATCAGACCTTTCTTGCATTAACTTTTTCAACGTTTTTTGACCGCATGCGCATCTGCCCTTTTCTCTCTGTTTGCTCGTGTCTTTTGGCATGGTGTTCCTGAATGTTTACGTGCATATACATGGAGTGGGCATCATCTCGTACACGACTTTTGAGATGTCCGAATATTTGATTGTCTAAACTTGGGCCTTGTCTTGGCCTTTGGCCTACATTTTTTGTATTATCGAGCAGTAATCTTAGTACTGTATGAATGCATCTATATCTGACCTATAGTTCAGTACCTTTTCCTTCATGACCAGGGAATTATATCTAACGATCTATCGTACATGATCCAACACCTTCAGTGTTTCTCAATGCCCCTCAGCTCCGAGTACTCGGGCAGTTTCCAACCACCCCGATCCGCCGCAGAAAACTTGGAGATAATGTCTGGAATCTTCAGGCAACAAATCATCCACGTAAAGTAGCATCGTATGCGAATCGCCCACTGCGACATGGGCATGGCAATATGCACCAATCCCTGATAAAGCGTCTGCATCTCATTGACAAACGGCCTGAGTACGGCATCATAGCTTGCCAGCGCACCGCCCAGATCCCCAGGATGTCGCGTAATCTCTCCTGCGAGGACATACGCCCCAACAAAGCTAGCCGTGGTCCCCATCCCCGTCAACGGAGACGGACAATAACCCGCATCGCCCAGAAGAACCACTCGTCCCTTATGCCAAGTCTCCGTTTTCACCTGAACCAGCTCCTGGCAGTAGAAATCATCCGCAGACTTCATCCCCTCCACAAACCGCTCCGTCTCCCATCCAGCACCGCGAAGAATTCTCTCCCACACTTCCTTCTGCTGCTCAACCGGCGCGCGCGGCAGACTGCCAAGCTCATTGGCATCGTCCCGCTTGGACACAAGCACCTGCGTCGAGCCACTATTGCACCGCCTGAAAATAGCTCGTCCCTCCGTCGCGGCATATACGCTCGCCATCTTATCATCCGTTTCCCTGCGCGGGATCTTCCAGTACGCCGCACACGCCCCGATACGGCGATATGGCTCCGGTGCGTTAGGCGGGAGGATGGCCTTGCGAACGCGCGAGCCCTGTCCATCCGCCCCGACGAGGAGGTCATAGTCATCCACGGCGCCGTCCGAGAAATAAACTGTCACCTTCTGATCATTTTGCTGGAAGCGCTCAACGCTCTTTCCAAAGAGATACTCCACGCCCGCGTGGTCCTTCGTTGCATCGTAGAGAATCCGCACGAGATCCCCGCGCATGATCTCATATTCAGAGGTTAAGCTCTGCGCGCCCTGCCCGCTCTTGTTGGCGAGAATCGTGCCCCATGATTTCCCTGCCGAGTCCACGAATCGCATGCCCTCTTCATCGACGAGCTTGTCGCGCACGTTCTCTAATAGCCCCATGCGCTTGACCACGTCGATCCCTTGCGCGCGCAGGTCGATTTGTGCGCCTGTTGCTCGTAGTGTGGAGTATCGCTCTACCACTGTCACACGGTGGCCCAGCCGCGTGAGCCAGTAGACAAGTGCTGGGCCGGCACAGCCACTTCCACAGATGAGGACTTTTAGTGGGGGTGTCATTTTGGTGGTGGTTTGTGAATTAGGCATGTCTGTAGGGAAGGGAAACCGGTGCAGGAGGGGAAGAAAGAAGGCATGGTGGGTGGAATTGAGGGGTCTTTATAACTTTGGACTCTGCTTGTGTTTCAGGCCAGCTGTGATGCAACTGACCATGCGTCTCATCCCTGGTTCAAACAGTGTGCACTGGGCGTAGGGCTTGTTGATGATCGGGGCCTAAATCTCACGCTCGGACCCTGAATGATAGACATCCACCACTTTCGAAGTCGGAGGTCGGCGTGTTGTTTCCCGATAATTATAGAACGTGAACTACTAGGCATCAACACCTTGAACAGTGCATTTGGCAACAGAAGTATATCAATCGCAATGCCTCTCTTTCACTCCGACACTGACAGAGCAATAATCTGGACGTATCTATCTGTTCCTGTCTCTCCTTGTTGTTTTTCCCGACGCGCATAGTAAAGAAATATAAATTTCGTATGTTATATGCAAGGCAAGTACATTCAAATGAGGTCCCGTTTCCGCAGCAGCAAAGTTAAAGACATCCATCTCTATACGCCTGCACCACCCAGAGCCAACCAAGCAGTCGATCAAGCGCTTTAGCCCCAAACTCCCAAGACCTAGCAATAGAGCACGTCGTCAGGCATCTTCAATCAAGGTTTTTTACGTCATCGGTCGCAAGGCCCGCTAGTACGAACACATAAAGCAATTGGCCGGGTAGAGAGAGCGTTTCATGCTGTCTGTCAAGAGCTTATAATTACGTTATTGGTACAGTGGTGTGCCAAACGTCTGAACCATCTATTTGCTTAGACGGTAGTTGGAGGGTTTCAGACTTTTGGAACACCACTGTACTCATATTATGTAAGCATTGAGGACGGCTTTGTTCGTATTCGAGTTGGATTATTCGAAGGAATATTCGTAAAGTCATTATTCGTGTGCATACCTACATTAAAGGGCACAAGTTGGACGTGCAGCGATGGATATGATCACTCGGCGTTGAAGCGTCATGAGCTGTTTCGGCTCAAGCGGCATCTCACACCGCAACACACAAGCTTTCGGGCATGGTTCCCCGGAGATAAAGCCGGACTTTGACATACGGCAGCCCCAAGCTTGGAACAGAATCCCCGAAATTATGTCATTGGCCTTGAATGAATATTATTGCCCACCATAGCAGTCGGTGTCCAGGGGACGTGCTTAGAAATGAATTAGCCACCTTTTCCACCTGCCGGCCTGTGCAGGCATCAATTTCTTCATCCTCGCCCATTCGTGATGGCAGTTATCACTCGCATATTGTCCTACGCGGTCAATAAGCCGTATCGATCTAAAGATATTCGTCACGAACCCCACCCTTACCTCAACGAAGATGGATATGTCGACTTCGCGCCCGGCGACATCGAGAATCCTCGCAACTGGTCGATGGCTCGCCGTGTTACCATCACTATATCTGCCGTTCTACTCGTCGTGAATGCGACATTCGCCTCAAGCTCCCCCAGTGGCTGTTTTGGCTCCATCTCCGAAGAGTTCGGTGTGTCCATGGAGGTAGCAGGGCTCACAATCACACTTTTCCTGCTCGGTTACTGCGCCGGTCCTCTAATCTTCGCTCCGCTCAGCGAGTTCTACGGCCGTCGGTGGATTTTCTACATTAGTTTCACGCTTTACCTCGCGTTTAACTTCTTATGTGCTTTCGCGCCCAATATTGGCGCCCTGCTAGTGGGCAGGTTCCTCACAGGAACTTTTGTGTCTGCTCCTTTGAGCAATGCCCCAGGGGTCCTCGCGGATCTATGGAATCCGTTACAACGCGCCAACGCCATGGCTGGCTTCTCTGCAATGGTTTACGTTGGACCAGCTCTTGGACCCGTTATCGCAGGCTTTCTCGAGCTAAAGAAGGATTGGCGCTGGAGCTTTTATGTGCTTCTCTGGCTTGGTGGGCTAACGGCTATCGTGATGTTGACCATCCCGGAGACATACGCACCGACAGTTTTGTATAACAAAGCAAAGCGAATTCGGAAGGCAAAGATTCCTGGGTACGAGAATGTGAAGGCTCAAGTCGAGACCAGTGATCGGACGCTTGTTGGTATCTATAAGGTGGCGCTAACACGGCCATGGATTATCCTTTTCGACCCGATTTCTCTACTATGCGCCATCTACATGGCTGTCGTCTATACATTGCTCTACATGCTTTTTAGCATTTACCCCATTGTGTTCCAAGAAAAGCGCGGGTGGAACTCGGGCGTGGGCGAGTTGCCTTTGATTGGTACAGTTGTTGGGGCGCTGGTCGGTGGCCTCATTGTTTTAGTCGACACTCGGTTCCGCCAGCGACAGGTTGAGAAGGGTGAGAAGAAAATGGAAGACACCGTTCCTGAAGATCGATTAATCCTAGCGATGATTGGTGGCATTGGCTTTCCTGCAACCATGTTCTGGTTTGCCTGGTCGGCTGAATATAAGTGGGTATTATGATCCCTGACTTGCGAGAGTGCGAAGAGACTGACTTTCTCGAAGCTATGTCCACTGGATCGTTCCCACTCTCGCTGGGTGCTTTCTCGCGAGCGCCTTGCTTCTCATATTTGTTGCATATATAAACTACCTTGTGGATTGTTATCAGATGTACGCTGCCTCTGCCATTGCTGCAAACACCATTGCCCGCTCGGCCTGCGGCGCTGCTGCACCGCTTTTCACCAACCAAATGTTCTCCGCATTGGGTGTTGGAGGTGGCGGAAGTCTCATCGGTGGGGTCGCTGCCCTGTTAGCGTGCATTCCTTTCCTCTTCTACAAGTATGGAAAGCAGATCAGAACCCGAAGCCGATTTGCGCAGGCCCTGGATGATCGCACGCAAGAAAAATCGGACGAGGAGGCTAGTCCACAAGATGAGGCTATCCAAAGCCCTGTGTCGCAGCCCAGTGAGAGCGAAAGCTCCGTGTCGCAATTTAGTGAGAGTGACGAAGTAGAGAGAGGGGAGAGTATTCAGAAAACTCAGGATTAAAGCAACCACGTTCTTGGGATACGCCCTTCCGCTAATTCAATACCATCGTGTACTATAATAGAGGCACAAAAAGCATTAGAACTTCAAATTCAGAAATTTAACAGCAATACTTCGTCTATCATGGGACTAAATGACTGTTCAAGCCCGATCTCGGCTGATGTCTGGGGAGTTTCCACTGCCACCGGCCCAAAACTCTGCACTTGTACCAATCACGTTTTCATTTATCCCTGGGACCCCAGAATTGTCAGGCCCCCCAGTGAGACTGCTTAACAGTGTCCAGTACCAGGCGTCATTGAGACAAGGGTCTTGTGCATTTGGAGCACTGTTGTTCCGAAGTTTGTTATATTTTTCGACTGCCGTCTCTACCCGGTCGTCAATCAAGTCCTTGGGCGTCTCAATAGTCCATGGCAGCTTAGGCAATCCCAGGATCATGGATATTGTCCCCTGCACCAGAGGCGGAAGCGACTCGGCTCGTGGCAGTCGGCCGCTCGCCAAGCTCTGATCAATACACGTTGATAGTAAGAGGTAAGCTCGGGGGTACTTCAGAAAGGCCTCAATCCAGCCCTTGATTTTCAGTCGTTTGAAGGAAGGAACCGTTCCGCCATGTTGATTTTCGTCACCTGTAGAGTGAGAACCTAAGCATCCAGGGTCTTGGTTCGTCGATGTCGCATTCTGTGGCGCTCCATTTTCGAGAAAGAGATTCTTCGTGATTGTATACGCAAGGTTCAGTATCTCATTTGTGCCCTCAGAAAAGAAGTCTGTCACGTCGTACGCTTTTCGAGATTGAGTGACGACTCCTGAGCAGTGGTCGAGTGCGCGCCCTCGTTCGAGCATCTCCGAATACGAGGACGACAATTTGACATCTATCGCTGCTAGGACCATGGGAGTCCCGCAATACGCTAATCTGTATCGTTTCGTAAGATCAGGCAACCTACCATGTCTATAAAGCCAACAAATCGAAGTACTTACACACTCAGTGGGATGTTTTCTGTGTAGTCCTTGGAGGCAAAATATGCCATTGTTTGGGTCATTTGAGACACGGAACTCTGCAGCTCTTTTGCTATAGCTAAGAGCATCGTAGCAGACTTGTCCCGTAGAAGCTCACGATGCGTTTCGAGAAGGAGAGTTTCATGATGAGCGAGCGCCATGCGGGCGGTCCTAAATGGAAACGGTAATTAGTAAATTCACAATTCAAGTTCTCAATTCCTGTCATTCAGCCAGGCCATTTGGGCTTACTGGTAATGCATCATTGTCAGATGAGTGAGTACATCAATGGTCTCTTGCTGCGAGAGGTCCGTTGGATGCAAAGACGTTTGGAACTCTTTCTTCCACCGCGCAAGGTTGCTCTTTATTGTTTGAATCCTATCGAGACTTGCATGAAGTTCTTCGGACGGCAGGCATGGAACAAAACCGTCTGATGATGAGAAAGCGATCGATATGACGTCTGTCAAAATAATTGCCAGTCGACATTGCGCTTGGAATATCTTCAAAGACTCGCGCTTAGTCTTGGGCTCATATACTGCAGAAAACATGATCTCATCCGAAAAGTCCTCTTCCTCCAAATAGCCAATTCTTGGAGTGAAATTAGCTGAAATAAACTGAGGCCGACGATGCCGTCCGAGCCACAATATTCTGTCGCGCACAAAGACGGACCACCACAGCCGCTTTTTGGAAACATTCTTTGGGTCGTTATCTAGAATATTTGTATCGATTCGCAACATCATGGCGTTTTGAATCGCACATAGATTCCATGTCATTGTTGCCTGCGGGTCTTCCGCCGTGGTGTGAAATGTAAGCAGCATAGAACCTTGAGCCCTGGCTAAGGGATCATTTTCGAAGCCTGTGTCATACAGGACCTGTTTAAATACGCACAGGACGTTTTTAGCCAATCCATGAACTGCATCATATTAAGCGAGGGGTAATAGGAGTTCTTTAGAACCAATTGCGAACTATAATGTGATGAACTTCTCATGACTCACCTTGGCGCGATTGTAAAGTATCTTTCTGGCAGCACAAATGTCGATAAAGCCGCATTGTTGGATGACACCAATGGGTACAAACTAGGTTATCCATGAGGTTTCGAAAAAAAAAAAAAAAAGATCGGATACACCAGCGGAATACGTACCGCACAGCTAGCAAGTAGCATTGCTTGAAACACGAAAAGAGAAATTTTTGGTGAACCAATTGGACTGTCGTTAGACTGGAGGTATATATTCCAGAACTGCGACTCATCCAATATGGGAAGGCAGGGGTGCAAAAGTAAGAAGTACTTTCCAAGGAACACATCGATGGCAGGCTTCGGTGGTATCTCCAGACAGCCATTTGTTGCCAAAATATGTACTTCACTCATTGGGAGAGTAGATAAACCCTCTAAGTCCAGGAAGTTCTGTCCAGGAACGGCAAAGCCAGCATTACCTAACATCATTTGAGATGGGTCCACGCTAAAGGGACCAGGCAGGTTGGCTGAATGGGGCATTTCAAGGGGTAGATCTGTTCCCACCTGCGCCGGCATATCAGGATAGCCCAAGTCCTGCAGCAGAGTCTCGGCTTGAGGAGTCGACTCGTTCTCACTGGATGCCGGGGGAGTCACACGCTGGTGGCCTTCCGCTCCTGTCGATTTTGGAGGCGAGCATTCGCCATCGTCTTTTTGAAGTTTTTTGAAGCGTGCAGTGGTGTTAGGGCGCAAAGTACAATCGTCCCTTTCATCCAGCTTGCAGTTTGTGCAGGGAAATCCGGTAAGTGCTGCATCGCATCGTACTTTACGCCAGTGACAGTGATAGCAAGCCGCAGCTGCCCTCCGAATGCGCCTCTCGGGTGGTCGAGACACTTTGTTTTGATACATTTAGGGGGGAATGATTTTCTGGATTGAGCTCGATGAGGGCAACAAATGAACGATTGTTGAATGATGGTTTTTATCAGCCAAGAAATCTCCTAGGGGAGTTGATAGACAGGAATCTCTCCCGGGGGTTCATTGTGATACCCCACAATATTCCTAATGTGTGCACAGACACTTCCCCAGAACGCCGCACTCTTCCAGCGAGAGAATCAGGGACTAGTTCAATAATAGTCACGTTAGGATATTGCATCAGATGCAAATAATCTCGGAAATGCCAGTTCCCCGCACGTTGGATGCTTTCCTCGGACCGCTCTTCCCGACATCCTAAAGTGGCAAGTGGGGCGGGCTTCTTTGCCCGTGTTCTCGGTACGTTCACGAGGCTCGCGTGCATTGGGAAAGGGTTTCGTTATAAAAGTCAGCCGAGGCGGAAAAAGCCAATTCTTCAGAAATTGTGTCAATTCAAGACCAACTTGCTCTGGCGCCAATTGTGTTAAGTGAAGTAGGCACTCAGATGAGTCCGCAATCCTTTTTCTTCCATCTCTACTATATCGCGAAGCTCAGGTCCGTGTTTTCAGGATTTCTAATTCAAGGCCAATGGAAGATACGACAGCTACCCAACTTTGCCAACACAACCGCAGTCCCGGGAAGATTAATCATGAAATTGATCTCGAAGCTGCCAACGGAATGCAGCCAGTTGACTTTCATGAATATCTCTGGAGGGGTTTCAGAAGCCGATTTCAAAGCTCTTTCAATTTTGCGCTTTCTATAATTGTGTTTCTCAATATTGCCTTTAGGTATAGTAGGTCTGCTGCAAGGTAGCCTATACTGGTTCCAATTTTCCATGGCGCGACATTATCTTCTTCATTATGATACACATGTTAATAATTTTCATAGTGAGTGAAGCTTTACAGCATTTTCCGCTCTTCTCAATCCATCGGAAACTTTTCCTTTCCGGCGATATTTAGCAGCCTATAATTAATCATGGGACCTGAGGGTTTTCAATACTAATCTTCTACATGCTTATATCCCAATTAGGAGGATAACACGAAAACTCATAATATGAAAGAAAGTCTCCAGTCTCCTATTTGATGGTAGAAAAATATAAAGTATACAAGACCACACAAGAAGAATTGAACGGGGGAAAACAATGAGAGCAAATAACAGAGAAGATCACTCAAGGCATGTCAACACCGGTAGGCCATATTTCTAGGTATCTCGCAATCGACGGCGCATGTCTCTCATGTAATATTTCATAGGTATGGTGCGAATGAACCTTGGGATGATTGGGTAGGCAACCTTGGCTCCAAGCATCACTGATTTATAGAATGTGCGCCGAGTGCTGCTCGTTTTCAAGCCGTATCCTTCGCGGATACGGTCGGGAAGCATCTGTGCTGTCATTATGCGGACGATCGGGAGACCCATCCGCAAGGGCAAAAGCAAATGCTTGTTGTAAAGAAGATCCTTTGCAATACTTTGTGCGTGAGGTGTGATCTCCAGCCCAGCCACCGTAGTATCCCAGTATCGCCAGAAAGCCTTCCGGTTCTTTGGCCACTTCTCCGGTGGCACGCGAAGAGACACGGCCAGGACCGAAAATTCTTGGTATATATGATTTGCCTTTTTTCGGGTCCATCTCCCCATAGATCTCTTCATACATGTAAATTCCGCTGGCATAGAGAGTAGCGGCAACCCACATCTGGAGCTCGGGGTCATCTGCAGAATAGTCGGTCCCTTGCACTTCTGCATGAGCTCGGTTTACCATTGTAATAACCGCTTTCTTCTCCTCTTTTGTGCCGTATGCCATGCAGTAGACAAATGTGAGGGTAGTCCGAAGTCGACGCAACGGGCTGTAGGCAAAGCTGCTATGGTTGTCTACACCCTTAGCGACTCCTGGCATCGCAACCTGTAACAAGATTGCTGCAGCCCCCGCCGCTAGCAGGATGCCTTCACGAACAACCTTCTGCACCTCTTGGGAATTCTGCAGAGAATTGAGCAGGTTGTCATCGGGGACAACACCCAGATCCTTTTGCTCAACAAATTTTGACTGCCAGGGCTCCGGAGTGTTCGGTCGGTGGGTCTGCGATGATTCTTGAAGATCGACTGTCACCGTGCTGGGCTTCTCGGTCATCTCGCTCATAGTTACCAGTTAAAAAAATATTGTTTTGAAAGTTTAGTGATTCAGGGTGGGGAGACTGACTCGTTCATGGGCTCAGTGTACAAAAGTCTTAAGTAGGGCCCGGCAGCAAGCTGGAGTCGTAGCTCACCTCATCGGATCGTAAATTACAAAAAAAAAGATTTATAAGTTTCTGAGGGGTTGCCGCGGTGGACGGTCCGAGGGGAATGTTCAAAGTGACTACTCCGAGGCGGCGCAGACCCTCCCGCGGTAGCATACGATATTGCATAAGTCCTGCTATGGTAGCGAAGGAGCGAATTTATCGATCCCCGTATTGCGTATAGCAAAAGTGGAGCCAACACATGCAGCCTTCTGCGAAGCGACTATCTCATGGCCTTTTGGGTTAATGGGATCTGGGGTACCCCGCATGGCTAGTATGTAGACACCTAACCGAAGGACTCTATGAAAGTTTTACTTTCTCGATTGTTCTGAGACATATAACAATAAATGCGCTTTTAGAAAACCTCCAAAACTCTCTCGGTCTTTAGGTACTTCATTCTTCCTTTCAGCCACAGAGAAGACAATACAACTAAACGGTCGACTCTTTGAGAATTTGTCAATTATGCCTATTGGAGAATCTCATAGACCCTTCGATGGTATAGGTGCCCGCAAATTGTCTGTGGATTCAGCGTCATCGGGTGGAGATGACGAACTTGCTAAGGAACCTCGAGCTTCCGGTGCTGGAATACACATAGGACCAAAATCCAGGGATTCAGCTAAGCCCCGGGGATTCTGGGCTAGGAGATGGAAGCACTTCAAACGGTACTGGCTCTGCTATGGACTACTTGGAGTTATCTTTCTAGCAATATTTCTGCCCGTCTTGTGAGTCATTCTCGTCCTTGGTACGATTTATAGAGTGAGACTCCTGGCTAACTGTCTCTCAGCTTTCTTGTCATTCTTCCGGCTATCGCACAGAGACTGGTGGACAATGCCAGCATCCCAATTCATTCAGCAGAGGTCATTAGACCAACCCCGGATACTATCACATTTTCTCTTGCTGCGACTCTCGACGTTCCACTTGGGCTGAGTGTGGAGATAGATCAATTCAATTTGAGCTTGTTTAATCGCGATGTCAAGCCAATGCAGCCATATGTGATAGTCCCGCTAGGGCCAATTCGTCTCAAAGGGAACTCAGCTGTGGATGTTTCTCAGCAAACAACGAGAATCCTAGATGAGGATCAGTTTACGAAATTTCTATCAGAAGCCGTTTACTCCAAGGAATTTACTCTATCAGCCTACGGGAGGACGACTGCCCACTTGGGGAAACTGAAAATACCGTTGAAACTGGATAAAGATATTAAACTGAATGGTACAGCATTTACTATCCCTTTATCCGACTACATACTTTGCCCTACTAACTTTAACCTTATAGGTCTTGATAAGCTGAGTGGTTTTGCCATCAATTCAGCCAGACTGGCTCTTCCAGCCGAGGACGATGGGACTAATCTACTCGGAAGCGCAACAATACCAAATTACTCCGTGGTCACATTTGCTTTGGTATTATCACTGTGCATGTGCGTCTTTGTTTATCGGACTTGCGAGCTGATTATCTGGACAGGGGAATGTCACCCTCGATCTGAAGGTTGGCGACCTCGTATTGGGAACTGGAACGATCAACAATGTATTCTTGAAGCCTGGAAACAACACAGTTCCATTACTTGGAGCATTGGACATCAGCAATGCCATTAGCCATCTTGGAGAGCTTCTCGAAGCAGAATCAAGCTCTCTCAGTGAAGGGCAGTTATTGCTCTCAGCGTCCGGAAAGTCGACAATTTATGACGGACTACACATACCCTATTTTCAGCAGGTATTAAATCACCTAACTGTGACCGCAAATGTGCCAATTCTCAAGGTGCTATTTGGCAGCATCGGTCAGCTGGTATCATCAAATCCTGGGGTAATGCAGAATGTAACGAGTGCACTTGACGGCCTCGATTTATCGAGTGGTCCCAATATGTACTCTACAAAGGGTCACATGAGAACGACTTGAGAGGACTATTAATTCTTTTAATATTTCTATGAGAGGAAAGGACTGTTTGGACCCGTTATTTTACAGTATTTTAGCTTTGTCTACGAAATATAGCATCTGAAGCCGAATTACCATTTAAACATGTACTAGACCTTACACGATTCCCATCTAGATAACTAGTAAGCATATGTTATGGGATTACTATCTAACCGCGAAACGATTTTCCTCCTGTCATCATCATGTTACATTTCCTACATGCGTTGGGGGCCAGGCTACGGGAACTACATGCTATTTCCCAACCGATCGCAGTGCATGCTTCATGTGACGGAGGTCCCTTCAACACATACCGTCTTAATCAATTAATCTTTCTCTCTTCTGGATCAGCGGGGTATCGTATGCAGGGACTAGGTCAGATCCTTTGTACCCCATTTTTCTCCACAGATCTCTCCCCAATACCCCGCTAGCGGTCCGAGGCAAGGCTAACCGAGCTTTACCTAGTTTATTTTGTGGATGGATCATGGCACTTTTAGCTTCCGGATATTAATCTAGATTGGAAGCAAGAGACGGATCGAATAGGAAAAGAACCGAATGCTGATTGACCTTGTCTCGGACCACTCATCTCAGCCGATTGGTTGCTATGACCAGGCTAGCGTAACGGTGCTATAACTACACCGGTGATCTTTGCACTAGCTCCTAAAGTATTATAGTTTTCTAGAGAAAATATCAAACCGATACGGTCGGTTAACCTAACTGGACATCATAAGCGAGTCTTTGAATGATCATCATAACATAACGAAGAAAATCATGGTGCTTCTGGTCCTCGGTAAACCTTCAGGAGAGGACAGACTCAACCAATCCCATAGCTTTAATAAATGCTGTAACTTCCCTACTTGCCCTTTATGCCCTCAGGCGTTTCCCACGCGAACTGCTCTCAAACTGCCAGTCCAGAGCCATTGAAAATGAGAATCTCTCTTACCCTGATCCCGCTGCTGGCTGCAGGCATTGCTGCCTTCCCATCAAGCCAAAAGGAAGTCACGACAACGACATCCACCCTCGACAATATTGGTGCGGTTGCAACAGACACTGCCAATGAGTCTGCTAATAATGAGCATGGTCTCCTTGGAGAGGTGAAAACGGCCCACGACGCTCCTAAACTCCCGGGGGAAGGTGTCATCTCTTCAATTGTAAACAAGGCCACACAAGCAATTCCAGATGAAGGTCCCGACACAACGACGACTTCATTGAATACATTGACCACGACTGAGTCTAGTTCAAGTCCTCAGTCACATCCAACCGTCTCTAGCTCATCTGGTGACAATGGAGCCTTTGGAAGCCTTGGAGATGCCTTATCTGGTATTTTGGGCAATAGCGGGTCGGATGAATCGGTGCAGTCCATGTTATCCGAAGCAGAATCCATTATGAAGAACATTGGCAGCCTATTTACTCCGACTTTTGTTAAAGATGCCGGTGGTTTGGTCAGTCAGGCCTCGAGCTTTTTCGATGACGGAACTATGAAGGATACCAAAGCAATGATCAGCACCATTGCAGGGCTCAAGCCATTACTTTCCTCATCAAATGGAGACGATTTTTGGTCTATCTTTCAGAACGGCACTTTTCTTCATGACATCGACAACATCATCCAGGATATCATTGCTCTTCCGCCGATCATAGAGGAGATCGCCAAAATTTTGACAAGTGACGATATGAAAGACTTCCTCAAAGCTTTCCCGTCTATTCTTGATGGTATTATGCCCATTTTGAATCCGGAATTGCTGAAAGCAATTGAGTCCCTTATCACAACAAATGTGACACCGCAGTTTGTCAACGACTTGTCATCAATACTCAGTGCCGTGCGACCGCTTGTTCACGATCTTCAGCCAGCCCTAGGAAACGACACAATACAAACTCTCTCAAATCTTGTCAAAACCATCGTTTCCCCCGATTTCATCAATGAAATTGACAGTCTCCTGAATAAATTGCCGCCAATACTGAAAGAAATCATGCCCCTTCTTGGCTCGGATGTCATAAACCCACTCATCAACCTTCTCAAAGAGATTTTAACGCCAGATCTCATAAAGGAACTCGCTTCATTGATTGATGACTTGCCAACTCTTCTAAAAGACGTCCTGTCTTTAGTCAAGCCACTAGAAGAGCTGATCACCGAAATTCTGACACCGGAATTTATCAGTGAAATCAAGCCCATCCTAAAGAGTCTACCCTCAATCATCAATGATCTGTTGCCTCTTGTAAAGCCGCTGGAAGATGTTTTGAAGAGTCTTTTGACGAAGGAATTTATCGATGACATCCGCACCTTGCTCAAAGATTTGCCCCCTATTTTACATGATTTCTTGCCTCTCTTGAGCTCAAACATCATTCAACCGATTGGCAACCTCTTGAAAGATATCCTTACACCCGAGTTTATCAAAGAGGTTGGGTCACTCATCAGTGCATTACCCCCAATCATCAAGCAGATAGTTCCTCTTCTCGACCCACTTGAGGGTCTGATCAAGGACGTCTTGACACCTCAGCTTCTGAAAGACGTCACGTCGTTATTGAAACAACTTCCTGGAATGCTGAGCGATCTGCTGCCACTGGTTCCAAAGGTCGTGGAGCTTATCAAAGACATTCTCACCCCTGACGTGATTAATACACTTGGTCAAGCAATTGATGGACTACCCGGTCTTCTTGAAGCTGTTTTGCCCCTCTTGCCGGCAGCTGAAAATCTCATCAAAGAAATCTTGACCCCTGCTTTCATTCAGGACATCAAGTCGTTGCTTGGGCAAGTACCGGGCCTTCTCAACACCCTTCTTCCTCTCATCCCATCGATTGAAGACTTGATCAAGAAGGTTGTCACTCCAGATTTGATTCATGTCCTTGAATCAGTCATCAATGCAGTGCCAGGACTTGTGAATCGACTGCTACCACTAGTACCAGCACTTGAAGACTTGATCGTTGACATTTTCACACCCAGCTTCATCAGTGAGATTAAGAAGGTTCTTGCTGCAGTGCCAGGACTTGTGAATCGACTGCTACCACTAGTACCAGCACTTGAAAACTTGATCGTTGACATTTTCACACCCAACTTCATCAGTGAGATTGAGAAGATTCTTGCTGCAGTGCCAGGGCTTGTGAATCGACTGCTACCACTAGTACCAGCACTTGAAGACTTGATCGTTGACATTTTCACACCCAGCTTCATCAGTGAGATTAAGAAGGTTCTTGCTGCAGTGCCAGGGATATTAAATGCTCTGCTGCCACTGATTCCACCAATTGAAAATCTCATTCCCAAGATTCTGACAAAGGACCTTATCTCCTCTCTTGGATCTGTGCTCCAAGCTGTCCCTTCAATTATTCAGGATATACTCCCTCTGTTGAATGGCAATCTTATCAAGTCGTTGGTTGACATGGTTACTGCGCTTCTTACGCCACAATTTATCAAGGATGTGGAAACAGTGCTCAGTGCAGCCCCACATTTGCTTCATAGCGTGGTTCCAGTCTTTGGAGATGACCTGCTTTCTCCAGTGGAGAATTTGCTGTCTACGATATTCACGGCCGATGTGGTTCAAGATGTGGGTGAGTTGATTGGAACTTTGCCGCCTCTTCTCAATGATATGTTGCCGTTGTTCCACAAGGACATCATCGTGCCAGGAGAAAACATTGCCAAAGATCTCTTAAAACCAACGCTCATGAATGACATTGGAACGGTCCTCAATACCGTTCCAGACATTGTACAGAGCTTGCTGTCTGTCATATCTAGCAATGCGGTTACATCGATCCTTGGTGCGGTGCCAAACCTTTTGAATGACCTTCTCCCATTGCTAAATGGTGATTACATTTCAAAACTTATAAACGACCTGGTCAGCATCCTGACTCCCGAATTTATTAATGATGTCGGGAAAGTCCTGGCTTCAATACCGGGCCTCGCAAAGGCTGTTCTGCCAATCTTCACGGGCAATATTCTGACAACACTCGTACAAAACTTGATTCCTTTAGTGAAGGCTGTGGTTGCGGTAGGTCAGCTGTTATCAAACCATCCTTCCCTAACTAACTGGGCATTTCACAGCTGCTGCCCTTGGTGACGTCTCTTCTGGGCTCTTTGGGACAAAGTATAGGTGGCTCATAAGTAGCATTGGTCCGAAGGTATGAAAGAGTATGGAACCTGATATTTGGCTGGTATATGAGAGAGCAGGTTTATGTGCTGGTTTAATGTCGAAACGTCTCTTTTTTCAGGACCAAATGTCCATAATGATAGCTTAATGAAGTTTTCTTCCTAATCGATTGCCAATCAAAGAGAGATAATCAATATAAGCTCACACATACCCCCTATGAACTATCTACAATTAATTTTTTTTCATAAAAACCCAATCCAACTTGGGAAGACACGATGATAGAAAACAGACAGTTTTTGCCCTCTGATTTTTGCCCGGCACCAGTTTTGTTTGTATGCACTGAATCAACAGCCTGTCCTCGGCACACATTCAGTTCAGAGCTCCCCACCACAAGGTCCGAGGGGAGTGGCAACCCCGTTGATCCTGACTGGCTATATACACCTGCATCAGTGGTCCGAGGCTTTTGAACCCTAATTCAGCTATACGGCTTCATTTTTCATACGTCACATGCCATATAAGCGATCCTCGCCTGGATTATGAGATTAGGTAGTATTCACGTTTGTCTTTCTTTTTCTAAGCCAGCTTGTCCATCTATACCCCGCGGTCCGGTAAACCACGGACCGTGGGGATATTGCTATTGTAAACGGTATTGGGATGATATCACAATCCCGGTATGCCATTCCAGGTATATATGTGTGGTTTCTTGATGCATTCTAATTGTGTAGACTTCAATTCGAAGTTTTGTTTCCTATCTGCCCTTTCTCATGATACAACATTTGCAGTCATGGGCCGGAATAATATATGTTCGTCTAACTCGAATGACTCGCTTGTTGCCCTAACACAGAAGCATGATTGCCCTCCATGTATCTCGGAATTAGCGTTGAAGGATCTCAAAATCGTTGCAAGAGAAAGCATCACCTTCGCTGGAGGTCCTGCTGCAATCCTACTTCAAATCGCACATCCCCAGGTTGGCCAGGGGGTAGCGGACCATAGTACATTCAGGACAAGAGCCATCAGCCGTGCAGAGTATACCCAGATGTACATTTACTGCATGATCTTCGGATCTCCCCCAGAGAAAGCGGCGATGAAGGCATACGTTGACAAAGCACATTCGCGCGTCGTGGGCGGCAATGAAAAGGTTTCCTATAATGCCAAAGATCCTGAACTCCAACTCTGGGTTGCTGCGACAATCTACGCCTCTATGGTTGGCATATACGAGCTGATCTACGGTCCACTCTCTACAGCCAGAGCCGAGAGGGTCTACCAAGCGTTTTCGATCATGGGTACTTCTCTTCAAGTCCCGCAGGAAATGTGGCCTAAGGACCTAAAGGCTTTTGAAGTTTACTGGAACGATATGGTAAATAATAGGTTGCACGTCACTCCTGAGGCAAGGGGGGTCTTGAGAGATATCTTCCATCCTACTAGGAACCTGCCCATGTGGGCGCGGCCGATCGCCGTTGTCGCCATGCCGTTTGTGCGTCGAGTTACAGTGGAACAGTTACCGCCTAGTGTCCGTGATCAGTTCTTCCTCGAGTCTACGAAGTCGTCGAGGGCGGTTTCGCGGGTCTTCATTTCAGGCATGTCTGGCGTGTATCCTTTCATGCCTCTTTTTGTGCGCCAATTTCAAAAAACCTATATGATGAAAGTTATCAGGCGCCGTATGCGAAAGCGGGACGGCCAACTTATCAAGCCTTGAGCTGATAACTTGTTCTCCTCGTTCTACATTTCAATCTCTATTGTGGGTTGTTTTGACTTTTGGAAAAATTGTGATTCCAAGATTGATGCGGCTGTTGTTTTCTGTATGCCATGCAATGTATCCTGATTTAATACTTGAATAAATCCACCCGACACTTTGCCATGGCAGAAGATTATAAATCTTGGTTGACAAGTATCTAACTCAGCACAAAAATCTTCTGATTGGCCAACTCACAATCTTTGCGCTAATTATAATTGTGAAACTTTGACGTCTAATCATTTAGGCTCCCAGTTTGCAAGTTGAACCCCCAAAATAGGAAATATTTACTGTACGTTTTTGGGACAGAGGAAGGCAGTTTCATGTTGGATTTAGTATTAAAATAGCTTTGTCTTCGGGTGTTGGTTCTGTATATGTTGCTATTCTTGGTAGGGGAGTAGGGAGGTCAAAAAAAAAAAAGGAGTGGACGAAATATATATATATACCCGGCATTTGGGGACGGATATATTGCCTCTAGAATACGCTCAGAAGGGGAGCGGCATGAGGTCAAGGCCATTGTCGGATGTGGAAACCATTATTTCACAGCTGTCTGAGATGCGGGGATTTGCAGGCAAACTTCCGTCTAACTCTAAATATATGCACATGTTTGTTTCTACATAGAATAATTTTTAACAGTCAAGATGCCTTCCTTTTAGATATCCTCCGACGCTTGGCCGAGTCTCTAGCAGTGGTTACACTGGAGTGCGCCCGCTTCGCTCTAGATTTTTTGTAACTGCTCTGATAATACGACTGCTAGATAGATTTTTAGAATGAAGTTCCTCTAGATTCGGATACAGAGTCCTGAACCACGAATCGTACTAGTCATGTAAGTACATACAAGAAATGGAAGAAATGCCCTAGGGATTGTATAGATGTGCTGATTACAGAGAAAAAGGCATTTTCGAAATGCTGTAGATCGAGAAGATGTCTCATAGTCATTCATTGCAGGCCACATCACAGTGGTATCTTCTGTAGGTCTGTATAGATTGACAAAACTCCATCTACATATACAAGTACAAGTACAGGCGGACGCATCCAACCAAAGTCCAACTTTAGCTTCCAGGCCAGGATAAATCACGCCCCCACACGCGTCGGAATCTTAATGATACCGCGCTTCCGATCCTCAGAAGGTACTCCATACCTCCGACCAGGAGCGAGGTGACCCTTGCCGTGAGGACCAGTAGTCTCCTTGCTAACGACAGCATCATGGAAGCGATACTCAAAGCGCGAGTCCACGGGCTCGACCTTGGTGGTGCGGTCCTCGCGGCGCGCCTGGGCGCGTTCGCGACGCTTCTGCTCCAATTCATCCTGCTTCTTGATCCGCTGGGCCTGGCGCTCTGCGCGCTCCCGGCGGGCGAGAGGTTCGTTGATGCGATCGATCTCGAAGTTGACTAGTTGTGGGTGCGGGATGCGCACATCTGCGGGCTGCAGCACCTGGCGGGCGTTGTCGCCCTTGCCGACCCATTCAATTGAGTTGGGCTTCTCCATTATGCCATCGGCTAGGTCGGATGGGTGCGAGATCTTAGCGGCTGTTTCATGGTCCATTGCCGGAGCGCCGGAGAAGACCCGGCCGGCGTCTACGCGGGTGAATTTTCGCGACTCAGGCACCGGGTAGAAGATCTGGGCGCCGGTCGATGGGTGGGTGGGGAGGTCGTTGATGGGCTCGTGGTAAGTTTGTCGCTCGCCATCTTGGGCGAGGGGTGTGACCGGGACCATTTCGTGGATTGCCCGTGCATAGGGCAGGGCTAGTGGTTTCCCCTGATTTGAAAGCCAGTCAGTCATTGTCACCAGATTATCAACATAGCGAAACAAATTCCGAACGGTGACAGCAATTTTCAGCAACAAAGGGAGTTTTAACCAGTCAGGCAGTAATGCCCGATGTCTTCAAGACTAATCGATTTTGTTGTGTCTCATCATATGAAAGGGAATGGATGATCCCCGGGGGCGGGAAGAAAAAGAACCCAGAAAAGTGCATACCTGAGCTCTTTGCCTCTTCTCCAATTCGACTAATCTCACCACAGCCGCCACTCGATTCATATCAATCCCCATATCGACACTAACAGCGCGAATACTTTTTTTCTGCTGCGTGACACGCGCATAGATCTCATTGCGCAGCTCCTCGCTCAAGACGGGTTCACTGAAAAAAGTAGGATTATTGGGGAATGGGAGTTTCGAGCCGCCATCGCTTATGACGTTTCTGACCACGCCGGTCACGTAGTTGGTCTCGCCGGGGACGTGGTGTTTCAGTGTGGCTCCCGTAGTGTTGAGCCATGCGAACATTTCTCGGCGCAGCTTGGTGTGCTGTGCTGGTGTGCTTGAGAATTGGCGGGAGGGGAGAAGGGAGGAGTGGGAGGCTGGAGACGAGGAAGAGGAAGAAAGATAGGGGAGGAGGGTGTTGGACACACGCCTGCTTTGTATCCGGGGTGGCATCTTGAAGGAATTGTGGCAGTAATGATCTGAAAAGGAGTGAAGAAAAAAGAGAAGAGGAAATGAGCAATCAAGTACAAAGAGATATCATCACCATTGACCCAGTTGGAGAAGAGATGGGTTTGGTGGCCGCGAGGTGGACGAGGTGTTTGGGAAGTGCAGGGGAACCGCGGAGGAAGAAGTTTTTCCATTACATCACGTGACAACAAAGCCCTTAGCATTATGTACGAAATAACTACATCCAGTCTACAACCGATTTCTGAGCATGATTTCTGTTGCAGCAGTCCATTTGTGTATAAAGTACAGATAGAAGCAACTGTATCACTATCAGTGAAACTAAGCAAGATGGGAGATTTGGTAAAAGATCAAGTGATAGCAGCTAACACAGCAGAAAGCCATCGAGCAGAGCAATGCAAGCTAGTCCCCAAGCAAATGCGCAAATTGGAAACCAAACATGAGAGCCGGACGCCGTCTTCCCTGTCGCTAGGAGAAATACATGATGTTTTTTTATGGCGGCAAAGACCATACCGAGAAACGCCAGCGACAATGTCGAATGAGGACCACGGAATCCAGTAGCTCATGCCAGTAGGGGAGAGAAGGAAAAGAAAAAGATATTAAAGCCGACATTAGACCATTCTTCCGTACTCGCAAACAGGATAAGACAAAACACAAGATCCATTCCAGCCCGCGCGTGACAATGCAACAATAATAAGGATCCTGCAGATGGATGTAAAAAAGAAGGGGGAATCACAGTAGAACAACAGGGAGGATCAAAGACCCCAGGCTGGCCGGGCACAACGACGCGTCCTGCCACAGACCTAGGATGTAGGCGTGTGAAGAAAGAATGAGCGAGCAAGACAAGAACAAAAATAAAAATAAACACAAGGGTATGAGGGTGACAAAACGCGAACACAGAACCGATCGCACTGCTCGAGCGCATCGAACAGATAGGAATACAAACTTGTCATGACCTGAAATGCAAATCCTCCCAAGCGAATAGAAGGCAAACCGTGAAAAGAGCGCCCGGGTTCCCATGCAAAAAGACAAAGAGCCAAAAAACAAACACATCCATAAGATCAAAAGAAGAAAAACAATACTCCCGAGAGGTATGCAGCCGCCGAATGCTGATCTAGCTCGTGAATAGAAAAGGAAAGTCCCCAATGCGCCTGATACCCCAGTTCGTCAAAACATGCCGGACATTATCGATGATATAATGCTTCTGGAAGACAAGGGGTTTAGCGACCCATCATGTAGTCGGGGTAGAAGGAATTGTAGCCATTCATATTCGGCCCCGCGTTGTTGCCGGCTCCGCCTCCAGGAGGAGGCGGCGGCGACATCATCATCGAGTTCACCCCGTTGGTCCGGATTCCTAAGCCCGAGTTAGGGTTGAACGAGCCGTTGCCCACCATGCCTGCGTGGGGATTGCCAGGTGGATGCATGGCTCCTCCGCCGTTGCGCACTTGCATCGGCACGTTGAGGCCGGGAGGAGCAGCGAGGCCAGGGGGCGGGCCGTTCACAGCGGAGAACATGTGGTTGTGCATGCCTCCCAGACTGCTACCGCCAGGAACGGCGCCCGGCGCAGACAGAGGATTGGCAGCGCTCATGCTGCCGGGTTGACCCGAGCGCACACCCAGCGGGTTCTTCGAGAAGCTCAGGCGAATACCAGTCTTGACGCTATTGGACAACTTGTAGCCGTACAGTTCGTTGAGTGCCTTGCTTGCCATGGCCACCTCATCGAATTCCACAAAACACATGGGGCCATTCTGCTTGTTGCGGAAGCAGAGTCGCTTGTAGCCACGCTGCTTTGAGAAGAGCGCCTTGAGCTCCTCCTCCGACGTATCGGGTGGCAAGTTCCCCACATAGAGTGTGTTGCAGGGCGGATTCAGATCGTTCGGGTTTGCAGCGGGGAGGCTGTGGCGCGGAGTGTGCTGGGCACCGTATGGATAGCCATGACCACCACCGACAGGGGCTTGGTTGGCCGACGGCGGATAGCCGGAAGAACCGCTTCCCATGCGCGAGGAGTGACCACCTGGGGCATAGCCGGGGAGAGGTGGCGAAGACATATTGGTCGACAGGGACATGTTGGCAAAACGACCAGCCGGAATCTGAGGGTTTGTGGAGCGGCGCGGGGCGGCAGCCGACGCAGAGTGACCATTCTCTGCGTAACCAACTGGATCCTTGAGCAGCTCTCCGGTTTCCTCGTCCGGATCTTCATCGATCATGGACTTTCCTGTGACGCGGGGCAGATCACCAACGCCGTTCCCGATCGGAGACTGCGGAGAGAAAAGACTGTGGAGGCGCGATCCGGACTCTGAGGCCGGGGGCAAGCCTTCGCCGATCGCCTGGGAAGACGGATTGGCGGCTGAGAGGCGCTCGAGGCTCTGGAAGGTACCGTTGAATCGGGACGACTGACGCGACACAGGGCCAGTGGACGGAACGCTACCCAGAAGCCCGCGATTGGCTGTGTGATCGATCGTGTTGCGACGCGTGTTCGACCCCACGGGGCCTGGATACATCTCCACGATCATGGTCGCGTCGTTCTTCGAGTTTGGCTTCCCATCAAGAAGAGCCCTTGCTTCTTCGGCGGCGGGCAAAGTGTTGAAGCGCGCGATCGCGCTCAAAAATCCATTATCCTCTGGCAGGTCCAGCGACACAAAGTCGGCATCGACGAAATCCTTTGCGAATAGAAGCATGCTGCGCAGTGCTTCGCGGCTTGTGTTGCGCGGCAGCTTGCGCATCAGGATCGCGCCTCCGCTATTGGCGCGAACCAGGCCGTTGAGGCTGCGGTCGGCGTCGTTCAGGCGCATACTGTTGTCCAACGAGGCCGACGGACCGAGAGGAGAGAACGGGTAGGAAAAGGAGTTGCTTAGCGATGTGGGCGCTTGCGACGCATTCGGGCTATACACGTCGGTCGACATCGCATGCTGAGCCGTCAAAGGCGCCTCAGAGAGTGACTGGTGCGGTGGCGACGAGCCCGATGACACGGATTCAGTGCGCTGCGTAGTTCCAAAAGAGCCTGGACTCGTGCGAGTGGATTGGTTGGAGCTGCCGCTCATCCCTCACAAAGTGGTGTCTTTCACAAGACCTAGGGTGCGTGACTGTGCAAAGAACGATGGCTCTACAATCCTCCCAAAGAGTCAGCGATGGGAGTCGCACCGGAGCGTGGTGATCGCGAACAGAGATCTCGAGTCAGACGTGATGCGAAAACGCGACGGGTGAAAATGAACGGTTCAGTCGGATGGTACAGGCGTGAGACGATCGCTCATCAGATGCGACACGTCTAAAAACTGGATTTTTTTCGCGCGCTGAGGATTTGGTAGATGGACGGATGCAGTCTGCGCGGGAGGCGAATGCGACTGAGTGGGTGATTATTGGGGGGGGGGACGGGGAGTGGTTTTATGGAGAAGAGAGATGAAGAGTCGCGTCGAGCAGAGGATGCCGGGGATGCCGGGGATGGAGAGATGGCAGAGAAAAGGACGCGGATGGGGGGAGGAGTCGATGCGAAGGAGTGGGAAGAGAGAGAGATGAGAGGGTGAGGGAGGCAGAAGGGGGGAAGAAAAGCAGGCCGGAACGGTCGCAACAACCCACGGTACGCTTGTTCTGCGACGCGCGAGCCATAGACTGGTATAGCGTGGTACAGTATTAGGGGGCGATACTTGTGCCGAGCATACTAGACTCGGCCGGGGCGGAGGTACCTAGGGGGCAATATGACCGTATAATACCGGTCACGAATACACACGAGGGTGCCGTTTTCAGAGCACTGGGCGTGCCCCAACCATCCGCTACTAAGGGTCCCCCGTACATGGCAGCCGCTGTGGCAGACCCTATGCAAGAATGTACCAATATGTACACAACGTGCATTCCTCGAGTCTGCCAAAAGAACGACGTCAATGGCGCCTATACCCAGAGCCACGGAGACGGGGGCGATAAAACGGACGTGCAGCAGTTCATCCGTCAGTCACGATCGAGATACAGCATAGTTCCTAGTAGCTTCATCTCTCTTTAAGGAGAGAGAGACAGGAGTCACTCAGCCCGACCCATGGAAGCGCAAACTCTACACCGGCGATCCTCCAGTGCGGGCCAATAGACCTGTGGACTGGGTGGGCGGCGTCATGGCCTGGACTTGATCGAGGCATTCGGCGGGCTCTGGGGTTGGTATGGTTGGGCCGTGCCCACAAGCGCCTTTGTTCGGGGGACACACTGGGTTCCCGCCCAAACGGGCTTAGGCCTGGCCCCGACCAGTCATAGGCGTGTCACTGATTATTACTAGTGTAGTGCCTGACTAGGCACATGCGAGGTACGGATATGCCTCAGGTACGATACCGTAACTACTATAGGCAGAAGGCAGAAAGCACCAAAAGAAAAAAAGAAAGAAAAAACATGTATAGTTCAGCATCTAATATACAGGGCCTGCCGAAAGTCATAGTAAACGCCAGAAATGCCAATAGAGAATCATAACGCAGAGACAGAGCCTCGGCAGCGATCAGCATGCAGTAGAGCCGCAGTAGAACCCCAGTAGAAGCTGCGATATTCCCGACCGACGATCCACCCGTCCTCAAACATCCATGCGCTGCCCTCCACTCCACTCAGACAGACAGACAAGACAATCAAGCCTTGTTATGGGTAATCGGCTTCGGCTCAACCAAACCAGCCTAGATAGGAAACCACCCGAGTCAGCCAAGATTCCCAAAACGATGCAGGACAAGAACTCCATCATGATCAAAGGACAACACCCAAAGGGCCAGCTCTCATCACGCCGGCATCGTTGATCCAGCCAACACTTCACTTACCATGCTCAGGAGTTTCCACACAGGATCGCTGGGCTGCGCGCCTACACCTAGCCAATACTTTGTGCGTGACCGGTCAAGCGCAACTTCCTTGAATGCGCGTGCGTTGGCATTCTCATTGTACAGGTTCGTCGGCTGTTTCGGCACGGGGTTGTAGGTGCCGATGACTTCGAGGGGTTTCGCGCCACGGGCGGATCTAAGGCGGAGGCACGTCAGTTTGCAATTCATATGATTTTGAGGCGGGAAAAGGAATTGAAGGATCTAGATCATTGGCGCAGCAGCAGCCGGGCCGTTGATGATGATGATGATGATGATGATAGCCAGGGTAATCAAAAAAAGCGTACCGTGCTTGCGCAACCACGATGTTGTAGAATGGGTTGTGTTTGCTGCCGAAGCGAGACAGCCGAATCCGGAGGACCATGTTGGCGAATGCCCCGTGCTGAGGCTGAAGAGAAGGCAGTGGGATGGAGGTGGTGATGGTATTCGCGACGCCGCAAACTCGCCGAGTTGGAAAGGAAAGTTCGGCGGAGAATGGTTGATCCGATAATGCTGAATGCGGGTTAGCGCGGTTCGGGGCTCGGATATGATGCAATTGTATACAACCTCACTCGAGCTGTTTCAACTATCTGCATGTTCCGCTCGGTATTGACTCCACGGTTATCTATTCCTGCCGTTCGTCACTACGCCAAGACAGCAACCATGTCATTGAAGGTAGGCATGTTGCAACGCACTAGATACACCGGAAAGTAACATTGGCCAGGCCATTTCAGCTAAAGATGCCGCTTCCCTGGACAAGGATCTTATGGATATGGGCGGCTGGTCCTTGGACCAGTTGATGGAGCTTGCGGGCCTGTCTGTGTCGCAAGCCGGTGAGTCCTTGGGTAGACACAACTCAAGCCATATCAATAGCTGATTGCAGTCATATCGCAACGACAGTATGGAAAGTCCATCCGCCGAGCAAGGGCAAGAACATCCTCGTCGTGTGTGGACCAGGCAACAACGGTATGAGATTTACGATTTCTCCCTTATCAAGTCTAATACTACCCATCCAGGCGGAGACGGCCTCGTAGCAGCACGCCACCTAGCGCAGTACGGCTACACACCAAGTGTGTACTATCCCAAAGAAGGCAAAAACGAGCTGTACCAGCGCCTGAAAACACAACTGCACAATCTCTCCGTTCCGTTCACCACCGACTTCGCCAGCGCGCTCAGCTCCACGACCTTCCTCGTCGACGCCATCTTCGGCTTCTCCTTCGGCGGGCCCCTCCGTGCTCCCTTCGGGGAGATCGTCTCGCAGATCGAGGCCTCGTCCGTCCCTGTGTTGAGCGTTGACGCGCCCAGCTCGTGGGATATACAGAGCGGACCGCCGAAGGAGGGACCGGGGGCTAAGTTCGTGCCGCAGGCGCTGATTAGTTTGACCGCGCCGAAGCCGTGTGTTAAGTACTACCGTGGACGGCATTTTATTGGGGGGAGGTTCTTGACGAAGTCTATCGCGGACAAATATGGGCTGGATTGTCCGCAATATCCCGGGATTGAGCAGGTGTTGGAGATTGGGGTTGATGCGGAGGGGAGACTGTAATCGTTGCGAGTATTACGGAGAGAAATAAAAACCAAAGGATTTGCCAAATGGCTGACTTGCTTGCATTTATCATGGTGTGCTGTGTATCTTGTCTATGCGCGAACCCATTTCTTGTTCTGACTTACAACGCACCGCGTATCTCGTCCACGATGCCCTTGATGCGTGGCTCCTTGCCCGAACCAGACGTCGACACTTTCGTGAGGATCGAGCTGACTTCGTACACTTCCTTGGCGGCGCTCTGGACTTCAGTGCCCAGGGCCTGGATCAGGGTGCCTATCGCGACAAGCCCGCGGTATATGGCCTCGGAATCCTTCTCCGCAGCAACAATCTTGGTCAATTCCTCCAGAAGGACGAGGCCACGCTCGGCAGATTCAGATGTAAGGTCCCTGCCTTCCGAGGTGAGATAGACGGCAAAGTTGATGTACAGTGTCGTGACGGCGATGGTGAGGTTGCGGTTGGGAGCGCTCGCGCTCTCGACCAGGGCGGATTTCACAGCAGTCAGGATCTGGTCGAACCGAGTCATGGCGAGGTTACGGCCTGCAGTGACTTCGAATAGGTTCGCGAATGTGCGGATGGTGAGCATCGCGTTGTTGATATTCAGAGGCGAGTCGAGCACCCCGCTTGACAAAAGGCCCGTTACAAGGTCCTGGCCCCGGTATTCAAAGGTTGCAGTGAATGGCGTTGCGGCTGCTAATAGACGCAGCAGATCCAGTCCGGGCAGTCGGTTCGCAGCAGGCCACGACGTTGCGATCTTGAAAACCAAAGGTACTCCAGTCTCCACTGCCGCCGAGTCTTTCAGGCGCTGGGAAGATTCCACCTGGCCACAAAGAGCAACAACCACTTCCATCTCCGTGGGATCCAAGGCAATGTCCTTGGATCCTTCGGAGACGAGCTTCTCGTTTAGCTCTTGGAGCTTCTTGGCGATAACTTTGAGGTTAGCCGTCCGAATTGACAGATATGTCCTTTGAGGCAGAACTTTAGGACGGGACTCCGGAACAGGTGGTGCGGCAGTCTCTGCTTCTCCAGGACGATAGCGTCGATCCGACCCCCAAGGATCTGCCGCTACGGGCTCAGATGACTGTCCAATGCTCGCGCCCTGGGTATTTTGCGTGATGAAGTTTGCAACCTGATCGAGGTAGCCCATGGGAAGCTCATTATCCTGAATGAATTTGGTGGCCGCCTCGTATGGGTTCTGAGAGAGGTTGTAGGGGAGCTTTAGTGGTGGCTTTCCATCCTCGATGTCCACATCAAAGACAAAATCGTAGTCCTGTCCGAGGTATTCCGTTTTGCGTCCACTGCTCCCAACCGAATCCACTACCGTACCGACGGCAATCCATTCTTGTGTGGCGGACGACCATGTGTGCGCCGTCACACTTCCATCCGCTTCTCGGATCATTTGGACCTGGCCCTCCTTCGTCCCCGACTTTTGCTTGAGAAAATCTGGGCCGGGTAGTTGCTCTTTGTTGACTTTCCCAACCTGCTGCTCCGGAATAGCCGATTCTTTTACGGTTTGCTCAAACTGCTGCATGACCTCCGCGACCGCATGACGTTCGGGGTTTCTGCTGAAGACTCGAGCGATGCGGTCACTGGCACCTGTGACAATATCACCGGTCTCATTGCAGACCGCAACACTCCACACTGAGATGGCCGGGTGGGTGATGGTTTGCACGCATTGCGTCCCTTGCCACACTCTCACAGTCCGATCCTCTCCCGAGCTGACCAGCTCTCCCGAAGGGAGCGAGGCGAGCGAGTAGATGAAGCTCTCATGGCCATGCAAAGAGGCAACGAGTTCTCCATTCAAAGTGAAGAGGCGAATGACCCCGTCGTTACTGGCCGAGGCAAACTGAGCCCCCGTGGGATTCGATGCAGGGAGTCGGCATAAAGCTCGGACAACGTCGTTGGAGTTCTTGATAGTCTTACGCAGAGTGCCCGAAGTGCTGAATATCCTAATGTTTTGGTCCGCGCAACCTGCAGTGACATTAGTATGTCAGGCCAGACACATAGAAGATCAAGGGAGCAAACCGGTTATGACGGTATCCTTGTCGTAAGCCAACACGGCCCATACACTGCCGCCGTGACCATCCAGTACAACGTCGCACTCCCATTTCCCCACCTTCCAGAGCCTCGCGGTGGAGTCCCAGCTACCACTGACAATCCAGCCACCGTCCGTGGATACATCGAGCGCACAGACGTTGTGGGCGTGGCCCAGCAACATCGCATCCGCATTGTCATCTGCCGCTTTACTCGGCTGCCGAGCCTCAATGATTGTATCCTGGCCACCAGCAAGAACAAGCCCTTCGGGGAACTCTGGGGTCGGTGGAAGATATGCTAGACTGTTGATGAACGCGGAGCCGTGAGCGGTGATGGTGTAATCATAGGTGGGGGGAGGGGTTGACACCAGCTTCCAGAGCCGGACGGTCGCATCTCGAGAGGCTGAAAAGACGGCATTGGCATTGGGGAAGGCCACGGCGCGAACCTAGGATAGAGGATCAATCAGTCAAGGGAAAGCGTTGGTGATCTGTAGCGACTTACATCATCGCCGTGGCCCTCAAGAGTTGCGGAGAGCTTGAAGTCAGGCATACATACAACTGTCGGGCAGAGAAAGAGAGAGAGAGAGAGTGAGGGACAAGGATTAGTAGCAAGGAATTGCAAAGAATGAATCTGAGCTCTGATGCTCTTCTTGGTGATGTTGTTGTCGTTTGTTCTCGGCGTCTGGTTCCCCGCCAAAGCGTATCATCTCACGTGGGCGGTCAGGATTCGATCTACAACGGTTCGAGAACTTACAGGGCTACATACTGTAACTTCTATGGTGAGGACATAAGAATGTTATGACGATGCTCGATTAGGGAGTCTATAATGAGATACCCATTATTTGGCTTTGTTTGTAGCTAGTACACAATCGGATATAGAAACCAATCCAAACAGACAATCTAAGTATCTAACGTTGTTTCTTTGCTTCTTCTTCTCCTATACAATATCGATCATTTATGGTCCACCACAGGTAACCGGATACCTATCCACATGTCCTTGGGCAGGCATCTGGCGATGAAACCGAGTATCTAGTGAGTGAGCTTATAGTTATAGTCGCCGTCTCACGTGCTCCGCACTCGATGACATAAGCCGCGGCACCATGATAGAGACTCGGCTTTGCGACTGACTGTGTGTGTGTGTGTGTGTGTGTGCATCAGAGTCACTTCCCCTCCTTGCCTGGGGATTTTTCGAGCCTCGTCGATCCTTTGGTCCCCTTTGACTTGATGACTTGACGACCCTGACGAATCTCCTATGTACTTTTGCGACGATTGATCACGCCTGAATTTTGCTGTCTCATGGAGTAATCCCAGATCCCATCATCCTGATCCCACCATGTCTTCCGGTACGCTGGACTGATCCCCCACCAGGGAAACATGTTTGTGGCTAATCCGCTCAACTAGATATCCCCAAGGTCGTCCCGCTGACCTGTCATGGACACTCGCGTCCTGTGACGCATCTCAGCTTCTCCTCCACCGTCGAGGATGATCAGTACTACTTAATCTCAGCGTGCAAAGGTAAAGCTGATTACCATTCTAAATGAAACGTGGGGCTGACACGCTTTCTAGACAACAATCCCATGCTCCGGGATGGCATCACAGGCGACTGGTGCGTGTCCACTATGTTCTCAAGCTTTCAATAGCAGCTAACGTAGCCATTCCAGGATCGGAACTTTTCTCGGCCACAAGGGCGCAGTCTGGCAGGCGCGTCTCTCATCCGATGCCACCATCGCCGCCACCGCGGCAGCCGATTTCTCCGCGTAGGTTTTTCCCCATGCCAAACATCCCCATATCTAAGACTGACAACTCCCACAGAAAAGTCTGGGACACTTTTACAGGCGAATGCCTGCACACGCTACAGCACGCACACATTGTGCGGTCTGTAGCCTTCCCCATCCAAGCCAACCCACAGGTGCTAGCCACAGGCGGCGCCGAAAAGAAGCTACGGATCTTCGACCTCACGCGCAGCAGCACAGTAGCAGGAAGCGGCGGCAGCAACAGTAACGGTTCATCGCCACCACCATCAGCAGCACCTACTACATCTTCATCCTCGGGCACCGGCGAGGACCTAGCAAGCTTTGAGATCGGGCCTGGCGTGCACGGCGGCACGATCAGGTCCATCATCTGGAACCAGGACTACAACATCGTAACAACAGCAGCGGAGGACCGCAAGGTGCGCTGGTGGGACCTGCGCTCGCGCCACCCGGTGCTAGAGTATGCCGTTGAAGGCCAGATTGGAAGCTGCGAACTGAACAATCTGGCGGCGAGACCTAATGACCCGGGGATCTTGACTGTCGCTGCGGGGAAGAGTGTTTACCTGTTTGATGGCGTGCAGCCGGGCCGGTTGCTAAAGAAGGTCGATTTCGGGTATGAGGTTGCCAGCGCTGCTGTTAATAGCGAGAGCGGCCGCTTGGTTACTGGCAGTGCGAGCGATACCTGGGCTCGGGTTTATGACTTAAACACAGATGAGGAGCTTGGTATGTCTTTTACTTTGCCCTTCCGTTGTTATCATTGCTTCGTTCTAATAATCCGCAGAGGTTCAAAAGGGCCATCATGGCCCCATTTGGTCTGTCAGCTTCTCCCCCGATGGCAAGATCTATGGCACAGGCAGCGAAGACGGCACCATCAAACTGTGGAAGGCCTGCCGGGAGCCGTACGGCCTGTGGCGATAGTCGTCCCGATGTGATATCCAGTCTCAACTGTGCACAGCGGGGATACTTTCTGCAAGACTGCCTCTTCTAATTGCTCTCTACCTATTCCGTACAACAGGCGGCGGTTCTTGCGAATGCATCTGTATGGAAACGTGGGTATTTCATACCCCGTGGGTACCTCTTTTAGCGGCATCTAGCAATATTGTCCTATCCTGAGAAAATGAGAACCCAGAAATAAACACCTCAACTCGCCATGATATACATTCAAGCACGAAATAGAAAGGGAGAAATCAGATGCAAAAGATCCCAATGGCAATTTCATGAGGTAGATAAAATTACAAAAGATCCCCAACAGTTCAAGCGATTCCGTCGAAGAGCGAAACAGAATGAAATGAGATTGGACATCGTTAAACAGATGACTGGGACTCTCAACGGTAAAAACCTCCCAATATCAAAAACGGGCACATTCCTATGCGCCACCAAGCTCCAGTCAAGCCGTTTTTCTTTGCTCGTATTCTTACTCGATCATATCGATGTCGTCGTCCGCAACCGCAGGGGCAGCAGCAGGGGCCGCAGCCGGAGCGGCCTGTTCCTGACCAGGCTGCTTATCAGCCTCACCGGCGCCCTCCTTAGCACCACCCCAGTAGTCCTCCATCTCCTGGTCGAGTTCCTCCTGCGTCTTGCGAGGACGACCATTTGCCGTGCGCCGGCCCTCATCGTTCCGAGACCGGTTGTCGCGACCCCCGCGCCGAGCACCGCCTGCGCGGCGGGCAGGAGAGCGGCGGCCCCCGGGGACGTAGCGGTCAATGTTATCGGGAGCAGGCTTGGAGACGTCGCTGCGGCCGGAGCGGCCTCCGCCACGGCGACGACGGCGATCTTCGGTGTCGGATCCAGGGCTCAGGCTGCGTGAATCTCTTGGGCGCTCGACGCGGTCGAAGAGGCTGGACTTTGGGCGATCGGCATTGCGACGGCCGGGCACAAGCGTCAGACGGATCGGCTGGCCCTTTGCATTGGCTCCGTCGAACTCGCGGACGGAGGTGTGTGCGTCTTTCAGGCGGTCGTATGTCACATAGGCAATGCCTTGAGAGCGGCCGGCGCGGTCGTAGGAAAGAGACAGGTTGGATACGGGTCCGATTTGGGAGAACAAGTCCTGTTTTCTTGTTAAGCGGCGGTTTATTTTATAACATGCAGAATCTGGCGCGTACCTCGAGATCGCTCTCGGTGATGTCGTAGTGAAGGTTTTCCACGCGAACTTTCGTAAGAGTAGATCCACTGGGATGTAATTAGCATCGCAGACCATATATATGCATGCTGTCATTGCGAGCTTCATACCGATCAGGCGATGCAGAGTGACGTTCACGGCCACGGCGACCACCACGGGACGGGCGAGCTGGGAGAGCTGTCAGGAAGGGATGCAAAGAACCGTCTAATAACCTCGCATACCATCATCGTCATACTTGTCATGTACCCAGTCGCTAGAGATTCATCGCAACGCGTCAGTGCCCATCCAATCTAGTAGCCAAGTGGTTTGGGTCCAGGAAAGGTATAATTACAGATTCAGATCGACGCGGTCTTGAGAATAAGGCTGTTGCGATCCAAGTGAGCGGTTAGCTCCAAGTCAGATAGTTGAGGTGTATTCAATGTTGCGTTTTGTGCAATTCTTAGCCGCGGCCATGGTCGTTCGCAAGCCTCAGAGGATCCAGAGAGCAGGCGAAGAACGAAGTGGTGTCACGGCGCAAGAGGAAGATTCGAAGGAGGAAGAGGAGGGCGGACCTAGAGAGGACAAATATTAGCCACCTATGGTTCAAAGCAAGTGTTGGGATCGAAACCCGAGGAGACGCAATCATACCTTTCTGATGCCATCGCCACGGTCACGCCGACGGCCCTGGCCGCGCCGAGCACCACTGGAGGGGCGATTCTGTTTCTGCTATAGATCAGTTAGTACATCTGTTTCATGACAATCGCCTGAGCTGCGAGCAGCATTGCGAGGATGGGGCTGGCTGGGCCTTACTGGATCTTCGGCAATGATCTCATCCAAGCTGCGATCCATCTTGGAGGCTGTGGGAGAAGGGATTGACAAAGTGAAAATGAAATGCGACACGAAAATGTTCTGGTTAATGTCTGTTCTGGCCGCAGAGAATGGGGATGTTGGTGGAAGGAGTCGCAGAGGCAAAGGCCAGGCAAACCGGGGATCGGTATCTGACCATCACGTGATGATATGCCCTACAAACAGAGGCGAAGTATGAACACAATCAACCATTGGAAACAGAACATCAGGTATCAATTCACTCAATGCACCGACTCATACAAAAGTTAACTCCTCCCAGTACGATCCTTGAAACACCCGCAACAAGGCAATGAAACCCCATCCCAAAATGGACCGCCAACGCTGTGCAAAATCAAACTAACGGCAGCCTCACTAATTTCCGTTCCTCTTGTTCTCCTCTATCATCTTTTCCATAAAACTGATGTAGTCAAACTTGGCTAAATCCCGATCCTCAAGGAGATCAGGGCCTTCATGCTGAGGCATGGTCTTGACCAGGTGCTCAATCACCTCGTCGGGGATGAGCGAGTGACGCAGGTCAAGCTCAGTCACGTAGGGCTGAATCATGTCATGTCAGTATTCCACATATAAAAGAGGGTAGAGGGCCATACCTTGCCATCAGCCACTTCCTTGAAACTCTGGAAGACTTGCTCCGCCGTGTTTTGGTCCTCGGTCACGCTGACCATAAACCGAATGAACTGTTCGAAGCTGACTCCTGCATTCTGTGCCAGCCGACTCGACCCACAGACCTCCAGGTACACTTCGTGCATCTCATCTTCATCATAAACCAAACCCAGACTAGCCAGCGCCGCAGAGAACTCCAGTTCTTGTAAGGTGTTTGAAGCATCCCGGTCAAAGTGGCGGAAGACCGATTCGAACTCCTCCAGTTGAATGGGAGTCAGATTGGTCATGTTTCGAGCAACCGTTTGGTTCTCTAGGAATGCAAGCTTCTTAGAGATGCTGGATTTGACGAGACTCAGCTCGTAAGACAGCTCGTCCAGCGTGTAGGTGGTGAAATCGTTCTCCTCGATATTCGCCTCTGTGCATTGCTCATCCAGGTCTGCGATTGAGTCGAGGAACGCGTCGAGAGGTGGCAAGTTATCATTCAATTTCTTGACATGGTTTAGCTGGTCCTCGACATCGCCATCCAGCCCGGAAATGGCTAGCGACAAGGTCTTCAGTGTGAGGGCAAAGTCGTTGGCTTTATCAGCAAAGGTTCGACGCAGATTGTTCTTGATATCGCGGATGGTCTCGTTGATCAACTGGCTGCGTTTATGCTCGTCGTGGGTCAGACGCTCCCACTCCTGGTCGCAGATCTCCAGACTCAGCTCGCGCGGTGGTTCGTAGGGACGCAGCCGATAGGTCCCCAGCTTGGTCTTGATATTGCCCAGCAAAGCGGCCAGGTCTGACTTTTCGGCAACCCACTGACGTTTCTCGTTCCGCTTGTACAGCGCGAACTGGTTGGCCTGCTCCTTGACATCCTTGTAGGTCCCTTCAAATGAAGCATTCTTCCACCCCTCGCGCTGGGCACGAATCACCCGCAGCAACTCCTTCACCCGGCGCTCGTACGAGTTTTCCATCTCCCACGCTCCGTGCATATTGTTGACAAACTTCTCCACCCGCCGCCCGGCATTTTCCACTTTCTCCAGCTGCGAAAAGGCATGGAACCAGTAGGCAATATATGTCATGAGTGAGCGTTCATCGGGCCGAGGCACGTCGCATACATCGTCCACATCCAGCAGGTCCGGGATACCGATCTCGTTGGCCGCAATATCAAACGCCAGCTGCATGTTTCCGCGGTGGTCCTTTTTGTCCAGGGTATCATAGTCGATCAGGTCTGGACGGTGGATATCAAGCAGGGCACAGAATGCCAATCCGTCATTCCAGCTGGAAGAGAAGTCCCGCACCTCGACATCTTCGTAGCATGCAGTCTTCCTCTGGCACCAGAGCAGCAACCCTTCCTTGGCGGTCAGGCCCTCGGCGTTGATGTCGCTGATAGTAAACCGGAGAATCAGCGTCCAGATCAGACCCAGCACGATCTTCCGATTGCCGTCGACTATATCCTCGGCGCCGATGTTGGTCATTTGGATCTTGCGCGACTTGATGAAGTCGAGGCTCTTGTTGACATTTTCGAATTTCTGCACGCGCAGTTTCGGCTTGGAGGCATATCGGCCCAGCGACTCCCCGCCCAGGATCTCGAGCAGGTGAATGAGTATGACCTTGTGAGGGGTGGTAGGTATGTTAGGATGGTGTTTATTGCCGGCCGGGGGTGGGGACACTCACTCCATCGGAGAGATCAGTGATCAGATTCTCGATGGCTATGTCGCGTGCCTTCAGCTTGTTGTTCAGCCTGGTAGAATTCGTCAGTCCATAGAGGGGTTGGGAGGAAGGGGAAGGGAGGGAGGGGATGCTACGGACCATTTAGTGAAGGTCTTTTCCTGTACATTGACCCATGACTTCTCGACCGTCAACATGGTGGCTGAATCAGGGCGGCATTCAGAGTGGGCGAGTCAATGACCAGCAGAGTAGTCCGAAGGCAAGAGGTGGAGTGTCAGAGGAAGAAGGATTTCTTTGACCGACTGATTGATTATCGGATAAAGGATGGGAAGGATTAAGGCCAGGGGCGGGGAGCAAAACCCCAAGTCACCTGGGCAACCAGACTAAGGATACGCGGATCGCTCCGTATACTTCCAGTTGTCGGTCAGGAGAGTTCGCACTGCTCTACTAGCCCAATATGATGAGATTTCCATCAGATGTATGATCGAACTATGTTTACTCTCCTGAACCATGGCGCACCTCCCAGCGTCCGTCCTCGATGATCGGCTCCAGACAGGGTGATCAGTCACCACCACGACATATGCCTCACTCGATACCATGTACTTCTTTTTAATTCTAGACCCTTGATCGCATGGAATAGCACACTGCTTAATAAATCATTCATTCCACCACTCTCTCTTTCTCTCTCTCCCCCCGATTAATAAGCAGATGATATCATCCGCCCGGAGCGGGGCGAGGGGTCAAAAAGAGCATTTATTCTGGCGTGACTGCGACTCTTGCTCTTCTTCTTCTGTCCAACCCGCCCACCACAATGTCCTCCTACAGAATCACCGACCGCCTCGCCCTCCCCAATTCCAGCGTGCGCATCCCGCGCCTGGGATTCGGCGTCTACAAGTCGCCGATCCACCAATGTATCGCCTCGTGCCACACGGCGCTGGACGCAGGCTACCGACACATCGACACGGCGCAGTTCTACGGCAACGAGGATGAAGTCGGCGAAGCTCTGCGCACCCACGATATCGCACGCAGCGAGGTCTTTGTCACCACCAAGATCCTCAGTCCAGCGGGCTCGCCCGAGGCGACCTACGATAAACTGCTGGCGAGCGTGGAGAAGATCGGAGGCCCCGGCGGATACGTCGATCTGTTTCTGATTCATAGCTCCAAATCTGGGTCTGCGGGCCGCAAGCAGCTGTGGCAGGCATTGGAGAAGTTGTTGGAGGAAGGGAAGACGAAGAGTATTGGGGTCAGCAATTTCGGGGTGCAACATATTGAGGAGATGCGGTCGTATGCCAAGGTCTGGCCGCCACATGTGAATCAGATTGAGGTTGGTTCTTCTTCTTCTTCTTCTCTTTTCTCTATGGAATGAAAACTAACTACGATGCCTATCGCGCAGCTCCACCCATGGTGCCAGCAACGAACCATTGATCAATACTGCAAGCAGCACGGGATCGTCGTCGAGGCTTACTCACCCATCGTGCGCAACTATAAAGCCAACGACCCGACGCTGGTGGAGGTGTCGAAGAAATACAGCCGCACAACACAGCAGGTGCTGATCCGCTACGCGCTGCAGAAGGGCTGGGTGCCACTGCCGAAGACGGACCACCCAGACCGCATCGTCTCGAACGCAGATGTCTTCGGTTTCAATATCAGCGAGGAGGACATGGTGGTCTTGGATTCGCTCGACCAGGGCAGCGCGGGAGCCATTGTGGAGGCGGTGGTCAACGAGTGAGCACCGCAACGGGATCAACCCAGGAGGACGGATTGACTCTAGTGGGGAAAAAGACACCAGTCCACCTTCAATAATCTGGCGGCTGCATCAGAAAGGCGTTCACCGATTGCAGCGTCGACCGAGACGGATTCACGTCATGCTTCGATGACACGATCCATGCCAGACGTTGTCGGATGAACTGTTTGCCTATACTGCGTGTCTTGGGAGACGCATCGAAATTCCCTTTGTTTATATATCAGCTGTTCGTTCTAGCGTTATAATGTGGTTATTTCCCGCAGGAAATGAAGGATTCAATGTACCATCATCATCATAGAACAGACAGAGGATGGCTAGCAGCGCACCCGCCGCCAGATCCTTGCCCGTATCACAGGTCACCAGCAACGAGCGTGCCGGATCAGGCCCCAGCTGCGCGCTGACAAAGTCACGGACTTTGTCCAGGGACTTGCGCAGATCGCGACTCCCCAGCTTCGCGGACGCGCAGCCCAGATTCAGACGTTTGGGATTCCCCTCGACGGCTACGGGGATGCCATTACAATCAATCACGAGATCGTACCGACGAACCCCTTCGGTATCAGTATCAATATCATTCGCGCCGATGTAGAGGTTGCAGGTTGGGACAATGAGCGTCGCATCGGTAGCAGCATTTTGTCGTTGATGCTCGGCCACCAGCTCCGCAATCAGATCAGGCAGATCCTCCTCCGCGGTTCGTTTCAGGATCGCCTGATTTCCCCAGAAGACGGGCGGTGTCAATCCATGCGCCCATCCCTCGCTGTCATCGCCGGCACCTTGGATATAACCGCCCTCGGACATCTCTGCGCCATGCACGCGCTTGGAGGCGGAGCAGAGGACTAGAAGGTGATAGGCATTGCCTGTTTGGAGATCTGTCGGGTAGAAATATGCTCGATTCGCCCAGGCAATCCGGATCGGTTTGCCGAGCTGTTGGCGGAGGTGGTTGAGGTCGAGTTTGAGGTCCTGTATTGATTATCAGCTGGGAACGATGACAATTGAAAATCAAAAATGAAGTAACAAAACAAACCGTGAGAGAATCTACAAATCCATCAATCCGACTCTCGATCTGCGACTCCTCGGAAACTCCAAGGTAATTCGGCGGCAATTGCACGGGGTGATACGCTGGTTGGGACGGGAACATGGCTCGATTCAGCACGGCGCACCAAATGGGGATTGTTTTCGACAGGGCATCGGGCATGACTGGCACACAATTGATTGTCAGCTTCCTTGATTCATTAAATTCAATGCACCGACAGTGGCCCACTTTAGACACAGCACATACGTTTGCCTCGACGGGTAGAATCAACGATTACACAGCTGCAGCGACGAAAGAAATATGCAATTGCTCGTCAGCTTCCAACTTATTTTCTTGTTTCTTTTAAGCCTTAGCTATTATGGACGGAGCTGACGAACCCCCCATGCTCCCTAACCAAGGGCAACAACTGCAGATTTAGTCTCCGGAAGCTAAAATCCCACTGACCGGCGTGGCCATCTGTGCTCTTGAAATAAGCACTCCCGGACTTGGCCGCCGGCGGAATATACCAGCTGCCGCAGCGCTCGTTGGCAACCAGCGGCAAAGCGTAGTGGTCCGCTACTTCCTGCACGAACGCCGCGTCCGTCTCGATGGACTGTAGCCGGTTGGAGACGGATAGCGCCGAGCGGCGTAGTGAGGAGAGTGTCTGCGAGATGGATTGCTGGGCAGAGGGAAAATGTAGCGCCTCTAGTGTCGGGAATGAGTCCGACATGTTCTGAAAGCGCCAAGTATGTGCTATCGGCGCACGAGACGTCCCGGCCACGGATATTATTGGGCTGACTCCCTCCCTACCTAACCCCTGGCTTTGTTTGCGAATGGGATTCCGGTGAGAGAGAGAGGGGTGTTTCTTCGGTCTGGTTCCGGAGCGTAATCCTCCGCCTGTCGAATGTACGAGAACAAGAGTAAGTGTTGTTCGCGAAAATGATGCTGCGGGCTTGCCGGAGCGGCCAATCAAAGATAACCTGGTGGGGGGCGGGAGAAAATCAGTGCCTACGGTGTGCAACATGGGATTAGACATTAAGGATACACAAGGCAGACTAGATGCGAAAAAGTTAGGGTTGCATCCGACTCACACTCACTGGTAGAAAGAAGACAACGGTCTTGTCTCTGGGCTGCATGGGTGGAGCTGGGTCACAGACTAGAGATTTAGGATTCAAAATTTTAAAACTAAGTAACTATAGTTATGCTAAAGCCGGGATGAGATAGGTGGCTCTGCCACCGTTTCCGGTCTATACTCCTTTGTCACTAGGATTGTCGGGGTGGCTTGCGTTTACCTAGTAGTCTACACTAACGGAGCCAGGGGCGGACGAATGGAGCGGTACTAGAGCGTGGTTGGATACCACGATACAATAATCTCCGGGTGAGTGATATTGCAGCGACAAGAACACGGGACCTGAGCCCGTGCCGGACAAGTTTGCCCAGCCGTTGACATTCTGGCCATCTTTCCACATTGGCGATGCTGTAGTAGAACCGTAGATGGTCAGCTGATATCGAAGATGGGTTCTTGCAAGTCTGATGACTGGCCATGAAGTGATTGTTTCTTTGGACTAGGACCATCCACACATCGTCAATTAAATGGGACTACCTATACCACCTACCTGTTCCTTCTGCGACTTTCTATGGGGAGTGAAGGGGGGCACCTTCCCCGTTTGGTGGAACTCTAACCCAAACAAGGAAAGCGCAGCTGACTACACCGTGTCTGCACGGGCCACCCTTGATTGGTCTGCCGGTGGCTGAAGTACCGGGTACTTCTCTTTGGGTGGGCATTTGTATGCCAGCCGGTGTAACAGTACCTCTCGGCCCCGACGTCAGTCGATGATCTCAGCCGCCATAATGCCAGTCGCGCAAGAACCGGGCCTGCCCGCTCCCTTACTCGGACCCTCCCTTACTCGGACCCAGTAATCTACTTAAGGCAGGCACGCACTCACTCAGTCATCCCTTCTACCCTTCCTGTTCCTCAATTGCTACCCTCCCCTCCTTCACGCTCCCCCTGCCCTTCCAATTCTCGTACACAACCACCAACACCATGCCTAAGGTGCGTTCGGCAATGCTGTCACTCATTGACCCCACCAACTAACCCAACCCTGCAGATCACGGAAATCTTCTTCGACTGCGACAACACCCTCGTGTTGTCGGAGGAGCTGGCCTTCGAAGCCTGCGCCGACCTGGCCAATGAGATCCTCGAGAAGCACAACATTCCCGATCGCTACACGGGCGAGCAGCTGATCAAGGACTTTGTCGGCCAGAACTTCCGCGGCATGATGGTCTCGCTGCAGGCCAAATACCACTTTGAGATGGGCAAGGACGAGCTGGAGTTCTACGTCACCAAGGAAGAGGACCAGGTCATCGCCAAGCTGGAGGCCCGGGCCCAACCCTGCGTCGGCGCTACCGAGGTCCTCGAGAAACTCTTCGCCGACAAGACATACGGTCTCGCCGTGGTGTCGTCGTCTGCGCTGCGTCGCGTGCGCGCATCTATCAAGAAGGTCCACCAGGACCAGTACTTTGAAGAGGACAAAGTCTTCAGCGCGGCTAGCTCGCTCCCCAAGCCGACTTCCAAGCCCGACCCGGCCATCTACCTGCACGCCCTTGAGTATGTCAAGAAGACTCCCGGCGAGACCGTCGCCGTCGAGGACAGCAAGTCCGGCGCCTTGTCGGCTATCCGCGCCGGCATTCCCGTCATCGGGTATGTGGGCAGCTACAAGGGCGAAGACATGCAAAAGGAGATGGCCAGCCGTCTGACTGACCTGGGAGTCAAGACCATCATGACCCACTGGTCCCAGTTTGAGAAGTGCATGGCCGATATCGAGAATTCCCCGGCCAGTCCCAGCCGGCAAACGTCCCTCTAAGTGTTCCCCCTTTCCTCTTGAATTTCTTTACACACACATGATGTCATGACAGCGAGCGAATGGTTGTTTCGGATTCCTTTGCGCGTACGAATTCTATCTTACTTTCTGTGGAAGGGATCTCTTCCAGTTCTCGCGAATTGGGGGATTTCTTGTCCTCTCGCCCCGGACTCTGTCTGCTGCGGCTCTTTTTCTTTTCGTTCGGCATGGAGCTGTATGCATTACTATGTAGTATCTTTGGCTTTTCCGTATAGACAGGCCCTTTAACGAGGCTGGCTTGCAGAGATAGTACAATAAACTGAGATTTCTCAATCCGTGTCGGTCTGTAAAGTATAGATCTTGAGCGATAAGATAAGGGCTAGCCCCCGTCATTCTGGCCCCCTCTCTTTCCTCCGCCTCGGACCTCTTTCTTGACTAGTTGTTTGACTACCTACTACTCTGATTGCAACATACACGGTTCTCCTTGAGTAACTACATTCCTTGATTAATATGGCACACCCCAGCGAGGCCAAGTCCAAGATCCTGGCGCGGGGACCGTTGGTATGTCCGCCTGTTATGATGCACACTTCCCCTCCTGTCTTCACTATCCAAAGTAGTATATGTGTCACAACACAAGTTGTTCCGTCACTGACATAGATCCCAAAATCAGGAAAACAGTGAAGCAAAATGGGCTCGGCTCGTCAAGACCACCTACTGTGATCCTTTAGGCGTAGAGCGAACTTGGGAGTCAGCCGAACGCCAGGTAAGAAGAAATCCGGGTTCATCTATTTCTGCCTCACTTTTCTTTCGAACTATTCGCTTTTGCGGGTTTTTTTTTCCTACCCTCTTTCGGTGTTTTGCAGATCTGTGATGTGATATGCCCTGCCCCATTTAGACCCGTGCAGGATTGATTGATCTTGTCTTTTCGGGGTAATACTACTTTCCAACTATAGCTGCCCAAGTGCCCAAAGCTGTCTACCTGATACACAGCTAGCCGCTGACAACGAATGCCGTTGGGCCAACTCGCCCGAGAGAGAGCATAAGCTTACAAGCGGGGCTTCTACAATTCTCGTGTTGGCCCAGCAATAATCCATCATCATCATATAAAGTTTGGAGTCTCAATTGGCTGCCCGAAAGGACAAGACCCATCTCTCTGCCCACAGCACAGCCCCCGAAGCAACCAATCTCATGATGGAGTTCTCTAATCAGCTCCCATGACTGAGACTAACTAACTCGCCTCGTCTCACCAGACCCGCCCGGCGGACTGTGCCATTGATGGCGTCGGAATTGTCACAATCCTCAACAAACCCACTGGCGCCGAGCTCCTCCTGCAGAAACAATACCGGCCCCCCATCGACAAGATCGTCATCGAAGTCCCCGCTGGTCTGATCGACGCGGGCGAGACGCCTGAGGAATGTGCCGTGCGCGAGCTGAAAGAGGAGACGGGTTATGTTGGTGAGGCGGAGCAGGTTAGTCCGATTATGTACAATGGTGCGTTAGGTCTACGTCCCCCGTGGGTAACTACATCATGCTTGCTGACTCTGAGCGATTTCTTTTTCTTGCATTGTTAGATCCCGGTTTCTGTACCACGAACTTGAATATGGTCCATGTCCGGGTGGATATGTCTCTGGCCGAGAACCAGGATCCGAAGCCCGAGCTCGAGGATAATGAGTTTATTGAGTGTTTCAGCGTTCCGTTGGCTACTTTGTTCGAGGAGTTGAAGAGGCTGGAGAAGGAGGGCTATGCTATTGACGCGCGGGTGGGTACGCTGGCGGAGGGAATAGAGCTGGCGAAGAAGTTGAAGATGTGAAATTTTGATCGGACAGGTGCGATATCCGCTATGACTAGCAAGCAGAAAAGAATTCTGTGGATTTCAATAAGAAATATCAAGTAAACATGATGATACTACATACATTCCCCTATCTTCTTGCGTCTAAATCTTCCCATCCTGCTTCAATCCCATGTAAAGCGCCCAAGCCGCCAGGGTCTTCCCATCTCTCAAACCCGCCTTCCACAGATCCTCCAAGGACACAACCTTCAGCGTGATCTTCTCGCCATGCTGTCTCAGCCCCGTCAACTTCCCCTGCAACCCCTCAATCTCCGCGCGCGGCATCCGCTTCTGGCACAGAAACAAAGGAATAAACTCGTCGCTACCTCCGGGGGAAGGATACACAGCTCGCTGGAGCGTCTCGCCATTATCAGGCTCTGGGACGCCCTGCAGCGCTAGAGAGGTCATATCGATGAGTTCGCTCTGCGTGACAGATAGCCCCGTCTCTTCTTGGATTTCTTTCGCTGCGCCGCCCGCAAATGTCCCGCTGTCGTCTAGCATCCCTGCTGGGATCTCAGGGAATGCGAGTGAGCCTGCGGGGATGCGAGGTTGGATTGTCAGAATGACGCGCTTGCCGGCCTCTTGCGAGGTGGGGATATCATCTGGTTGGAGGATGAGCTGGAAGGTTGTGTGAGTCCCATACATACACCGACAGAGATAAATTGATGAAAAGAGAGACATACTAGCATGCCCACACTCCCCCCTCGCAGAAACACACTTCCCGGCAGAGACTCGCCGTGACTATTCGACACGTCCGCCTTGAGTTTCACGAATCCTAACCGGCCGCCGCCAAACCGGTCAATTGACTGGATATCGATCTGCCGGAGGACAAATGGATCATGGTGGAACTCGTGTGTTGGGTGGTGCTGTCGAGCTAATGAGCGCTGCAGCGTCTCGATCCATATTTTGAACGCGGGAAACGACAGAAGGTCCTCTTGCGAGAGATCGGGCGTGCTCTTGATTGGGATCTGAGCCCCGGGAACTGTGAAGGTTGACATCACCGCTCGGTCTAGTCGCGTCGCTGGTCGGAAGCTGAAATGCTGCGCTGCTAGACGAAGTCGGGGGATCATGGATTGAGACTGGGATATGCTGGTTGCTCAAAGCCTTTGAATACTTCCGAGTGGTTTCTGTATCTTCTGGACTATAGCTGGATTGGCGTTGCGCGTTGAAAGGGTGTTGTTTTGGCGTCGCGATAGAGATGACGTCGATCGCGACCGTCATTTCTGATCTATATCCTTCACCACCAATATTTACTATGGTACTTTTCTTGTTGATATCCCTTCATTACCATCCATTTCTATCACGTATATACCTTTTAAAATCTCTCCTTCTTTCTCTACCTTTTCTTTCTGGCAGATCTATCTCATAAACTTACTAGTCAGTCCAACTACTTACTAGCCTAGTCAACGGCCATTCTGGGAATCAGAAATCACCAGGGTCAACTTATTTCCCCGACGTTGCCGCTTCAATATCATCTCCTATCATAGAATTTTCATTACCGCGATAACCATGGTCAACTGGCAGCTGCTCTCTCCGCCGGTCACGCCCTCACCTTCTCCCAGGTGATAAACTAGCCCGCTCGGCCCTATTGAGGGGAGGGGCAGACTTCCAGAAAGGGTCTAGCATATTCCCGAAATATAGCACGTAACTAGTGGCATTGTAGATGCGTTCACCTGCCTTAGAGCAAGTCCAACGCCAATCACATTCCCTGGAAAGGGCATGGACTACGAGACAGATTCAACTAGTCATGACGTCCCGCCAACTAATCCTGTTGTGGGGAACGGGAAACAGAAATGCAGGGCCAAATTTTTCTCGGTGGCTTCTCGCGTGCTCTAGAACAACGCGAAGCCCCCTCCCTACTTGACACCCGGGTGAACATGCAAGCTAGTGACGGGATCACCCCCACCTCAACAACGCTCGGTCGGCGTCATCAGAGATAGTCTGGTGCACTACTGTACGTGAAATAAATTACTCATGTGGAACTTTTAAATGGTTGGAGACAGTGGTGATTACAGAGTGTATGGTCTGTGTTGTCTTTTTTGTCTGCGTGAAGCGAATTAAGTATCGTACCTTTGGACCCAAGAGACTTTTCTCCGCAATCCAGGAATCTCCCTTGCTCGTGGAAGCAAGGATACGAATCCTCTGTCGATCGCAACTGCGAGGTACTACTCACCTACTACGCAAAAGCAAAGACCTTCATTATCGAAGGGTTGCCTTAAATTCAGGATGCGAACCGGGCCCGCAAGCAATGGTGAGACAAATGCAACACAATCGATCTCCGATGCCCCTGCAGGCAGACTTTACCTCGTGCGTCACAATTTAATCATTGCACCAGGGTATTATCAATCTAAAAAGACAATCCCACAAATAATAATATGCAGGTCAGAGAGACGTAATACTAAGGAGCTCTATAAGTTAGGCAACAGCCCCAAACACAGTATAATCCTCCGAAGCCATGATCAACCATGCACTGACCGAATAGCACCCGGACTTCCCGATTCAACGTATTACGGCGCGGAGGTATTTCCCCAAACCTGCACGATTGATTCCGCACCATCGCGATTGGCTGGGCCGGGTGACTGGCGCTCAAGATTGCCACGTGAAGTATAGAGGGCAATGCTATAGACCTCTTCAGGGTGTGATGTTGGTGGGACTACACGAAACAGCTCAGCGTTGGCGCCCACATCAGCCACGGCTGCATTGAAGGGGTTTGACAAATGCCATCACGCTGCGCATAGTAAATAATACACTCAAATTTCTCCCCATGGTTGGTTGCCTAGGTTGAAGTTGGTGTGGAGCAGATGCCCGGGTGGATCGAAAAGATACAACTAAAAAGTTCGAGACCGTTGTTTATTCCAGGGCTGGCTGCTGTCATGGCCAAATTCGTATTTCCGAGATGATCATATCAGTAACTTTGTCACGTTGTATAGACAGATCTGCAGACTGCCAAATGTGACATGGACATGGAGATTGCAGGACTCCAATCATTTACCCGCGGACGACTCTGTATCTTATTATCTGCATGTTGGATGCCGTGTTTGGGTCCTAGACGAGCCATGTGTTCACCCATCACCTGCAGTTTATTGGCAGCATTAGCCCCATCTATGCCTCGTGATGGCACTGCCTCGAGCACAATGAGGTGCGTAGGGAGCAATAGGCACACGCTGAGGTGTTTGACCCCAGATGGAAGGGGGCGGGCTCACTGGACTATCCTATCAGATCGAAACTCTGTTCGCCATCGGCGTGATGCTCCAGTGAAAGCCACTGATCTAATTTTTCCAAGGCGAGTTCCACGGCACTGCAGAGATCGTCAAACAATTGATCCAAGGGATAGATCGGAAGAGAAAGAGGGGCGATCCTGTCGGCCCACCCAGGTACTTGGGAAGTCTCAAAGGATTGGGGCTTGTTTTTCCATTGGCTTCAGCCACAGCTTAGGGTCGGTAGCCTGGATGGGGTTGAAAGAGCGGTCACGGCCGGAAAACAAGCAGGCGCATATAGCCGCGCAAGGTTCAGCAAGGGAGAGCCCCCCCCCAAAATCAAGACCACTTCCCGAACACCAAAGATGCAAAAGTGACGAAGTGATTGAGACATGGGGCGGTAGTATTGAAAAGTGTTGGCAGCGCTTACGCTGCTCTGCAACTGAACACGAGGCCCTGTGGATAGGCGCGAAACAACCATGGGCATGCGTGACAAGTCTGAGCTATCCGCTGGGGGCTGAAGTGTCATTGTGCAGGCAGCCAACAATAGCATTCCGTGGCATCCACGACGAGCGTGTCCAAGTGTTGGGAGTAGACAAACGAGTCAAGATTCGATGGGGTTGTAGTCGCGAATATTTCGAACTGACAACTACGGGTGGACGGTGCACTCAAAAAGGCAACCAGCCCCTGGCACATCACACGGACGCCCATTCCACAGGGCCTTTTAGCTCGGTGGACCGTTGCCTCGTCCCTGTTTAAAAGCGCCCCCTCTTCCCTAGTAGTCGTTTCCCCAACTGCAATAATCAGGGACGCCGAATTTCTATACTTCAAGACAAAGAAAACTGTGTGTTCACCCCCGGACGTTCCCGCCATTTCTCACACTCTTCCTTTCTCCCTCCCCCCCCAACCACCAACGGCCTGTCAGCTTATACAGTAGTCTAGATGGCATCATGTTTGAAATAGAGGATGGGTGATAATCCTCCATATTTCCGGACGGAGACAAGGCCAGCTCGGCGCGCCTTCCGCAAACACGGCGTCGCCGGAGACTCCAGCGTCCTCCGGACGCCTGAAACATTTCGTGGCGAAGTTTCGCCCAGGCAAGTTCTATCTCTCCGCCTGCTTTTTTCTCACCTAATCATTTTCCAGGAGATCGATGGGACTATTACTATCGGAAGGACTCGCCCCAAAATCTTCTATGGCCAACCGGGCTTGTCATTCGGCCAGTCCCCCGCTCTCCAGTGGCCGGGCAAATTCCACTAGTGTCCTGATGGACGATTGTACTCTGGATACGATCAGTAGTCGAAGCGCACGAGCCGTTAAGGGCTCACCACGCGCATATGCAGCGTTAACCGCGCAATTTCGCCGCCAGGGCAGCTTTCGAGCTTCACCGAGGCGGCGGAGGCTTTCTGCAAGTTCTCCTCGGCAATTAAGCTCCTACATTGTGTCTTCTGGCGCGAAGGGGTGGAGTTCCGAGAAGGACGTGACCTCTGGGATCCTTACTGAGATGGACGTAGCGCAAGATGCATGCGATGACCCTTCGCAGCCGCCGCAACCGACTCACCCACCTGCTGCTCTCGAAAATGGGAATTCACAGGATGGAAGTGCACTTTCGGGAAATACCGAGCAGGCTACCCAAAAGGGCCAAGATGCAGTTGATAGTGAGACCAACACGCCCTTTGAAATGTTTCGACAGCCGGAAATCAATCCAATCACGGAGGACCAATTGATCGGTGAAGTTCGGCAGATCTATACCGGGCTGGTTGCGGTGGAAAAGAAGTGCATTGAGCTCGACAAACAAGTATTAGAATCCATGACCGTTCTGACATCCCAACAATGGCAAGCGATGATCGCCGTCCATCGAAGTTTGCTGTATGAGCACCACGACTTCTTTCTTGCCTCCCAGCACCCATCGGCGAGTCCAGTCGTGAAGCGATTAGCGGAGAAATATGCCATGCCCGCTCGAATGTGGCGCTACGGCATCCACTCCTTCCTCGAACTCTTGCGCCACAAGCTCCAGGACTCCCTGGAGTACATGCTCTCGTTCATCTATATCGCCTATTCGATGATGACGCTGTTGCTAGAGACCGTGCCTACCTACAAGGAGAATTGGATCGAATGCCTCGGTGATCTGGCACGGTATCGCATGGCCGTTGAAGATACTGACATGCGCGATCGCGAGGTCTGGGCTAGTGTATCGCGATACTGGTACAGCAAGGACTCTGACAGAAACCCCGAGGTTGGCCGGATTCAGCATCACCTCGCAGTACTCGCACGTCCAGACATGCTCATGCAGCTGTTTTACTACACCAAGGCCATGGTCAGCGTCCAACCATTTCCTTATGCCAAGGATAGCGCCCTTCTGCTCTTCAATCCATTACTGAATGAACAAGCATCTCAGAAACGCACGATGATTACAGCATTCGTTGCAGCACATGGAGCTCTTTTCACTGGTCGACCAACTGAGCAATTCGTCGCCCTAGGAAATGAGTTTTTGTCATTACTTCGCAAGGATATTGGACGTCTGGGCCAACAGGGCCAACAAGGTGTCTATATTACTTCCTGTAATCTAGCCGCAATATTTCAATATGGCGATTCCGAAGTGGCCATTGCAAAAGCGTTCTCTCAACAACAACACGCTAGTCTTACAGAGGCTTATACCTCTGCACAAGAGCAATGGAGATCTAGCACAACAGCTTCTAGCCCTCCAACAATTGACTCTCCCACGACCATGGGAGCCTCTCTCACATCACACACCCTCTCCATTATTATCAGCCAAATCGGGGATCCAAACATGTACCCGAGTATCCACATTTCCCTGGCTTTTCTCTGGTGCTTATCACTTCACCCCTCCGCGATGCGACGCTATGAACAACTGATCCCGTGGACGGGGATCTCCACTTTCCTAAACTCTCTGATCCGCCCCGACATCGACATTTCAAAGATCGAAAGCGGATCATTCCCCCATCTCGACGATGGAGTCACCCACCAACTCGCCGAAGACTATCAGATCCGCGGTCAAGTATGGAGCCGACTATACTACCCAAAGGGATTCTTCGAAGATGCCCCCGATGAGGACGAGAGGCCAACCATTGAGGAACCGTCTGCAGTTATTCCAAGGAAACACCGGTGTCTCTGGCTAGGTGTCCGGCTTGCAACGGTTCGTTCTTGACTTTAAAGAAAGAGGAACACTTGGCTAATTGACGATAATAGTTCGGCCGCTGGCTCTCGTACGATTCTACTACCCCGCGCTTCACAGCAACTCCCCTGGCTCTAGTATCCGCACCGATCGCGGAATCTTGTGGCAGTCTCACCAGCACACCACAAGACTCGACCACCACCGAGAAATCACCACCCGATGATGTTGAGATGCACGGAGTCTGAGGGATGGTCATTCCACTATGAGCTTTTGCCCGTTTGGAGAATAGCATGTGATTGAATTTGCATGCGGATGATTTCTCATCATGGGAGCGCTTCAGGAGCTACAACGTAGTTTGTGGTGGACCTTTCCCTTTCTCTTGTGTATCTCTCCATGAATTCAGACCTGATACAGCATCCCACTAAGTACAGACGGGATCTCTAGATGGAGAATCCTCTTTATTCTCAATAAACAATCCTATACATGGACCATCCCGTAATGCAGAGGACGCCGAAGGAACTTCCCTGGATCCCTGGATCAAGAGGCCACATCTAGTGGAGTGTTTTATCCCCGTTATTTGGAGTCCAGGTTGCATCCATTAGGCCACCAGGGATATAGCTTTTTAAGGCCCACCCGCTTCGGAAAGCAATGGATCTCTTCTTTCCCTCGTACCTGGATGGTTTCCTAGCATTAATGTTCCGACGGACAGTAATTGGTCATATTGAGGGGTGGGATTTATCTGTATTGCAAGCACTGAGAGAGAAGATGGAGTAGAAGGAAGAGCTGAAGTGAGTGTCGGTAATTTATGCTCTTGGATTGGATTCATATTTATTTCACCCAGCCTAGCAATTCTCACCTGGCCTGATCCCAAACACATTTGTAGAAGCTGAGATTCGACCGGGAATTATACTACTAGAGTACTATTCAGTGCCCGCAACTCAATAGTAACTCGCTCATAAACACCACAGTATGCATTCATCATGCGACAAAAATGCTATAACCATCTAACCCTTGCCAGCCCCTCACTGGGAGCCACGGATAAAGGCCGGATCTTGAATACTCCCACCCGCAGCATTCAGGCCGGCAACAGGCTGACGAAAGCTGAAGCCAACAAAGTGGCCCTGCTGGGTCTGCGAGAGAATGGGATCATCGTTCCACGAGTCCTGCGCGGGCTCGTCGATGAAAACAGATGCGAAATTGTCTGTGTCAATGGCACTGGCCTGTGTATCGTGTTAGCTTGCAAATCTCGAGTCTTGAATATGTTATTGTACAGGGATAGGACATGGGTTGTGTGCGTACCACGTTCGGCTTGAAGGTCGGTTCGTATTTCCGCTGCAGCAGCTTTCTCCAGTCAATTGCATGGAAGAACGGATGAGCTTTTATTTCTGGCGCGCCGTTGGCCCCGAGCCGGTTGGCTGGGTTGCGACTGAGAAGTTTCGTGAGTAGATCCTTGGCCACGGGTGGGACGACGTCCGAGCCGGGGAAAGAGAGTGGCTCCATTAGGATCTTGCGGTACATCTCGTTGATGTTTTCGTCGTAGAAGGGTGGTAGGCCAGTGAGCATTTCGTATAGAAGCACGCCGAGCGTCCACCAGTCCACTGTCTTGTTGTACCCTTTTCCGAGAAGGAGTTCTGGTGCGAGATACTCCGGTGTGCCGCAGAATGTATTCGTACTGTCTTCGTCTTTCATTTCGAGCTTGCAGAGCCCGAAATCGCATAGTGCGATGTGGCCTTGATAGTCCAACAGGATGTTCTCGGGTTTGAGATCGCGGTAAATCACGTTGAAGCCGTGAAGGCATTCGAGGGCGCAGAGGAGCTCGGCGGTGTAGAAGCGCGCGCGGTTGATGTCGAAGCGGCCTTCCTGCGAGAGATGGTGGAACAGCTCTCCGCCGTTCACAAAGGCCAGCACAAAGTATAGTTTCTCGGGAGATTGGAAGGTGAACTTGAGCGGCACAATGAACGGGTTGTTGATCTGCGCCAGCACAGACCGTTCGGCGAGGGTGTGGATGACTTCGCGTTGGGAGATGATCTTGGCTTTGCGGATGGTCTTGAGCGCGTAGATGCGGTTGGTATCTATCTTGCGCACTTGCATGACTTTGCCGAAGCTGCCCTTCCCGATCACCTTGAGCAGATCGAAGTCGTCGATGCTCAGCTTGCCGGGTTGGTTCTCCACGTACTCGACGCCGAGCTGGAGCTTGCCTGTTCCATGTTGCATATCGACCCACTCCACTCCACTGTATCCAGTGCTCCGCGACCCATTATTATTCCCCGTGTCAAATCGCGGTTGGAGGCGAAGGACCCCGAGACAGATATCCTGTGTTCGTCCCGTTCCTCGAGACGCGCTTGGGTTCCGGATGAACACGTGCACGGTGAGCTCGGCGGCGCGGGAGACGTCGAATTTATACTGCGTGTTGGAGCCGGCCCAGAGTGGGTTCTCGCAAGTTCCATCGACGGAGTTGATGAATACTTGGACCTTTTCGAAATCCACCAGAGCGTACGGCATGTATCTGGCAAACTCGCGGTCCCGGAGTGAGGGCGTTCCCTGGCTGCCATGAGCTAATAAGCGGCGAGTCCGATCGAGGAGAGAGGGATTGCGGTATTGTTCGGGTAGTGAGAGTCCCCGGGCTTCGTAGAGGGTGATGACGAGGATGCCCGGTTTGAGAGCTGCTGGAGCTGGGGCCCCGGACATGGCTGTGGTGGTCGCTGTGGAGAGCACGCGAGTCTTCCCCGGGGAGATGACACACTCCAGCCCTCAAGTGGATCACACCGGTATTTGCATGCGTTGAAATTGAGGGCGGGTGTCTGGCATTGGGGATCTTACGTGGCTGAGAGGCGCAGCGTGAGCAGGGAGATTGTCGAGGCGTGGGCAACTCTCGAGTTATGGCTCAGCCACCTTTCGGGGGGCGTTCATTCCACGACATGTTCGGGTGTCGAATCCGAGGTAAGTAATGCGAGTATCGAATTGAGGGTCCGTCGTCCGGTTTATCATTTATCGTTCTCGTTCTTTCGTGTTGCTCTCACTTATGTAGAGCTCCACTACGGTCTAGGTGAGTGCATGGTGAGTGTACCACTAGAAATATATATATTGGACACCCAGCGTATACCTGACCCAGCGTTTACCTGAAGACGAAACCGATCTCTCTACATAGGTAGTTATAAACGACAACTAATCAACCAACTAACTATTGGAAGCACACCCAACTATTGGTAGAATACCACCTAACCCGGCTCTCCACTCTGGAGTTGCATTGCCGTTAGGTACCGATAAGGCCAAGCTGGCGATTATCAACATCCCCCCTTCCCCAACTTTCCCCTCTCTGCTTTGCTCCTTCATTATTATTCATGGCGGTTCCTTAACCGTATCACTCTTTCCATTGGGCCACTCTTTATCTCTGGCCAGTCTCCATCATTTGGCCCACATCCACCATGGCGAGCTCATGGGCCGTCTGCCACCAATGCGCCCAGCTCGTGTCAGGAGTGCCAGCGCATATCCTACTAGCGGCGCTCTCAGCGACAGCTATAGGACTGTTTGTCCTGGTAAGCCCATTTCCCACCACTTCCCTTCGTATGTCTCTAACAGGTCGCTAACTGCTCTCTTGTTTGCCTGGAATACAGTTCTTTCTCTTTCTATCCTTCGTCGCTCCCGTTCCACGAAAACCCCTGCCAGAGGAGGAAAAGTACACGACCCTCGCGAAAGATGGAGCTGTCACCGAACCACAATCGCTACCATGCTGGGTCAAAGCTCTAGACGCCGAGAAACAGAAGCACCCGCAAGCCAACCCCATCGCGATGGAACCCGCCGAGCTGTTCGTGTCGGTGGTGGTCCCGGCTTACAACGAGGAAGATCGCCTGACGGGCATGCTCGAAGAGGCTGTAGATTACCTAGAACGCATGTACGGGAAGCTAGCCGGTGAAGGAGACAGCAGCGCGGGCGCTGTAGCAACGCGATCGATGCGAAAACGCAAGTCGAACGGACATGCCCCAAACGGTCACGCCACGGGCTCGGCGGCGGATCGGGGCTGGGAGATCTTGATTGTCTCCGACGGGTCTACGGATCATACGGAGGAGGTGGCCTTTGGGTTCGCGCGCGACCATCAATTATCACTGCATCCCAAGGGCTACGCGGGGCCGTGGACTCCCCAGGCGCGCGAGGGCGTCCCAATCCCTCCTGGAACCATTCGCATGGTCAATCTAACGCATAATCGGGGCAAGGGCGGCGCCGTCACGCATGGAATGCGGCATGTTCGGGGCCGGTACGTCGTGTTTGCCGATGCGGATGGGGCTAGCAAGTTCACCGATCTTGGGAAGCTCGTCACGGCTTGCCAGGAGATCGAGGATACAGAGGGCCGTGGCGTGGCTGTCGGATCGCGGGCGCACATGGTGGGCAGCGAGGCAGTGGTGAAGGTAAGACAAGAAAAGAGTCCGGACTGGGAAAAATCGAACTAGGAGGAGCTGACATCGGCTGAAATATAGCGTTCCAAGCTTCGCAATTTCCTCATGCATTCCTTCCATCTGATCCTGTGGCTTATGACGCCGCCTCGGACAGCCATGATCAAGGACACGCAGTGCGGGTTCAAGCTGTTCTCGCGGCCCGCGCTGCCATATATCGTGCCATATATGCACTCCGAAGGCTGGATCTTCGATGTGGAGATGCTGATGCTGGCCGAGTTTGCGCACATTCCGGTGGCCGAGGTGCCCGTAGGTTGGCGAGAGGTCAAGGGGAGCAAGTTGAATGTGCTGTGGGACAGCGTCGGCATGGCCTGGGGATTGGCCGTGCTGCGGGCAGCGTGGTCTCTTGGCGTCTACAAGACTTGAACGGCGGGCTCAATCGGTGGATGCAGTAGTTAGTGGTCCAGACTTGGTAGTGACAAGTGTAACTGTATTTGGAAGGGTATATCGTTTCCCAATAGGGGAGTGCCCCGAAGCGACAGTCAGGTTGTAGAACCCTTGATACATACCTACATCCGCATGACGATCCCAGGGGAGGCCGTACTTATTTCATCTTGATTAGCATCAACAACTGACGGACACGGAAGGGGTATTCTCCACAGGCTGCCGTTTCACCCGGCAGAAGGAATCCCTCGTTGAATTCTATCGATCCTTTCCGGTGTTTCCCCGTTGGGACAACTCGTTATGTTATTGCATATCGTCGTGCGGAGAGGTTAGCGCCCTATTATCACACATACGTGATATGCTCATCCAACCCCCGCCCCCCGGGGGCCGTGTTTCAACCTGGTCCAGACCAGAGCGAGGGGTTAACCACTCGATAAGTACAAAACACCACCGGCGAAGGATTCGAATACTAAGAATTAGATCGCCGTCAGAACAGGTCCGTTCCGGCCTTCGCGTCGCAACGGTGGAGTTGCAGGAAGCGGTCCCCTGGTGTTTTCGCCCCAATTTGGCCGGCCTCGACCCTCTGTCGAACCGTCGTCATGGGCGTTAGCTGTTGACAAGTGGATTATTAGGCGATGCTCCCATATTAATTGGGTAACAGACTAAATTACTACATCCTGTTTTCCTTAACTGTGTAGAGATGAATAGGACTCCACTGGAGTTATCCACGCTGCCACCCCAATCATACCACCACCCATGCCACTTTTATGCTGCATATCTATTTCCACGGCTGAAGCAAGCTGCGGCCCTAACAAGGGAGTGCGTAGATTACAACACCAAATGCCCGTGTGGGTAACGCAGCAGGTGGCAAGCAAGTGCCGATCTTCCAACCTCGTGGATGATAAAGGACACAAAGGATTGCCGGGCTATCCTCAATCAGACCGACATCTGCTATGTACGCAGGTAGTTTCACCCACCCCTGGTTCCCAGTGCACCCAATCAAGCATAGATATTCCACGCCCTCCACCTCAGGATTTGACTTGCATGATCAACAAATTTCTCCGGCAGGGTATTCGAGCCTTCAGTGCCCCAGTGGGGGCCGGTCTCTACTATGAGTCGCCGGTACTGGCTTCGTCGTCTGCGGCCCCAAATTGGTGCTTATCCAAATGTAATTTAGCGCAGAGGGAGGGACCGCTGCCATGTGGACGACGGAGTCGATGATGCAGAACAAGCGCCATGTGGGAGAAAGGAATGGTGGCCCATGTGTTCACGACGTTGACGGGCGTTGGCTGTCGATCCTCCTGGTTGAACATATATAGTAGCTCCTGAACGGTCGAATCCTTCGAGGGATTCGAATTGGAAAACCGTCCCCGCCCAGACTTTTGATATCTACTAGCTTTGTCTTCCTTTCTCTCTCATTCGTTTGATACCCAGCTCGCCATTGCGTTGTGGTAGATCACCCGGGTGCTTGCCATTGAGAGTCATATTGAGCCTCAGGATTATTGCCCTTTATTATTTTCTATTGCTGTGCTCAAGAACCACCAAAATGCCCGCGGAGAACCCGTCCTTCAAGTCTCATGGCTCGCGCTTCCTTCAACTGCCCATGGAGCTGCGGCTGAAGATCTACGAATACGCCCTCACTGTGCCCAATGAGTATATGGACCAGCCGTTGATGGTAGTCCATGATCGAGGCAATGTCTTCACCTCGCGCGGCCGATTCAGGGCCCTGAACATGTGTCCCAGCTGGGTGAACGAGGACGGCACCGCGCGTAACATGATGGCCGTCAACCGCCAGCTCCACGCCGAGACCGAGGACTACCTGTACTCGAAACACACGCTGTTCTTCCGCAACTCTGTCGACCTAGATAAGCTAGGCTCATTCCTCGACACGCTGAGCGACACCGCGCGCCGTTGCATCCGTAGCGTCGGCTTTGAGGTCTTCTTCTTCGTACATACCCAGATCGGAGTTCCCAAGCGCACCATCAAACAGTACGAGAAGGCCGGACAGATGCTCGCCTCGCGGCTGCCCAGTCTCAAAAATATTCTCTTCTACCTCGACCGGCGCTTCTACTACCCTTCCGCCTGCGTCGGCGGCGGCGAGCTCGCTGCCCGCGGCGTCCTCGACCTTGCCACTCGGTTCGGGCCCCTACGCAAGGAACTCAGCTTCTACCCGCTGCCGACCGGCCACCAGCATCTCGCCGATGAGATCCAGAACTTGCCGCTGTGGAGGGACGCCGCCCCCATCGTCCCTAACTACCCGCCCATCCCGGAGCCGCCGTCTGCGCTGGAGCCGAGAGATTACGGCTGCGTCGACAAGGTCCGCAAGGATGTCAGCAAGAGTGTCCGCAAGGATTCCCTCGTGTATCGACAGTTGTCGTCGCTGGTGTGGTGAATGTGGAGACGAATCTGAGGTTTAGGGTTTTGGCTTAATTATTTTTGACGCTTGACACATTGGCCTGGACCAGCCACGCACCCTGCAGAATGACGTCGGAGGTGATGACCCTCCCGGGGATCCCCGTATGATGATGAAACTGGGGAGATATTAGGGCATACATGGATATTTGATGGTGCATATTATATGCCCACGGACAGGCTAGGCCCTGGTGGGATCATTTGGCGCAGGGCTTCCGGCATTGGGCATTGGGGCAAAACGGCGTTTTGGATTATGCATGATTTGTTTACACGGGGTATTGGATATATATATGAGTACAAGACGATAGAGGGTTGACCGAGCTCTCACAACCAAATGGACTCCCGTGTATACTCCTCTCTACATGCTTCTGACGTCATTACCCGTGACCTGTCAATCACCTGTTTCTTCATCCGTCGCTTTCACAACTTTCGGTTTTCATCCTTGTCTTTCCTCTTATCTTCATCCCCTGGTGATAGTGATCTTAACATAGTAGTACCTTATCAGGTATTATTATGACCGCCTGCCTGGCTGGTACTGTGGAAAGCGCCCAGCCTCGGCTCGCCTTAACTTGACCAACTCAAAAATTGCACCTGAATTCCCACGCTTTCCCCGCGATTCATCACCATCATCATCATCATCATCTTCTTCGTCCAAATGTTGCCCTAATGCGGCCCTGCCTAACCTGTCCAACTCCATCATCCCGCCAGTTGCTGGTGACCGCGTGGCAGCTCACTCTTCCCGCAAATGCTGCTGACAGCTAACAACACGCGCCGTGATTGACCGCTTTGGTTCCTGCTGGATCGGACTCCACTGCCGGTCTCGACCTTCTCGTGTCTGCTGAGAGACACTCACCGTTGCTGCCCCCATTATTCTTTATATTTTTACTCTCTGCTATCTTCTGCCTCGGCAGGATCTACCGTCGCTACCGCGTGATCAGCTCGATAAATTTATTCTAATCGCACATCTCCCCACGGGCGGGCCGTTGTGCGACCCTTCAACATGAAATCCTCCGTGCGAACACTTCCCGAAGGCCATGGCAGTCTCTACAAGGAAGTACGCTTCTCTCCGACAGCGACACCAATACGCCGCGCGAGATCGGTAGCCAGCAGCAACCCCTCCACGAGCGCACAATTCTCAAATAACCCCCCCACCTATCCCGCCTTCGAAGCGTCCTACATGGACCAGTCGCGAGCTCTCCTCGAGAGCCAGCGTGCGAACTTCGAGGGAGAGAGGGCGCTCTTTGCGCAGGAAAGACAGCTGTGGGAGAAGGAGCGGAGGGTCCTGAGGTCGAGGATTGCTGAATTGGAGTCGTTGCTTAAGGGCCAAGGGGTTCCGGTGACTACATCGACCTCTCCTCGGCCGGTGTTTGGCACACCATATTATAATGGGACGACAGGAACACTAGAAGGCGGTCTGGCCCTCACGTCGGCGCAGGTGTGGGAAGGATCGAGCCCTGGCGGCCGACCAACCCGGGTGTTCTTAGAAGCAGAGGTCGCAGACCCAAGCCACCTGCCGCCGATCCTTGAAGGGACAAGTAACAATCCACCCTCCCTTGATGCGGCACTCTCTTCGCAGTTCCGTGCCAGTGATCTCTCTGGCTCGAACGCCGTCCCAGTGCCGATCGAAAAGCTTGACAGCAGGCTAGACGGGATTACGCTCAAGTCGACCGCGTTGCCACCTGGGGTCGTGGCGCGGGTGATCACTCCGCCGTCCCCATCGCCCCTTGAAACTACGTCTTCGCCTGCGACCGCCCTTTCCCCGGGTTCTGCAAGGTCGAGCATCGAGCATCGAAACAGTCTCAAATTGAAGCTCTCCGAGCTAGGTCCTCCCAATGAGAACTTGGTGAGGGACGCCGGCCACACTCCAATGGCAGTCATCGAGGGCGACCTCAGCCAGCGAACCACGCAAGAAGCTTCGCCTACTGAGAAGCCTGAAGAGGAGGAACTCTTAGAGGGCGAGGAGGACCCGCTTGCGCCCACGGTCACCAATGCCACGCAGCCTGTAGAGAATTCGGACTCTTATTTCCCCGATCTGCCTGACGACCCGGCCCTCAAAGGGCCGCTTGGTCTCACCAATGACGAAAAGGAGGATAGCAGCTTCCTCACCGAACTCGATCAAAAACTCCTGGATCAGGCGAGGCGGATTCTCTCCACTTCGTCAGGGTCGAGTGGTGACGCGAATGAAACTGATCCGGAAGACTTTGCCAGCCAGGGCGAGGCGGATCCGGAGATCAAGTTCAAGAACTCAACTAATTTTGGCACTGCCTTCGGACGATCGAGCTGCGGTGAAATCTAAAACAATTCATTTCTTCGGACCTAAGTGATCTATCGATCTTGGGCGCGTTTTCCTTTCTGCCTGATTCCCCTATGCGTCCGTCACGCGATAATGAGATACACTTTTTCTTTCTCAATACCCAATTGTTTTCTTGCTGTTTTGAATAATAGGGGGGATTTACCCCTGCAACTTCCTGTTGTCGTTGATATTGGAAAATGCCTTGCGTGTGATGTGTATGCAGTTGCAGTGGATCTAACCCAGCGCACCAATCCGATTGCGCCAGTCTCCTACCGTGGGGATCTTGGTGTCCGATAGTCCCGCGATCTCCCTTGCATCTTCCACCGCACTCCACGTGGAATTACTTTACTTCTCGCCCTAGTTTGCACCGCGCAGATCCGGGCCCTAAATCCAACAATGAACGCGTCCATGCTAATCCCCGTTGAGGCTCGTGCATAGGCTTCGGATCTTCGCCTACCTAGTCAAGCCTCTTTCTTCCCATGCACAACACAGGAGTACATACATCCCGAGATGATGCCTCTCACGCCGCCTGTCCTCCTGGTATCCTTGCCGATCCGCGAACCCTTGTGGCTGCTATATAGGAGAGCCACCAAGGACTAGCCTGTTGCCTTGCAGCATCCTGGATCCAGGCTAGGCCCTTGGATGGTCACGTATGGCTTCTTCTTGTGATACGTAGTTCGTCCGAAAGAAAAAAGTACATAAAGGCCCTCGAGTTCGGCCCCCTCCAACTCTTCTTTATCTTCATCACATTCAGCATTCCACCATCCACAGACAGTCACTCGTTCTTCTGTCCTTTGCCTTGATCTATTCTTGGAGCTCGCTCCCCATCAACGCTCTTTTACTCACGCACACTTTTGATTTATATCATTCATTCCATTCCTTTGCTCACCCGCCATTCCATTCCGATACCATGTCTCCTAACATGAACCGCTCGGCGCTCTTGTGCCTTCTTCTGGCCGTTGGCCCCGCCACTGTCCTGTCCGCTCCTCAGGTAAGAACCGAGCATCTCAGTGTATATACAACACGAACTAAATTCCAGACCCAGGGCTTGGCCATGCCTGGCTCTACCGGCTCTAGCGGCATCCTGCCCGGCCTGGGTGACACTGGCAACACCACCCCGACGACTGGCAACACCGAAGAAGACGCCGGCAGCGGCTTCAGCGTCGGCATCCCCGGCGGCCCAGGCGTGCACTTCGGCGCCGGCGTCCACAAGGTCCAGCATGGGCCCTGCGGCCCTGGCTACAGTGAGGCCAAGCACGCCGGCAGTGGCTTCCGCGTTGGAATCCCCGGCGGCCCGGGCGTTGCTTTCGGCGCCCACGCCGATGAGGCTCACCAGGCCGTCCCCTGCGCGGAGCCTTCGCCTGTGGTTGTTACTCCGCCCGTGGTTGTTACTCCCATCGTCATCCCCTCCACCACCCCCGCGCCGGTCTATGTCGCACCCCCCGCGCCTGTCCACTCCACCCCGTTGATCTCACACCCTGCGCCCTCTGCTAAGCCCTCCATGCCTGTGTACAACGCCGGGTCGTCGCTTGTGCCGGGCTCTGGGGTCCTAGCTGTCGCCCTTCCCATCATTCTGGGCCTGTTCTAAATAATACTGAACAGTTCAAATAAAACATAACATGGCGTGGTTGGCTCTCGTGGAGAGAAAGGACCTTTTCCTTTGTCTGATGCTTGATGCTTGATTGTTTGTGACGATATCATGTTGTTGTCTTGTCGACATATGATTTCTTTCTTGACTTGTCCCTTTTTTGTTAAAGGGTTGTGTTTGTTTGTGACTTCTCACTTCCCTTTTTCTTCTGTCTACTTTTTCTTTTAATGTTCGCCGCGATGTCTCGCTGGTCGACTACAGATACCTGTTCCGAGTCCGTGTATGAGGGCTATGCTTATTGGGAGAAGGTTGAATCATTGAAATACGGCGTCCGGGCGTGCGTGTGCACATTCGGTTTTGGTTTACTTTACATTTTTTTGCATTCGTTAGGTTTAAATGTTCTTCATCAGCCTATTGACAAATCATCTTCGATGTTTACATACAACAAAGTAGTGAATCATCTCCTGCGCTTCCCTTTTTGTCTTCCTTGCCAGTCGAACACAGCCTCGAACATAGCCTCGAAATGAAGGCCAAGCCGCGATGCACTTCGGAGGAGGGTCTAAATGGCATCCGAGACGCTTACGGAGTAGTATTCTGGTGTTTTCAGTGGTGCACACAAAGAAGGGATTGCACTTGCTCGTATTCGAATGATTATTTTTGTAGTTCCACTCGTATTATCCCGCGATCGCCATATAAGCGGCTGGGGTCCGGCCCTGGGGGCTAGGGTATACTGTACCTATCATTGGCTGCGATAGCCTCTATCCATGCCATTTCTCGTATTGTCTCGCCAAGCCAACGTCGATCATTTACACGAGCCTCGAACTACGCTTATTCTAATCTTCCACACTGGAAATGAATGACCTTGGCACTCGGAGACGGAGGAATTCACGACTAGACCTCCGCAGTATATATATACATTGAACTGTCCTCACCCACGCCTCCGTTGTCAAGCTCTTTCTTTGAAAAATCCCACTGGATTACCTATACCTACTATCAGTGTCAATTGTTCTTATATCAGATCATCCCCACTCAGCCAATATGCAAAGCCTCCTTTCCCTCTTCGCGATCGTGTCACTCACATCCGCCACGGGCGTCAGTCCACTCTTTCCCCGTCAAAGCGGCAGTTACGTGCCCTGCTCCCAGCAGGTGGGAGTGACGGCTTGTGGCAGCGAATATTACTGCATCCCTGACAGTTATACATGTTGCCCTGATGGCTCAGGCGGCTGCCCACCCACAGAGTACTGCGGCGTCGGAAGCAATGGGGAATATGGTTGCTGTCCAAATGGAGAGACCTGCACTGGAGATGGCGGCGCTTCGACTGGACTGGGCGTTGCAAGCCAGACTGCGCCTGCTGCACCACCGTCCTCATATGGTCCTGCTCCTGAACCAACATCCACGCCTTATGTTCCACCTCCATCCTCGCCATCCTCGCCATCCTCGCCATCCTCCCCATCCTGGCCAGATTCGCCAGCTCCTATTTCTACCGATGGTGCGTCTACAAACCAGTTGGCCTTGAGTGAGATGTCAATCCTCGGTTCCTTTTTGATCGGGTTACTTCCTGCGTTCCTGGGCTAGGATTTGAGAGCATTTTATCCTAGCATGAGTGATCTATTGCGTTGTCTGCGCCTCTCTCTTGATGATTTTATCTCTTATCCCCAATGTGTCTACAAATGTCTGTTTGAATGATGGTGAATTCACCTGTTCGATGTAGCCTACTCTACTGTCCTATACCCACCGCTGGTCAGAGCTGAAACAGATCCTCTTCATAATATGTACTTTCCTCTCAGGACATCGTTGCGTATTCCTAGTAACCATCGCGGGCTTCCATGATTTGTCCGTAAGAACCAGATGACGTGTTGCTAGGGAACATACTATATTTCTAAACAATCTGAACATACATACTTTGAGGGCGTACCATCACCAGAGACTTGTCGGTGAATAAGATGAGGGGTAGACACTAAGATACGTCAAACAATATTCCTGTCTATCCCTCGCGTCAAACCCGGGGAAGACGATCTCCCGCATTCTGGGTGGTTTGACGCTGATCGACGGACGCGGGGGATATGATATGCACGAAGGAATAGTGCCATGTCGTGTTCTTACAATGTGACAGGTCCATGCAGCAAGTAGAGGGGCTTTATACTGACTGTGCTTTACTTCAATAATTCTGGCAGCAAGTCTTTCGAGTAACATGACAGGAAAGTGGGCAGGCTGTGCAACACCGAAGATAGATAGTGGGAGTGTTGCCACGCAGTAATCAAAAGAAAAGAGAAAAACAAACAGCAGCCAGAATAATAGCAAGATCAACGCCAGGTCATGTCATGTCATATCATGCATATCGATCACATCCCTTTCCCAAAATCCAAATCTCCAACTGTAAATCCAAATACCAAAGGAAAGAAAAGTCTTATACTCCCATGGTGAAATCATGCTCAATGCCGGGAGTCACGCTGGCGATGAACTTGAGGAAGACAACCAGATACTGATCCACGCGGATAGCGACCTGCTCCTCTTCGTCACGCTGGAGAACCTCCCACTCATCGCCACCAGGCTGGGTCTGTTGTTGCTCGCCAAGCGACAAGGCATTCGTGTCATCGACTAGACCCTCCAAACCGCTACTCCCCGCCGCACGCAAGACGCGATCCGCCTCTTCGCGCGACTGGGTCTGCTTCAGCTTTTCCCGACGAAGCTTGAGCGCCGCGTCTGCGCGATCGAGGAGCGTTTTCATGACGGAGGCGTGCCGGCATGGGTGGACGGTGGCCATCTTCACGCTACCGTCGAACCAGGGGAAGTCTTCTAGCGTCACGGTCTTGTCCTTGTAGTCGCCGACAATGTCTTCCATCATCAGGTGTGGTGGGAGGGGTTCCGATGGTGACAGGTACCCGGACAGATAGAGGCGCGGCGTGCGGTAGAAGTTTGAGTATGTGATGTAGAGGGTGTAGGTGCGAAGGGGTCTAGAAGAGCGTGCATGCCTCAGTGAGAGAAGAGATGGGATGGGATGAAATGGGAGGTAACTTACTGCGTCGTGCCCGAGCCTCCAGCGGGTTCCCGGATGATGGCCTCATCGTCATCGTCATCATCTTCCATATCAGGGATCTCGTCCTCATCCTCCTGCTCGCCCAGATTCCCGGACTCGTTGATGGTGCGCACATCCCGGATATTCGCCGCCTGGTCCCCAGCCAGATCACGCCCGCCGCCTGTTCGGAGCCAGCCGTCTTCATCGCCACCAGTGGCACCTTCTTCCCCTTCTACCCCACCGGAGAGCATGTCCCGCACGATCTCATCGTCGTGGCCGGCATCGCCCGCGAAGTTGTCGTTCAGCCGCCGGTGGCACGGCACCCCGCGCGTTACGAGGAACTGTTTCCCCGCGGGCAGGTAGGATACTCGCTTGGCTTCAGAGGAGGCGTCGGCCCAGGACCAGGTGGGGAACTTGTAGACGAGGTAGTCGCCTGCCAGGACGAACTCTTCTGGGGTGATTTGGCCGGTCGACCGGAAGGTGGAGGTGCGTGAGACTGGGGCTAGACGGTCTCGCCAGGTGGATAGTGTGGAATGCAGGATATTCATGATGATGGTGGTGTAAGAGTGTAGGAATAACTCATCAATGTGGGAGTTGACAAAAGACAAAAGAAGGTGGAACTTGAACTAGAGGGGGAGCTCACGCGGGGCGATCATGTGCTTGCTTATCAGTGACATAACCAGAGTAAACGCGTAACTATATGTAGTATGGTATCATGTCTATTATGTCCGTTATTTCTCTTATGTCTATTACTTATTATGTCTATTAGGAGTTGTATTTCTCTCGATCTATCTTTCGATCTCCTCCGACGTCGTGTTGGCAAGAGTATACAATTCACTCTCAAGTAGGGTCTAGTTGACCTTGGGGTCAGATGGCTCCATGGGAACAATGACAAGATTAGCAAAAACACGAACCAAGTTCCCAACCCCCCTTTATTTGTTAAGGATGGCGTACGTTTGAAACCCAGAGAAAGAGAAGTCTTAGATCCATTTTTGGCGCCGGATTTACAGTAACCTAACGTGGTGATGAAGTATGTGTAGTGTGTAGTATGGTATCATGTCTATTATGCCTATTATTCTATTATGTCTATTAGGAGTTAGATTTCCTGATTTCAGATTCCACCTCTTCAACCACCATCGGAATGCCCTGATCCCGCCATCGCTCCTTCTCCGAGCGCATAAAGCCCTCTGTACTCTTCATAGCCACAACCAGAAACCCAAGCTCTTCACGATCCACATCAAAAACCTCCCACCACTCGCCATCGACCAGCTTCACGCCTTCTTCACGCGAAGCCAGATAGATCGCCGCCACCGCCAATGCATTCGGCTGATGCGTGACGTACAGTAGTTGCGGCGAGAGCAGCGAGGCGTTCAGATGCTGGATCACCCGCCGGGACACGGCCGGCCGCGCTGCGCCCAGCGTTTGGAGGTAGGTCAGTGCGATAGTATGTGGTAGCGCGACATGGGTGTCGAAGCCCAGGGTGCGGAGGATGACGGATTCGATGCGTAGGAGGACCAGGCGCGCGGACTGGTAGCCGCCTTCGGAGAGAATGTAGGTTTCTGGTGCGGGTGGTTGGGCTGGGGCCCCGCGCGGATTCACGAACCAGAGCGGGGAGGCATCGCGGGAGAGGAGAAGGTGGTAGACGTTGAGTACGGAGCGCGGGGAGGCTGGTTGGAAGGAAAGCTTGGCTGAGAGGTAGAGGGCGGCGGCGGAGACATCCTGGAATCGGGCGTTAGCGGGAATACTAGATCGATAAGAAGATCATGTTTTACCTTGACGGAGTAAATGCGCAGACTGCCTCCGTCTGCTCCCAGCCAGAACCGGGTGAAGGTCACGATTGCTTGGGCGATGACGTCCTGCGACAGGCGCAACAGCACGCCGGCGGTTTGGGTGAGCTGGGCCCCGGCGCAGCGGACGGAGGTCTCGAGGTCGGAGGGAACTCCATCGAGAGACGATGATGAATTGGAAAGTTGATCCGGGGTGGCGAGGGCGTTGGATAGATGCTTCAGCCCTGTGGTGGGTGCCATGATGCTGGTCGGTAAAAAGAGAACGTGGGAGTTGCTTGAATGTGGAGTCTTTCTTCAGCCACCACGATTTCATCGTTGATCCCCGTAAGCTGGTTCCAGCCTCTCCATTATTTTTGTTTTTTCTACCCTCGCATCTCCCAGATCGACCGTATTGTACATATTTGTCCATCTTTCGTACATTCCAAGATTGTGTCACACATTCCCCTTCTCTCACGCAGGATGGCCGCCCCTTCGTCTCCTCGGCCTGTCAGCCTACATTCCGATGAAGCTCCCCGGCAGCCTTGCCCAACCGCCCCTGTTCCCTCCTTGGCCCCAGAGTCGATCCCTTCTGGCCCTTCTCCAGATAGTGCCCGTTATTTCCAGAGTCCCCCGTCTCGACACCGTCGAGTAAACACCGAATACATTCCCCGAGCACCTCTATTCGAACAGGGACTGGACGCGTCCCGGGAAGATCAATCCGCCCACAGCCCATTCCCACCACTGTCCTGGACAGACACCCTCAACAAACGGAAAGCGAGAGTTTTGTCGGATTGGTTTCAGGGGAAATCCGAGTCGGTGGACTTGGGGAACAGCAAGCTGCGCGCCGAGGGGATCACACCGGACCGGACCACAACCATGGACGCTACCCGTCTCACCCCGAGCTCCACGCTATCTCGAAAGAAGTCGGTCTCTCCTACGCGTCGGTTCTCATTCTTTGGCCTGCGCCGACAATCAGAAGTCAAGCCAGGACTCCCCGCGCCCGTGGACGATGAATTCCTCAACCTCGATATTGACGAGGCCCTCGCGCCAGACACGAACCCGGCGAGCAGCGAGGCCGCATTAGACTCCCTGCGGGACCAGGCCGACTCGGTGATCCGGCGGATGCAGGAGGCATACAAGCAGCGCACGCTCGCCTTGCACCAGGGCCTCATCGACAAGAACGAGAAGCAGGACGAGCTCGTCGAGTCTCGCGCGCTGGTCGAGCACTTGAGGGTGCAGCTGGATGGGATGGCCTCCAAGGCCTTGGAGCAGGAGAAAGCCATGCAGGCCATGGCGGAGGAACTGGAGGAGGAGAGACTTCTCCGGCAACAACAAGACCAACAACAAGACGCCACGCCGAGCACTACCCGGACGCGGACACAGTCCACCGACGACGACATTCCTTCCATCGCCCTTCAAACCCCTCAGCGCGGCGGGAAACGCGCCAGCCACGGTACCTTCACGAGCGACTCTGGGTTTGAGTCGGGGGACAATGAGAGTGTCGCCGACAGCATCTTCTCTCAACGCGAGGGGATCGACTCCCCGCCTTCTACGCTGGTGGCACCGTCGCCGAATATGTCGCAGATTGCTCTGCCTATACCTAAACCTGTCACATCCGCGGCTGCACCAGCTCCGGCACCAGCACCATCACCCACCCCAGCACCCACACGCGCCTCGGCTTACGACCGCGTGAAAGGATTTGCCTCGACGCGACTCGGGAATTTGTCTGGCTATTCATCCCAGTGTGGCATTTGTCATGGCGTTCCAGTTTCCGAGGCCTGGAGTGTCATGGGCGTGCTCAAGGATGAGAACCGGGGTCTGAAGATGCGGTTAGGCGAACTCGAGCTGGTGATTGACGACTGTTTGAGTATGGTTGGGCCCTGAGCAGGACTCGGAGTATACCCGGTAGTTATAGCATACATCCTCGTTATCAACTAATGAATAGAGTGCATTTTGGTCATCACTATACTACATAGATCGTAGTGTGGGGATAGCTCCTTTCCCAGTTCGTTAGGGCACCTGGCCCCCGACTCTGGACTTGCACCCGAGTCTGTCTGTCGGGAGAATGGTAGTCAATCGGATTAGTCCCTGGTCATTCTTCCCTCTGTTCATGATCATCGATTGTGTTGAGTCAAATAGGAGTCAATAGTTCCCTAGTTAACTAATCATTGTGTGTCCAGAGGGCAGGCGAACAAGTGTCCTTAGCGCCGACCGGAAAAAGTGGCCAGCGAACAACTTCCCTTCTCTTCCTCTCTCTTCCCCCCAACTCTTCCCCAACCTTTCCCTCCCACATTCCCTTTCTTCTCCTTCCCTTCCCTTCAATTCCTTCCTCTCCTTTTGCTGGTATCTCCAGCATCTTCCTCCCCTTTTTTTTCTTGTTTGTCGCATTGAGGGAGGACTGTCACCATGAGCGGCCGTGAGTTCCCCCAGCCCTGTTGTCGCACCCACCGCACACGCGATCGCGACCATTCATCAATTGGGGCCCAGCTCAATGCTAACAACACCCACTAGTTCGCTTCCTTGACTTGATCAAGCCCTTCACGCCCCTCCTTCCGGAGGTGGCAGCTCCTGAGACCAAGGTGCCCTTCAACCAGAAGTTGATGTGGACGGGCGTACGTTGTGTTTTCTGGCGCGGAAAAATACTCGCGGGACTGACGCATTGCAGTTGACTCTCCTGATTTTCTTGGTCATGAGCCAGATGCCGCTATATGGCATTGTTTCCTCCGACACCTCCGACCCCCTGTACTGGCTTCGGATGATGCTGGCCTCCAACCGGGGTACCCTGATGGAGCTGGGTATCACCCCTATCATCTCCTCCGGCATGGTGTTCCAGGTAGGTCATCACCAACCTCATGAGCCGGCATGTACTTATATCCTGTTTCTTGCTAGCTCCTTGCCGGTACCCACCTCATCGATGTCAACCTGGACCTCAAGACCGACCGTGAGCTGTACCAGACTGCCCAGAAGCTGTTTGCCATCATCATATCCTTCGGCCAGGCCTGCGTCTACGTCCTGACTGGCCTCTACGGCCAGCCCAGTGACCTGGGTGCTGGTATCTGTGTTCTCCTGATCGTTCAGCTGGTGGTGGCTGGTTTGGTGGCCATCCTCCTGGATGAGCTGCTCCAGAAAGGCTACGGTCTCGGCAGCGGTATCTCGCTCTTCATTGCCACCAATATCTGCGAGTCGATTGTCTGGAAGGCCTTCTCCCCCACGACCATCAACACCGGCCGTGGCCCCGAGTTCGAGGGCGCCATCATCGCCCTGTTCCACCTGCTGCTGACCTGGCCCGACAAGCAGCGTGCCCTGTACGAGGCCTTCTACCGCCAGAACCTGCCCAACGTGATGAACCTGCTGGCAACCCTGGCTGTCTTCGCCGCGGTCATCTACCTGCAGGGCTTCCGTGTTGAGATCCCCGTCAAGTCCTCGCGCCAGCGTGGCATGCGCGGCTCTTACCCCGTCCGCCTCTTCTACACCTCGAACATGCCGATCATGCTCCAGTCCGCTCTGTCCTCCAACGTCTTCCTGATCAGCCAGATGCTGTACTCGCGCTTCTCGGACAACCTGCTGGTGAAGCTTCTCGGAGTCTGGGAGCCCCGTGAGGGTTCTGCCCAGCTCTACGCTTCGTCGGGCATTGCCTACTACATGTCGCCCCCGCTGAACTTCAAGGAGGCCATCCTGGACCCCATCCACACGGCCATCTACCTCAGCTTCATGCTGGTTGCCTGTGCGCTGTTCTCCAAGACCTGGATTGAGGTCTCGGGCTCCGCTCCCCGTGACGTGGCCAAGCAGCTCAAGGATCAGGGCCTGGTCATGTCCGGCCACCGTGAGCAGAGCATGTACAAGGAGCTCAAGCGCATTATTCCCACAGCTGCCGCCTTCGGCGGTGCCTGCATTGGTGCTTTGTCTGTTGCCTCCGACCTCCTCGGAGCTCTGGGTAGCGGCACGGGTATCCTGCTCGCTGTCACGTAAGTCTCTCCCCTCCATCTTCTAGACCCATACACTAACTGTCCTTCCAGCATCATCTACGGATACTTCGAAATTGCTGCCCGCGAGGGTGACATCGGCTCGGGCCTGAAGGGTCTGGTGCCCGGCAGCTAAACGGATCACAAAACCTGCTTCTATTTCCACAAGCAGCATTTCGAGGAGACTGTTCCCTTGCAGTTCCCTCGCAATGTCTTCGTTTAGTGTTTGTTTTTTCGTTGCTTCGTCCTTTAACTTTTTCCTCCCGCTCTTCGCTTGACTGATGCCGTTTGGGCTGACCGGATTGGTATTGGTATGCTGTTTGTTTGTTGGCTAGCCGTGAGAATGATGATGTTCTCCGGCTGGTGGATTAGCATTGGCGCCAACAACACGTCCACACGCTCTTCCCTGCATTTTCGGCGGACCGGTGTATGAGTACTTCGCACGGGCAAGTGGTACTGTGTGGTTGGTGGTGAAGGCGAGGGTCTGGTGGGAGGCAGGCGTTCAGCTCAGGTCTCTTGTTCCCGCTAGGTTCGAGAGCGCCCTGTTCAACAGGGAGTCCTGTAATCATATATTTTCAAAAAGCCAAATAAATCTACTTTGCCGTGATTCTGTCCTTTAGCCGGTGATGGGTAGGTATACATAGCTATGCTTCTTATTGTCAGTAAATGCTTTCTTTCTATATGCCAAATGTCTCCCTTCAGCCCGTATCCTAAAGCCTACCCGGATATTCTCCTCCAGATCCAGATCAAGTCCGGTAATCCCCATTGATAGTCACATATTCATGACTGAAATCACAAAACCAATAGACCGCATCCTCGCCACCACACCCAGCAGCACCCATCTCCCCCCACCAAGATCAACCTCGATCTCCAAGTCCTCATTCTGGAGAATAGCACTCGCGCGCTCCTCATCCACCACCTCAGGCTCCCCACCAACCAGCAACCGGAGCGGAGGACTGCCATCAACAGGCCGGAAACTAACAGACGTCCGCTCAGGCACGACAACCCCATCGCGCACGCCCTGCGTGTATCCAACCGCGCACAGAATCCGGCCCCAGTTGGCGTCGCGGCCGTACAGCGCTGTTTTGACAAGCGGGCTGCGGGCGATGGTGGAGGCGATTGCGCGAGCGGAGTCGTAGTCTGGGCTGTTGCGCACGCGCACGGTTACGAACTTGGTCGCGCCTTCACCGTCGCGGACGACGAGTTGGGAGAGTTCTTGTGCGAAGGAGGTGAATACTTCCTGGAGGGCGCTGTAGTCGGCGCTTGGTTGTGCAGAGGGTGATGCGGGTGCTTGGACGGTCTTGCCGCCGGCAGCGCCGTTGGCTAGCACGGCGACGGTGTCGTTCGTGCTCGTATCGCCGTCGATGGAGATCGAGTTGAAGGAGCGCGAGACTGCATGTTTCAGGAGGGACTGCAGTGCCGTGGGCGAGACGGCTGCGTCAGTGCAGAGCACGCCTAGCAAAGTGGCCATGTTCGGGTGGATCATCCCTGCGCCTTTGGTCATGCCTGCTAGGCGGTAGGTGCGCTCTGGCGCGGAGGGGAGCGTGAACGTGCGCGAGACCAGCTTCGGGAAGGTGTCTGTTGTGCAGATGGCGCGCGCGGTGGTCAGCCAGGCCTCGTGGGTGGAGGCGAGGTTGGCGTGGGCTGTGGGGATGCGGTCCAGGATCTTGGAGATGGGGAGTCTATAAATCAAAGTCAGTCCGTCAATCGTCCTCTCTTTCTTCCTTTGAGGAAGTATAGAACCCACCGCTGTCCAATGACGCCCGTACTCATCACCAACGAACTATCTCCTTCAACCCCACTACACTCATCCACCTTCCTCCCCATCGAGACCGCATCCTCCAACCCTCCCTTCCCTGTAACCGCATTCGCGCACCCAGAATTGATAACCACAGCCCTGATGCCCTCTCCCTTCCGACTGCGCAGCGTCTCCCGACTAACCTGCACCGGCGCCGCCTGGAACTTGTTGGTAGTGAACACCGCCGCAGCGGAACAGGGCGTCTCGGAGGCAATGAGCGCCAGGTCCGGGAAGCGGGTGTTGGATGCCTTGACGCCGACGTGAGTGCCGGAGACCAAGAAGCCTTGTGGGTAGGTGCCAGTTGTGGGGATGTAGCGCTGCTTCGAGGCTGGGATGGCCATGTCGGCTGGTGCGGAGTAGCTCCGTACTTGGGTTTTGATGAGGCGGGTGAAGGAGGCTGCCATTGTGGCAGAGGAGGGGTGGCAGGCCATTTTTGAGGGAGAAGAAGAACCGCTGGGGGTTCAATGGCGGCTTTATGCCCGGCGGAGGAGGAATTGGTGAGTCACGAGGGAAGCGAGAATTGAATGGATGGAGAGATTGCGGCTTATCTGATGGAGAGGGTCACGTGGATCTCAGTCTATTCGTCCTTGGTTAACACGCTCGATTCCCGTGGATTCTGAGAATAGCCGAATATAATATTTACTATGGTAAATAATCATCGACTATACCCTTATAGCGGACGAACACATTTGAAGCTGATGTTGCGGCTGATTATTAGTGGAGTCGGAGAAACCAATCGGTTCGTTGATCAAGCAACACATCAACACAACTTGACTTGAGTAACTCACCTGAACGAACTGCACCCTGTCTGGCACATTCTTCTTCCCGAATCGATCGCTCCACCAGTCCACCCTGCACTGGCCAGATCAGCTCTGAGACGCCTGCCAGGCACCGCCGCCCCTTGCGTCGCTCCCCCTACACACATTCTCCGGATCGGACTGATGGTATTGTTGACTCCCTCTCCTTCTGACCTTTCTGTCCTCTGACTCGCCCGTCACCATGAAGCGTAAACGTTCAGATTCCGGTCTAGAAGAGGACCACCCGGCCGCCTCAACCCCGAAGAGGCCGCGGCGGTCCGCTCTGGTGCCGGCCAATGGCGCCCTGAACGGCGCGCCTAACGGCGATGCCCCCTACGAACTCCCACCATCGCAAGGACAGTCGACACCCAAGAAGGCCAATGGGGTAGCAGCGACGCCATTAAAAGAGTCTGGCCTGAAGACGCCTACCCACAAATCCAAGGCCCGCGGACTGTTTGCTACGCCTACAAAACCAAAGTCTGCCAACGCCGCTCCGACGCCCTCCCGTGTTAGGAATGCAGACCGATCTGCAAAGAAGAAGAGCGCACGGGTCCTGTTTGAGCCGGACGAGGATGGAGAATGGGATGGTTCGGAGCGGCTTGCAGAGGAGATTCTTCAGGACGACGATGACGAGCCAGAGGCAGACCAGGCCGTGGAGAGCGTGGAAGCCGGAGAAGAGACGGCAGAACAGCCACCCGAAAAGGAGAAAAAGGGCCCGAAGCGTCGCGCTGGACGACCCAAGGGCGCAAAGAATAAACGGTCCCCAACGCCCGAGGGCGAGCTGCCGGCCCATGAGCGGTATTTCTTCCAGAACCGGGCTGGTCCCATGAAGACGTCCAACACGACACTCAACAAAGTGCCGCTGTTGACACACGAGGAGTATTTTGAGAAACTGAGACAGTACCGCGATCCTTGCAGGGATGAAAAGGACTATCTACGTGCGCTGCACCACCGGTCCTTCCCGCAGTGGGCGTTCGAGTTCGAGGAAGGGTTTAATATCTGCTTGTTTGGATATGGATCGAAGAGAAAACTTGTGCAGCAGTTCGCCGACTGGATATATCAACGTGGCGCCAGGTCTACTCCGGCTATCGTCATTGTCAATGGCTACACACCCGGCATAGCGATCCGGTCGATATTCGCAACCATCGCCTCCGCCGTCATGGGCGATGACCTGCCTTCCAAGCTCGGTGCCCAACCAACCGAGGTACTGGAGCTGCTCCAATCGGCGCTCAAGTCCCGTCCGGCAGAAGACCCGGTGACTGTGCTGATCAACTCGGTCGACGCGCCACCGCTACGGCGCGCAACGAACCAAGCCCTCCTCGCGCGTCTGGCCGCCACCCCGGGCATCCGCATTCTCGTCACGGCCGACACGCCCAACTTCCCGCTCATGTGGGACATCAGCCTGCGCGACCAGTTCAACCTCGTCTTCCACGACTGCACGACGTTCGCCCCCTTCACCACAGAAACCGACGTCGTCGAAGAAGTCCATGCCCTGCTAGGCCGAAAGGGTCGCCGCGTCGGCGGCAAAGAGGGTGTTGGCTTCGTGCTGAAGAGTCTCCCGGAGAATGCCCGGAACCTATACCGCCTCCTACTAACCGAGTTGCTCTCGGTGATTGACGAAGACGGGCACCAATCGGACGACGAGTCTCCCACTGATGCTGCAGCAGACATCAAGCAACACAACGAGACAGGTATCGAGTTCCGCATGCTCTACCAGAAAGCGACAGAGGAGTTCATCGCCTCGTCCGAGATGATGTTCCGGACACTGTTGAAGGAGTTCCACGATCACCAGATGATCACGTCGCGCATGGATGCGAGCGGCATGGAGATCCTGGGCGTGCCCCTGTCCCGCGACGAGATGGAGGGCGTGCTGGAGGATCTGGTTCTGGCCTAGGACGAGCAGGACTGGACTACCGACAAGAGAATTTCATGATACCCCTGTAATTTTATCCACTTCCTCTACCTATATTATACTTATATTATCCCTCTTCCGCACCTAAAACTGCGCAAACGCAGCCAGTGCCATCACCGTCCCGAAACTCATCTTGAACGGCCGGTGTTCCGACATCGCGCGCCGCAGGTCGACCTTCTTGACGTACTTTTGCATGCGGTTGATGGGGAGGATATTGTACCCTTTGGAGGCAGCCCACTGTTAAGTAGTTACGACGTTAGTTTCAAGTCAGCAAATCACGCACCACCTTCCCTCTCCGTCCGGGCTGGTGGTGATTACCTCTACAAGAACAATCCCCATCCCCAGCACAACAACCAACACCCTCGAAAATGCACGTAGTCCAACACCCGCCACCAGCCCCAACACGCTCCCCAAACTAACCTGCCGCATCGTCTGCGCGGACAAGAATCCCGCAAAGATAGATGACCGGCTCGTAGTCTGTGTGGTGCCCTGCTTCTGCAGGATGGGATCGTTGGCATGTACGGCCCAACCGTTGTCCGGGTTTGTCTGCGTGTCCGGCCGGGAGTACGGCGCGGTGTACTGGCATTGCATCGGTGCGGCGCGGAAGGGGGAGTATGGGTGGAGGTGTAAGGTTGTTGCGGCGGAGAGACCGATAGTGAGACCGAGGCCGAGGCGGGCGATTGAAGGGAGAGGCATTCTGTTAGGGCGGTTTGTTTGACTGATTCAATTGATCGATGGAAGGGGAATGGGGTAGGGGAAAGGAGAGCTTCTATCCCCTGTAGTTCGATCAAGAAAGCGTGACGTCATTTGACCATTGCCAATGTTATTACATAAGTACCTTGATATAATCACGGAGGAACTATAATCCCAGAACAGTACCGTACACCGTTCCGCCATTTTCGAAGCGGGAAACTCGACGGGAAACTCCAAATCGGAGGAACGATAATGAGGGCTCCGACCCTGATTGGCGGCAGAAAATATTGGCGGGGAAGTTTAATGTTTCCTCAGTTATCCTTGCCAGGTTGACTCACTTTTGCTCTTTTCTTCATCTTCACTTTACTCTTTCGTTCCTTTCTTCCGTTCTTCCTCCCTCTCCCTTCCCTTCTTCCTTTATCTCCATCACAATGGCTGCTACCAATGGCACCCCCGCCAACGACTTCACCGTCAAGGCCGGCCTAGCCCAGATGTTGAAGGGTGGCGTGATCATGGACGTGGTCAATGCCGAGCAGGTGGGTGACTCAATGCCGTGGATGGAATCTCCAGACTAACAGCGTGACTCTCTCCAGGCCCGCATTGCTGAAGAAGCCGGTGCCGCCGCCGTCATGGCGCTCGAGCGGGTCCCGGCCGATATCCGCGTCCAGGGCGGCGTGGCGCGCATGTCGGACCCTAGCATGATCAAGGAGATCATGGAGGCTGTGACCATCCCCGTGATGGCCAAGGCTCGCATTGGCCACTTTGTTGAGTGTCAGGTGGGTGATCCTCAGAGTGGAAGTGAAGGGTTAAAGATCAAAGACAAAAGACTAACACGGCGGGCACCGACACAGATCCTCGAGTCCATCGGCGTCGACTACATCGACGAGTCAGAGGTACTCACCCCGGCCGACGACGTCTACCACGTCAGCAAGAGCGGCTTCAAAGCCCCCTTCGTCTGCGGATGCCGCAACCTTGGCGAAGCACTCCGCCGCATCTCCGAAGGCGCGGCCATGATCCGCACAAAGGGCGAAGCGGGCACCGGCGATGTCGTCGAAGCGGTGAAGCACATGCGCACCGTGAATGCGCAGATCTCCCGCGCGCGCGGCATCCTGCTTGCGAGCCAGGACCCAGAGCCCGAGCTGCGCGCCTTTGCGCGCGAGATCGAGGCCCCCTACGAACTTGTCCGCGAGTGTGCGGAGAAGGGCCGGCTGCCGGTGGTTAACTTTGCTGCTGGTGGTGTGGCTACCCCGGCTGATGCGGCGCTGATGATGCAGCTGGGCTGCGATGGGGTGTTTGTGGGATCGGGGATTTTCAAGTCGGGCGATGCGAAGAAGCGCGCTAGGGCGATTGTCCAGGCTGTTACGCACTACAAGGATCCCAAGGTGCTGGCGGAGGTTAGCCAGGGGTTGGGTGAGGCCATGGTCGGTATTAATGTGAAGTCGATGGCTGAGGGCGATAAGCTGGCGGGTCGCGGTTGGTAGACTTAAAAAGTTCACGGGTTCTTTGTATATGAGATGTGAATGGCATTACACTGTATGTAGATACTATGCCCGGAGTTCGTGTCCCTTCCGAGTCCCTTCCTTGTATATGCGATGTGAAGGGCAGTGCCCGCCTCCAAATACCAGGCCCTCGCCGTTCTCGCTGGCGGATATACTGTATCTACTCTCCCCGGAGTTCAGGTCCTTCACCGGGACCTGATAGGCCTCGAACGCCGAGATCCATACACCGAGATCGACGGATCGCCGAAGGCGGGAGTGGGCGATCACCGGAGCACGCTTGTGTATGATAGATACATGTATTAATGCCTGAGGCTGAAATGACCCCTATCTTATCAGCGAGTGGAGAGCTCTGTCCTCCCCTAGGTTCCATCACATCAACAACAACATCCACTCATATAGGCATGATGGCCACCCCCAACTCCCAATCCACAAACAGCATCTCCCAACCAACAACCTCCTTCCCCTTTCTCCCACCAGGAGATGACACAAAAACAACGACAGACTCTCACAGTCACAATGACGAAACCACCACCCCAACCACATCCAACAACAAGACAACGGATAACATCCACCAAACCCTAACGGCCCTCCTAACCCACCTCCCCACCCAAGCAACAGCCCTCCTCTCCACAACCCTCAGCCTCTGGGAACGCTACCCGCGCCTATCAACCTTCCTCCTAAGCCAAACCCTCTGCGCAACCTTCCCGCTCCTCCTCTTTGTCGTCGGCGCCACCGTGACAACGCTAACCGCCGCAATGATCGCGCTGATCGTCTTCGTCGACCTGTCGCAGCTGATCCTGATTCCGTCGCTGCTTCTGTCTTCGGTTTTTGCGACGGTGCTCTGGGCGTGGGGTTGGGCTGTGTTTTTTGGGGGGAGGTGGGTGCTTAGGCTTTGTTCTGGGGAAGAAAATGAGGGGCAGGATGGGGGAAGGGTTGAGTGGTGGGGGGGGAGGGGGGATGATGAGGAGGGTAGGGATAAGGAGAAGGAGAAGGAGAAGGGGAGGGACTATGTGAAGGAGTTTAAGGAGAAGGTTGAGCGCGAGGAGAAGGACAGGAAAATGCAAAGAGAGAAAGAAAAGGAGAAGGGTGGTTCTGTTGATCTTGCTGCTGGGACGCTCAAGAGTGAGCTGGAGGGTGTCCCGGAGAAAGATGTCGGCAAGCCGAGTGAGAAGTAAAGGACTGGATTTATATTTTATGAATTAATATCGATTCTCCTATAGTCGTTACGAAATTACTCTCAGAGACGAACTGCTCATCATTAATCATTACTTTCCAAGACTTTCCAAGTAATGGATGGAATATTCGTTTTCAAATAGTTGTGTTGTTTGTTAAAGCCGAGTTTTCTAGCTTCTCTCTCTAGGCTCAAATACATACATTGTATATCGAGATACTGCAGTGTAGATTTGTGCTACCGCGGGGCATAACGGCCTAACGCGTTGAATCATGGCTCATAGGAAGGATATGTCCCTGAAATTGGAACGCGTGGTCGTGCATGGATCGCGAAAGCTCTTCGAGTTATCGACTCCAGCGACCATGGCAAATGGAAGAAATTCAGCGGCCCGATGAGGTGAGTGCTTAGGTGTCCGCGTCCACCACCCTAACAGCTAGAACGCCTTTCTCTTACACTTCGTCAATACAACTCACTTCGGCTGGTTTCCTCCCCTTCTCGATCTCGCTCCTTCTCTGGTTTTTGTCGTCTCTTGTACCTCCCTTGACGTGTCCGTGCCGATCAGTTCCTGATCTCAACGTCGGGTCTGGCCGTAAGTGTCAATGTGAGCCGTTTTAAAAGACACATTCGAACATAAACTGTCAAACAATTTTTACATGCTCTTTATCAAGAGGTGGTGAAAGGCGCTTGAACATATAATATATACTTTCGAATCGGTACGTGAATAATGCAGCATGATATGGCTCGGTTTAAGAACCCTTATCCCCGCGTTGCAGCACAAAATTGGAGTATGCACATTGTTTTCTACTCTCACCCGGAATGTTTGGAGTATCTTACTTACTTTTATCACATTTCTGCAGCTCCCAGCATACCAATCCTCGTCCGAAAGTAAACCAGGGGAGCACAAGATTTCATACTGCCATCATATAAATCCCTCCCACCTATCCTTCGCGTCCGATACTTCATCGAGCATATTGAATCAGATCCAACGCGGCCCAGTAAGGTCGCTCTATGCAACTACGTATTTCAGTCAACATACCAGACAGCGATGTACAATCAGACAACGTTACAATGGACGACATTCCCACTCTGAACCGAAACCTTGTGGCTGAGCCACATACCGAATCCTTGCAGCTAGGCCTTCCGACCCTGGTACAACAAAATGCTGGGGTTACAACGACAGCACATACAAGAGCGGATTTCGGGTACAAGAAGGTCAGGCACTACTTGGTGCTTCAAGACTTAGTTCGTGTATCATTCTGATCTACTTATTCGGCCCGACCGTCTATATCAAGCTCTCGTACGTTACCTGACCGACAGGCGCTCTACCCAAATAAGTAGATCCTTAACAATCAACAAACATGTCCAAGTTTTCCACTTATATAATCCTTCTCTACGGTACATGAAAACTGCTACCAATAGCTCTCTACAATCTATACTTACTTGGTCGACGTTAGGTATCATCACCGCCGTTTCTGCCAACCTGTCGACCAAGGACTCTAATATCTTGAAGTGTACGGAATGGTGCATCGAAAATAATCTTGACCTGCATACGAAAGGCCCCTGTTATCAATGCGGCCCTTTGAAGAGGGTTGCCTCGAACCTGCTTTGCAACGGTAAATGCGTGGATTCTTCTACAGATCCAGACAACTGTGGGAAATGTGGAAACCAAGTGAGCATAATACTCCTATCGAGACTGATCTATATGCCATTGTCCACCTTTGCTAATTTGAAAATTGCCACGCAGTGTACGGATGGGCAGACGTGCGTGTCGGGTGCCTGCGGATGTCCAAACGGACAGTCACTATGTGGCACCGGCTCTGCCGCCGTATGTGTAGGTTATAATCCCGAGGCGATGGCGGTCCTTCCTTTTATCTCTATCTCTGACTGTTGTCCAACCGATAGTGTGAGGATGGCCAAACATGCACCGGCAACGGCATTTGCACGACATTCCAATCATGCTCAGCTATTACTACGGTCTGTGGGGAGAGTACTGACGATCCGTGTACGAGCCCCAGTACAGCCACCTGTCAGTGCCTTACTACATCAGAGGGTCCTTTATGCGTTGACATAAACGTTTCTTGTGCCGGTCAACCTGTGTGCTCTGACAGTTCAGATTGTGAGCCTGGTTACGTGTGTACTACGACCCCCTGCTGTGCCTCAACAATCTGTCTCGACGCTACGACGTGTGCGCTTCCAGACACTCCAGCAAGGATTTTCGGGAGGGTGTAATGGGCCAGGGCAGCCTTAGAATCACCTTTCAACACATGACCCAACCCCCTTCTCCCTGAGCTACTTTCCTCTTTCGTCAATTGTAATCGGCCTCACTGTTTTGAATCAAGTAGTCTCAGCTCTTCACAGATATATACACGATAAATTGAACCAAAATGCTACAATCGAGAAAAAGAGATTATAGGCAGGGAATATAAATGAATTTGAGGCCGGCTATTACTTCTCCGTAGACAGACAATTATCATAGATTCGAAAATTCAGGCTCAGAAGATAGCTTGCAGAATTTGCGACTGCTACAAAAAGAGTATCCAGTACTCTTCCTTCCCCTACTCCTCTTCCTGATGCTGCCGCTTCACTATATTTGAGACAATTACGGAGCCTATTGACATAATGTAGATATTTGAACTCAATGCTCTGAAGATCCTAGCTATTGAGATGAAGGTTGGATATCTGCTTTGGTGTCTACTCTACCCTATTGAACTATCGACTTGTTCACGAGGCATCGACTGAGAACAAAGAGGAGCAAGGCGGTCGACACAACAATAAGTAGTTGATGCCATATAATCCAGGTATGAGAGCGCTAGGAGTATTGTGACGCATCTTTCACTTGACAAACACCCGTCGAAATCGTTAATGCTGTTACTAGTTGGTGACGGACTGCGTGGCAGATCCAGCGCCGCTCCAGCTCTCGACAGCAATAACCTGGAAGTCCATCGTGCCCAGCTCCAGCCCGACTCCGGCCCACGCATCAAAATGGTTTTGCACAGTAACAGTACCGCTACTAGCCGACCCGCTTCGGATAGAGATGTACTGGTTGAAGGTTGAGGTGCCTTCGATAGAGGGCTCGTTGACTCTCTGATTCTCCCAGATGGTGTAGGTCGCACCGTCGCTCTCGAGTGTTCCCAGTTGCGTGCCGCTTTGGTCCATGTCGACCTCGGCATCGATGATGTAGTACTCCACAAGAGGGTTGGTGGTCCAGCCGTAAACGGAGAGAGATGCGAGTCCGCTGCTGACCGTAAAGTCACCGCTGTGTGTAATGGCACTGCCAAACAGTTAGTGAACGAGAATAGAGAGAAGTGGTAGTAGTGTTTCGTACGCGCCACTTCCGGGGTTCCATCCCACGCCAACGACAAAGTCTTCGGTGACATCCCAGTCGACCGAGAATGTGTTTGTCCCGGGCGAGTAGTTGACCGTGCCACCCGTCGTGTAGTCCTGGTTGTAATTCGTATCGGATCGCCTGGTGAGGTTACGACGGGCGAGGGGGTGATCGGGACCCATGACGAAGTTCATGGCACCACGCTTCTGGAAGGTGTTGGTGGCAGAGGCAGTCGGAGCGGCAAGCGAGGCGGTAATGGCCGAAAGCCCCAAGGCAAGGCTGAAGAAGCAAACCATGATGATTTACGGGGATGTTTGGTTAGCTAAGGATTGTGGTGGTGAATAGTCGAAAACTTTGGCGGAAGAGTCAGGCATTTTATACATACGTGCCGAAAGCGAAATGTTGCTCTGCTTAGGGAAGACCCCGAGAGACTTCTCACGAGCATCCCCATGAGGTTGCAACCACACATGTCACCTAGGAGCTGTGGGGTTCCGTTCAGGCTAAACATTGATCTCCAACACTTTAGATGGCACATCGGGTGCATCTGACTTAGCTGTTCAATTCGCTGCAGGTAACTATTAGACAATACCACCAGACGGTGATGCCGTCCTTCCTATCCTCTGAAACATAATCCTTGCATCGCCTATTCTGGTGTGAGCGGTGCCACAGGGGAATTACTAGACACGGCAAGTGATCATCGTGCATCAAAAGAGCTGATCTTAGTGTTTTTCTCTCTAGGCAGAATGGGTCCAGCGGATAAATAGTGAAGGGAATGTAGTTATTCAGTGACAGCCAGGCTTCCAAGTGTTAGGAGTTCAACAATTCTCCCGGATGGATAACTCCTCACCCATGTTCAGGGAGGTCTGCTTCGTCCTCAACTATGTATTCCCCTATCTGGTATCTCGCGAATGGTCCCACCTACAGTGTGGGGACGAACTTTCGAACCCCGTCGATTTTTAACGCCCGCACTAGTCAAATATGGAAACACAGTATTTAATCAACAACCCATTACATTTAACTTCCCCTAATATCTCGTGTACCAAGCACCAGCCTAAATCACAGCATGAAAAACATGGCGAGGCATTGTCTCTGATATTCTTCGGATGAGGAGACGTATGAACCTGGGGCGATGTCGCTATCGGCCATTATATGTACATGGTGTGCAGTCGCGAAACACCTGTATTCAGCCTATTTGTCAACGCACCAATAGACTCATATATAGCTTTAATATAACGGAGAAGTGTAGATACCCGTCCCGTAGTAAATTAGTCGGGCCTCCACCACCAGGCGGGTACCCCACTTTTCGGATCGCACCCAAATCTTAATTTCGTAAAGCAGGGCAAAGTAAAATTATGATGGTACATGCAAGCTAATCATCGATCGTCTTCATCGACGGAACCATTGCAACATCCTGGCCATCCAAGACTGTAATCGGGTATTATCACGTTATTATCCACTGGCATTTTAGATTCCGACGATGCCAGGAAAGAACGGTGGACGAGTGTGCGGCGCTTGTCCTAAACGGCCTTTTGCGGATTATTTCCCTAAACGAATATAATAATGTGATGCTCAGTGTTTCTACGGCTGTTTTCACGAGGGTACAAGTATCCACGAACATGGCACAAATAGAAAAGATCGCTGAGCAGTACGAATCAGCGAAGAAGAAAGAGCTTGCTAAGGAGACCATCATAGCGCTATCTCTCGTAGTGTCTTTTCTGGTGGAGGTTAATGCAATTTTCGAAGGTCTAGAAGGGTTGCTAGCCTCATTAGAATGGCTAGCGATCCGAGTATGCTCACGGATAGCATTTACGACATTGCAACCTCTCCCGATGCAAAAGATGATATTATAGATATTTTTGGTACCTGCCTCCTAGGCGAAGTGCGTACTATTAAGGAGTTTAGCGAAGTGGCAGAGCTTCGACGGGGTCTCTCCGAAGACGATATTGCAAAAATTAGACCGGAATAGGAAGAGGCTAAAATAGAGATAGATTAATTAATCTATATATATTGTTAGTGAATCAGGGTCCCTATTTCAGATTCGTTTGTCAATCGATCAAATTTTTCGTTACCTTAGAATTTTAGCAATATATGGAGCTTACCTAACTACTCCGCTATCGAAAAGCAATAATCTATAACTATTACTAGACTTAGTCGGTGGCAGACATCCGGAACTGCCCGCTCTAGCTTATTATTAATGTGCTCTCCATAGTCCAAAGTAGGATCCCGCCGATATCCTAAGTAATGCGGCAATAAGCTACAAAGTAGGAGTTTAGCATCACAAGGGCGGCCGCGGAGGAGATACCTTAGGTCCTCGACTTCGACTATGAGAATGATCGCCCGCGACGGACGACCGCCCCATCGCTAGAAGTGTGGTAAAATCTGCAAACTAGCATTAGTGAGGAAGAACACACTAAGACGATAGAAGAACAAGATCTTATTCTAAAGGAAAGGTAGGATTATCTGTTACGATCTAAGAGCCTAAGGCAGGGTTTGATGCCTAAAGGTGGTATAAATAACCTATGAATGAGGTGTTTGCAGAAGGAAGTTGATGGAAGTTTCCTCCTTATACAAAAGGGTCATATACTAGTAGATAGCTTTCTCTCTTTTCTTTTCCCCAGACTTAGTTGCTTCGTTGAATACTCAGGCAGTGTTCCCTACTAATCCTCTTGGCTATAACATTACCTATGGAATAAACTTAGTGGTACCACCGCTCGAGCAGAGGTGTACACCCTAAAAGCCCTTCCATCGAGACAGTAACGGGCCCCGAGCTCTCATATCTCGGTTTCCTACCCTTGGCTAACGATGATATTTTGGGAGAAATGTTACTATTTCCTTAATAGTATATAGAAGTTCATATCCTACCATATTTACGATTCCAGATTTCGATTGTAGATTTCTCTTGAGCATTAAACTCCAATAATTTAATATACTGTAGTCGATCTAGTATATAAAATAGTTTTGCTACCATCCTATGTGGTCTTGTTCCTAATCAACACCCTAAAAGTTTCGTATATAGTATTAATAACTATTATATCCTCTATAAGGTATATAGGAGAAGTAAACATAATTGTTATAAAGAAAGACTCAGTACATTCAACGAGACACTTAAGTATGAGGAAAAGAAGAGAAAAGAATCTATCTAAGTAAGGAGTCATCATTCAAGAATGAGCTTTTGTAATGGCATCAGTCATCCTCATCGTATCTAAAAAACCGACCTCTTTCGCGAAGATACTGTCCGCTAACCCCACGCATATATTTTGTATTCGGTGGTGACGGTGGATTTATTTCCGGTGGGGGACGAAAGCCCTCCTCTGCCGTATGTGAATGATTACACATCTCTATACATAGGCGAAACATTATCGCTACCCGTATAGCTGGATTGTTGTCCCCGAGATGGCGTGTGCTGATCGTATATTTGATGTCTTGCTTCTCTGCCTCAGTGAATTCTCTGTGGAAATTCTGAGGACGAAAGGCATGGCCTTTTCGCTGGGATTCTTCTGCGAGGTCGAGGAAGGCCCTGACTCTGTCCTCGTCAGAGACATAGACCAGTTGCACTGGCTCGTCACCTAACAGTCCAAAAAGACCTGTCCAGGCGACATATCTGTTACTGGCGTGTATGATAATTGTCCTGACTACGACAATCCAGCTAGGCATCCTCTTGAGAGCGTCCTTCTCGTACTCCTCAATGAACCGGAGGTTTCGGAGCATGAAAGAGCCCCCGCGGGCCACACTGGCCGCGTGCCAGGCAAGGTAAAAGAACGAGCTACCACGGGAAGAAAACTCCGGGCTCCCAGGCTCCCAGTTCAAGTGTATAATATCTCGTAAGGGGTCGATAGGATGCCGTGTTTTCATCGCGAATAGTCAAGAGGCTCCTTTTGGGACCTCTGTTTCCGAGACCATAGAGCGACTTTGCAAAGCCACAGAGCGAGACTCGCGGCAGACACGAGAGATGAGTGGTGGGAGTCCATTCAAAGTTGAGGTCAAGGTGAGTCCACATGGTAATGGAGGTCCTATAGCTTGCGTGGACATGTCCAGCTCCACAACGCGATGTGGGAGAGAGTAGCTCCAGATCATAAGACGCAGCTCAGCGGGTAGGTCCGGGAAGCGAGGGAACGTCAAGGCCTCCTCAGGAAGCAATGTGGTTTCGCCCATGGTTGCTTGATGTCGGCTATGGTGGTTGACTAGGTTTAGTCAAAGGGGGAAGCGGGCGCCGGAGTAGGCGACAGCGGCCGGCCAAAGACACCATAAGGCTATGTGTCCTTAAACGTACCGAGGAACACAGCCAAAACAGCGAGAGGCACAAAGAATGTGTAAGAGATAAAAGACAATCGGCTGTCTCGTTTTATGTTACTCACCAATGTGTTATCGTATTGCTTAACATGGCTATGGTAATGCGCATAATTTTTTTTCCCTTCCGGTATACGCTTCTGAATGAGGACTACATGTTCTTGAGGATGATTCCTTACGTATGTATTCTTTTAGGGTTCTTCTCTTTCCTCGGTCTTTGGCTTTCTTCCCTGTGCCATTTGGTATGGAGAGACTATCTGGGACGATCGTTGGCCTCCGTGGGAATTATTCGCGTTCGGACCCTACTTAGGCCACACGGCCTGGTCCTGCCAGACCCCTCAGTCCTGCAATACCATCTGGTTCTGCAACACTATCTAATCCACTTTTGCCTACGGATTTTGCGGGTCTTCGCTAGGGAAAAACAGCACATGATATACCTCAATTGATTGTCTGCGAGATATTCTTTGTCTCACTCCTCATTGGGTCTTAACGTGGTTTGCTCTCAGGTATTAGATCAAATTCGCCTTCCAATATATTTTCTGCTCTAGATACTGGTAAATGCCATGGTAAAATATGAACGCAGAAATGTCGGGACCATTAGTCGCTGCAATATGAGTCTTGCCTTGCTGGCGGAGATCTACGATCACCGTCCACGTTAAGTATTTTCTGATTTGCGGAAGAGGTGGAGTAGGATCTACTACCGAGTCGGGCTGCTCAAATCATATCCTCTTCAGCCGCGCAACCCCGCCGCTTCTCCTCGCCTAGATTTTGAATGCACTCAGCCAGGTCATTTTTCCATCGTCAAATATTTAGGATATCTTCTCACAATCACACTCGCCGTCTGTCCTATACTTCCACACTAGGCTATATACTCCACGTTGAACAATATGCCCGTCACAATCACTACAACCAGTCTCCCTCCACGTCGATGGGAGAAACGAAAGATAGAAACGGCCGAAGATTTGTTCAAGGAATCGTGTCAGAGAGAGAATCGTCGCAGTCGAGGGGTGTTGCAGAGCTCTTTTTCCCCTAGCCTTTTTAATAGGTGCCATGTCTCTGCGTCACAGCACGGCTTCGTCTGGGCCGTGATTCACGCCTATAGTTATCATCACAACCTGACCATCCGACCGGAAGACGTGTGGTTTTCTATTCTCACACAGTTGAGCTTCTTCGTCAATGCACACGCAGAGGCACTGCGATCATTCTTTGTGGCACATAAAGGGCAGAAAGAGTTGGAAGTCACTGGTGCCGGAAATATCAAGTCGGCAGATTTTGGTGCTCTTGCCGTTGAAATGACTAGGCTTATTGAAAAGAACGTGGTGGATCCGGAATTGCGTAACTGGATTATGCCCGAGTTTAGCACTACAACTGAAGTCGACAGTGTTGTCGCGGCTGTCCTGATGATGGGTGCGATGCAGAAGTACTTCTCGTTCACCATGTCCCTTATGTGTGGCATTCCTTCCGTCACCTTGCTGGGAGAGCGGGAAGACTGGGCATACATGGTGAAGAAACTTGACAAGCTGCACCAACTTGGCGATCAGCCCGCGCGATTCTCTCAGCTTCTTCGGCCGATCCTAAATCACTTCGTCTTGTCCTTTGATAGACCAGAGTCCCCTCAGGTGAAAGATTTCTGGAGCAAATGTGCACACAAGTTACGCGGAAGTGGAACCTGCACGATATCTGGCTGGATTACAACCTTCTGCTTCTGGGATGTTGAGGGGCAGCTGTTGTCTTGGGCGCATCCGGTCCATCATGTCTCTTCTCCCGAGTTTGAGGCACAAAACACGGACTTCGGATTGGATGATGTTTTGTCGAGAGGAGTTGACACAGACGTCATCCCATCCGGCTACGCCTCCGTCCCAATTACTGTCAATGACAATGGGGTTACTCACAAAACTACGATGCTAGCAGGGCTGGTCGGCATTCAAGCCACCTCAAGCGGGGCGATGCTAGACGGCACTCCACATTACGGGGGTTTCCAAATGTACCAATGGACGTCAAACGTTACAGTGGAACCGATCATTTCTAGTCCTAATCCCGCAACCGAGGAACCAGGGCTTGATTCCATCCAGCCCTTATCGGGTTGGTGGATGTACGAAAATGAAACCAATGAGGACGCCGAGAAACGTGCCGTTCATATCCAGAAGCTGAAGGATGAGATAGCCAAGAGCGAGGATTCCGACAACGGTGTGGATTCCGAACTATACCGCAAATATCATCACCTCTTGGCGTTCTGACAGATCCACATGCAACCCATGGTGCACTCTGCCAAAACAATTCCTATGCATTGGGCAGAATATAGCTGAGGAATGCATGACTACTCCGCTTGATCTGCAGGTTGGGGGCGTGCCCTGCAATTCTGGTGAAACGACAGTCTCCTGAAGAATGCGAGGACGCTCCTTTCTTTTGCTTCCTCGCGCTACGTCTTGTACCTAGAGTCGACTATAGCTGTTCTTAATATTGATCTTTCATCTCGAGACGCTATCCACCTCTACGCCTACGTGAGACCCTCACACCTTCCTCGGTTTTTGATCCCCTGGGAGCTGATTTGACTGACCCTAGGAGATATTCTGGCTCCGAGGAACATCTATGTGAGGGTCTAGGAACCCTAAGGTAGTCAATAGAGGTCTAGGTGGCTCTAGGTGGCCGTTGTCATGTTATGCGCATGCAGAGTGCTGCACCGCAGGTGGCGGATGCTGCCCTTTTGACGCGCCCTGCACATTCGTTATGGGCCAGCCTAGATGCGATGAGCCCTGCTACGGTCCCGACTGCGGAAATTGTCTTTGCTGCCAAATAGGATATATGTGTCCAACGGATGTTTGCGGGTTTTGTACCCACGACGGCGGTTTCGCTATGCCGACTGTACCGCCATTACTTTCATCCAGTCCCAGTGAACCAGTCGCTACATCTGCGCCCCCATCGGTCACCCCGGAACCTTCAAGCCAAGGTGGTAGTTTTGACGCATCCTCAGAGCCATCAAACAGTCCAATAGGGGCGGTGCCGACGGAGTCATTCCCAGAAAGTCCATCCTCCATCGGAGCGGCGGTTCCAACTCGTCATCATGAAGCGGCCAGCTTGGTATCTCCAGGAAAAGACTCGTGGATGGCATGGGTGTTGGCGTGGGTTATTGGAATCCCATTCATCGCGTAAAGCCAATGAAGCAATTATGGTTATGGATGATGTCAAGTCATCAGCTCACCTTTTAACATCGTGGCTGCGAGTGAAAGAAGAGATAGTCATCTGTGCAGTCTCTATTAATAGGGAACCATATCTAAAGTGAAGCACTAGCTATGATCGGAATGCCTCACGCATGACTTTAAGACTCAATATAATGAATCGAAGTACACTCCTGCATCTATAGGTAGCAGGTAGAGTGTCGAGCTATACAAGCCTCCCAGAAAGAAGATACATACCATTAAATGGGCGGCTAGCCGCGTTGCATTCTTTCTTCGCGCAGAAAGCTGGCACGACGTGACACGCCTATCTTTTCTTCCCTTTTTTGACAGACTTCCATTCGATACCGAGTGTACTGACTACTGCCAGACATGTAAGACCTAATGCAATATAGAAAACGTCGACAAGAGCCCCATTATAGGCAACTAGGGCCTGATCTCGAAATTTTGCTGGGACCGCATTAATGAGGCCTAGCGCACCACTACCCAGGGTCTTTTTGGGGTCAAATCCCGGTACTCGTGTGGCCATGTTGTAGGCCAGTCGGTCACGGAACACATTTTGCGCAATGGATAGGATGACGATACCCCCGAATTGCTGTGCGAAGCTCAACATAACCAGTGCCGTGGGCACCATGGAGTCTTGAAGTACGGTCTGGACGGCGATGTAGGGCGGTTGGAAAGCTAGACCGATGCCGATCCCGTAGAGGATCTGATAAGAGATCCACTTTCCAGAACCGGTATCAGGCTGGAGTGTAGTTATGAGCCCGCTTCCAACAGCCATGAGAACGCCCCCGAGCATCAAAACCGGATTGTAGTAGCCTATATAAGTCGTCAAAGGACCGCCGACTAGTGCGGCAATCGCCAATGTCACGGCCAAGGGTAGGTACATGAGACCAGATCCAAGTGTGCTTGCGCCGCGCACTGCTTGGAAGTAAAATGGTAACTGGTCACGAGTCAGCACTGCACTTTACTAGTGCAAATGGGGCGGACTGCGGCTTACGTAGTACGCAATCACCGAAAGGTGCGCAAAATTGCAAAAGGTGATGAGGCTAGCAAAGGCGACAGACCGCTGACGCAGCATCTTCAGTGGGACCATGCTGTCGTCACCAGCCCTGTACTCCACGATCAGGAATATAGCAAGGAGCACCGCAGCCACTGCGAGCAGGAGGATGATTCGCCAATTGGCCCATGAGTATGCCGTTCCAGCCCGCTCCAAAGCCAGTACCAAGCATAGAGTCATCGGTACGTTTATGGTGAAGCCTGCCCAGTCGATGCGCTTCAGTCTCTCCTTGCAGCTGAGATGTGAATTTTCGGGTAGACGAATGTGACCGATGCTAAAGAAGACCATTACAATAATGGCAACGCCAATCGGGATGATGATATAGAAGCTGACCCTCCACGTCGAGTAATGGGCTATGCTTCCACTGATGAAAGGACCAAAGGCCAGGGCAATACATTCTACGCCGCCGGCGATTGCAGAATAGATAGGCCGGTGCTTGAGTGAGGTTGTATGTGCGACAATACTAGACACGATGAATTAATTTACACCAGCTCATCCAGATTAAGGTATATCATTCAAGTGCTCACATGTTCATTCCCGCTAATATGCCCGCTGCTCCCAGTCCACTCAGTGCGCGCCCAACGATGAATGCTGGGGACGTTGGAGCTGTGGCAGATAGTACTGAGCCAATAACGAAGACAAACAATGACACCATGTAGAGTGTTTTCATCGAATAAAAAGAGTACAGTTGTCCATAAATCAACATTGTTGCAGATTGTGCGAGCAAGCTTTTTGGAAAATGTCAGTCGGGTAACCTCATCTTACCCCTGTCCTGGGAAACCTACTATGCTATTTGATACCACCCAACGTCATTGAGAGCGTGAAACTGATCGGTGATGACTGGGGTCAATGTCGCGATACAGCTGGTATCCTACAGCTGAACGTCAGCTTGGAAATCTCTCTTGCGACAGATTGGCACGCACATAACCAATGAAGAAACTTCCAAGAAGGATGCATGTAAACAAAAGCGCGAATCTGATCCCCTTGGGGCCGTGTATGTTTTCCGGCTTCTTGTCGGCTTGTGAGGCCGCAGATCCGGATTCTGCACCAGTCCTAGTATGTTCCTGCGAGCAAGTGAACGGTTGACCAGCCTCATCAAATTCACCGGCATGCTGTAGCTCCATCCCAAACGCATCTGTCGACGTCTTCGAGACCATTTTCAGTGCTCATACGTTATGGTGACTAGGGAGAAAGTGTGCGGTATAGTCACTAAGAAGACACTTTATCGTTGTACGTAGGCTGGCTGTAGAATACCGTGGGTTTTATACTGTACGGAAAGCACGGAAACATGGCGGCGCAGCGTTTGGAGCGTTGCTCGGGTATACCCGCATTCCGAGTCCGAACCCTGCACTAAATTCCCAACAGTGGTAAGACTTAGGAAGTAGTTTCTAAAGGTACGGAGGTCCGACATCCTGCTCGGAGTTGTCATGGCTTTGGAGATATCGGCGGAGGAGTCTATGCCGACAATCTAGATTCGAGAATTGACGTCGGAGCACTAAGCCGTATGTGGATTAGTACTCCGACAATAACTCCGACGTCACAGCCAGCACATTTAATTCTCAACAAGGTGATAGGTCTTTTGCAATCCTCTTCCGCACGCAAAGTCTTCCAAATTTGTATTGCCGGCAGTGGAATCTAGCCACCTCTCGTCATGACCGACAGAGTTCGCCGCAATGGCCAGCCTTCGTCGTGTGAGCCTTGCCGACGGTCGAAGCTTCGTTGCGATCATGCAAGGCCGCATTGTACTCGTTGTGTACGCCGCAATTTTCAAGGACAGTGCTATTACCACCCATCACCGATGACACGAGGTACAGACTCCTATACTGAAATGTTGCTGTAAGCAACCCTCTCTTCACCTAGATATTGAGCTTCAATGAACATAATGTCAACTCCTCAGCACACCGCAAAGTGCGAGACAGATTGACAATCCCACTACCTCGTCAGTCTGCGCGTTATCTCCGCCATCTGAAAAACCGCCATCTGATGACTATGACCGGGGGACTGGGCTGGTAACCATGCATAATTCTTTGATGCCGTTCGCAGACTTTAACGGCAGGCAACCGCACCGCACGTTTGCATACTTGACACGAACAAGCGTATTTACACCTAAACGGTCATATCCGGTGACACCAGCTGCTATTTCAGAAGGTGTAGAAGTTCTGCGTTCCCTCCTTGAATTCAACGCGGAATTCCCTGAAATTTTCCGGGACCAGTGCGAAAACGATGCATTTGAATTATGTGGCTCACTTCTTTTCAAAGCAGCATGGCGAGCCTCGCAAAGTACCCTACGGCACCTAGGGGCTAGGCCCCCTTTGGATCAACTGACAAGCACAGCTCTGGCAATATTCGAACAGACTACGTGCTCGCTCGAGCTTCCTATATCTGCGGAGAATGATGCTCTCGAGCTGGCCCTTTCTGGACATCGCTTGCGCTGGGAGACCATTGGCATGTGTTTCGTACGCATTGGGTTAGTCAGCGCAACTGTGAGGACCAACGGTCAAGTCTTCCATGGCGATGGACAATCAAATTTTGACCGCCAAAAGACTATGCTTAGGGCATATGACGCTTCTATGCAAACTAGGGCATTCTGCGATCAAATAGAGCAGACGAACGACTTGACGTTGTGGCTATTGACATCTGTATCCACCCTTGCCACTTGGTGCTTTGGGGACGATTCTTCTCGTGCTTGGCGCTTAATGGGCGACTTATCATCAGCTATAGCAGCTCTTGGCTTCCATAAAGGGTTCAAAGGCGAAGAATCAGGACCCCCATATTTGGTAGAGCTTCGCAAAAGAGTCATAGCTCTTGCTCATGAGCATGACAAGGAGCTAGCAACCTTCGTTGGTCGGCCGCCCCGTCTTAGTCGAAAGTATTACGCAGTGGATCTACCACTTGACTTGCCAGATTCAGTTATAACTGGACCTGTCGAGCAATTTGAAGCTGCTAGGTCCAAACTTGACGAGAACGGCTGGAGTGGAGACGTTATGGTTAATCCAGTTTCCCGTCTTCGAGCGATTCTTCTACTAAGCATGATCCGTGAAGAGGTCTTGGAGCTATCACTTGGTCCACCAATGCCGAATATCGCCCAACAAGCTAGGTGATTCTCAGCTCGTTCCGTATAGCCGAAACCAAAGATTTAGATGTTGACCCTTTCACTAGACAAATCTTATCGAAATTGACTTCTACTTGGGAATCAATCCCTCACAAAGAATACGAACAGTCAATGTGTGACACTATGCTACCGAGTGCTATCTGGGTGGTTATAGGTCCTCGGCTTGAATGCCTTTATAGCAAGTTCCTTCTCTATAAGCTGCTCATTAGTCAAAACCAGGGCAATCGCGATAAGATGATCCGGACGTCGCAAGAAATCCTCCATTTGGCGCTGTCGCTTTTGAAAAAGAACGACGTGATAGCTACGCCAAATCTGGAGGGAATGGTGAGTTGCGAAATTGTTTCCCTACTCAAAAACCGGAGACTGATGTTAATCATAGATGGTGTTTTACGCATTACCATGCGCGAGCGTTCTTATCTTAGAGCTATTTCGACAGAATCGCCAGCCCCATCGGTCTGCGACGCTCAATCGATCGACTTTAATTCAGGACATAAGCGTGCTCATCTCGTGCTGTGACTCGCTAGCCATATCTGGACAGAGCAACTATCAGATCTGCAAGCAAGCTCAGACGGTTTTCTCGCGATGCCTAGACCAAATTTTGAATCCAACTGCGGTATCTTCTCAAGGCCTTACGAGCGAGCCTGGAGGGCCAGCAGTACAAGAACCGTTCTCTTTAGGTTCGATGGACTTCGGTTTGACAGAGCTATATCCCCAAGACCCAGAATGGTCCACGTGGCTCGAGTCTTTCGACTTATACGAAACATGAGGATGACGTGGGTCACCGACACTATTAGATAGTGAGATAGCTTCCTGTGTCTCTCTCCCCTTTCTCCACCGGAGTGTTACCAATACAAGCCTATTGCCCTTTCTTCTCCCGTTCTTCAGATCTAGTATGAGAAGGCGAGTAAAGTCTGAGGCTCTAGGGCAGTAAGCGCCTCACCCCTTGTATGCTTCACAGCCACATTTTGATGAGATGAAGTATGCTGCGCGAGTCATGCGAGGACCTCAGTCCGAGTTGAGTTGCTTTGAAATATCACGTTTGGTGATTTGATACGCTCGATGTCCCTGCCCCCATTGAGCGGGACTGGAGGCCCATTTGACAGACTAATTTAGGGTCGGGCGCGGGATGGAGGTCCAGTGTTATGCAGTGAATGTATCGAATCAGATTTAGGCTCGTATTGAGACTAGGGCGTAGATACAGACGTCGTGACGAGGTCGGACTCCAGCGCGAGGCTTGACTAAACCTCTTATCCGGGCTTATAAGAACTATGACGACAAATTCGATTTCTTGTAGTCTACCCCAACGCTCGTCTCACAGCTATTGAACCTCAGACTATCCAAAATAGCTTTGCAGCTACTGGAACAGTCCGATGTCAGCCGGAGAGAGTGTTTTCTCAGCTTAGTATTCAGCTTAAGACGCCTACCCCCAGGAAACCCCGGAAGCTCATAACAAATTTCACCCCAGAGACGCCGCAAAACGCAAGGCCTTACCAGTAGAGTGCAAATCACTATGACTTGAATACCTAAAACATGACGGCAACCTTAATGTCAGAATCGGACCGGCAGCCGTCACAAAAGAGAGTAGCAGACTTTTTGAAGTTACTTTATTTTGTTCTTTCAAACAGAGATTTGCTACACGTGTATCGGGGTGTTTTCCGATTAACTAGGTAAATAAGCGAGGATAAGGGACAGGAATAATCCGTATAGCAAGAATAGATGATCTTAGGGTTGGGTCGAGCGTCCTAGAGCCTGAATGTCTCTCTCTAACTTCTTAACACGCTTACCTAGTATCCACACCTATAAATTGATTAGCTTATTTTTGGACTGGTAGTATTGACCACTCACATCAAACATCAAAGTCAGCATAGTGATGATTATGTAGAGAAGTCTATAGAAAAGAGCGTCTCGGAAAGCACCATATCGAAGTTGTTGCAAGCGAATATAGTGATAAACTTAGAGAGTACGCTGAGGGCTGGAAACCAGCGGATGGTGAAGGTCTAGATGTGAGGACGGATGGTGATGGTAGTGAGGATAAAATACGCAGAAGCTACTATTCTAGAAACGGAACACCAACATCATCCACAACCAAATCTATGAAATGGGTTTAATTCTTTAATTATTAATTGGGACCTCCTAGGGTGTGTTGTGATATTTATCCTCCCTAAACATCACCTCCGGCCCAAGAAACCCACCGCCGCACACACTCATCCACCCGCCGCAGGGCATCCTTGCACGCCTCGATCTCGAACCACTCACGGTGTTCCTTCCCACACTCCGCACACGGACCCAGGTCGCGTACGCGCAGATCTGCGAGTTCGATGTGGATCAGGCGTTCGACGCGGTGGACGTGCGGGACTTTTCTCCCGGACGTCAATGTCAATGTTTCTGACGATGTAGGGCGCTGCTGCGGGTGATTATGTCTAGATGGAGATAGCCACGCCGAAGAGGGGGACTGCTGTGGTGTCGGTGTTGTCGTTGATGTTGATGGGCTATATGGGTAGTATCGGATAAGCGTCAGGTCGTTGGAGCACTGACGCGTCCATTCGGTTAATCTGCGGTGCACGTTGATTGCGCGCCCGATTTTCAATCGTACTGTGCCCGGTGCTGTTGCGGTCGGGTTGCTGCTTAGGGCGTTGAGATCCTGTGCTACGCGGATAGCATCGCTGATGCTTCGGCGTTGGGCTGGTCTGCTACTATTTGGGACTGGGAGGAGCAGGGACGATGCAATCTCTCGTGGTGGTGGACGAGGTGAAGTGCTGCCGGCATTGCGTGTAGTGCTTGGAGGAGTCACCCAGAACATGTAGATGTAGCCCTCTTCGTCGGTGGCGGAGATGGGCTTGGCGAGTTCGGTGAGAAGCAGAGATGTCGTTTGGGGAGAGAGGCTGGGTGGGATCCAGGAAAGGAGGGACTGGGTCTGTGGAGTTGGTGATAGTCCGGTCCCAGATGAGGAAGGGCGCGAATGCTGGGGAGTCGGCGACAGCGAAGCATGCATACGCTGTGGGACTGAGTTAGGCCTCGACCCTTGTTGATAGAGATTCTGAGGCGCGGACGCCGGTCGACGGGCCGGACGAACCTGTTGCAGCTGAACTGGCCTTGTAACCGGCTGGGGAATTCGACGATCCATGTCTTCATCGTCGACAATTTCAAAGCAGCAAAAGGTCCTCTTGGGAGGTGGACGATGCTTCTCTTTCACTCGAACAACATCTGCCCTTTTGCGACCATGGCAATGTCTTTGCTGAGCTGTAGGCTGTCCATGTTGGCCTGAAACTTCAAGTACGCCCAGCCGATCCAGTAGCGTATCGACGCTGGATCTGGGCTCGGGCTCAGGCTGGAGACTCGGATCGGCCCATGTCGATGCCGATGCGACAGCCTGATCTTTATGCTGCCAGCAATACAAATTCGTGTCATACAATGGGCATCCATTCCATGAATTCGCGTGGTTTTGTGAAGCTAGAGAGCGGCGACAAGGCCGGCCACTCGTGGTGATCCCTCTACAGGTCGTTGCCGGGTTGCGCGAATCCGAGCGAGGGAGTAGAGACTCTGGCGTGTTGGCGATATGCGGCATCGTCCGGAAGGGAGAGGATGCGGAGGGAAGGAGTGTCAGCCTGCACGAATTTCATCATGAAGCACCTCTGGAATGTGTGTAAAATATTTAATGTGTCAGGCGATGTCCATCTCATCGGTGTGGGTATCTCTACCCGGTGCTATTTTTGTGTACACCGCCACCGAGGCGGTGCAGGTGGTCAGCTTGGATATCATAGTAATTTCGTTGCGCAGCATTATTGTCCTAATCTACGGAAAGAGGCCCGTTCGCGCGTGATTCACTTGTAAGATGAAGTGCAACGCACCATATGCCAATTGCAAATAGATACCTTGCAGACCCAACCAAAAAGTCCCATTTCATAGATCCGCAACTCCACTCCATCTATGCATTCCCAGCACCATATCCCAATCTACCGCGCATAGTCGTAGCTCAACCCCCGACATTTCAACCAAAAGGACCGCACAAGATCCAGCGACTGCTGTCGGGCTCCTCGAGCAACAAAGAGAGACTCGAGGAAGCGTGATTTTTCCTTCGGCTCTAGAAGCGGAACCTGCTGCCCGTTTGCATCAACGACATGGGCGTCGATTGCATCTAGTGCGGCTGTGAGGCTTGGACGTGCTATGGCCATGTGCTTGAATATCCCACGCCGAAGGACATCGGTTAGAGACACCAGATCTGAGCGTGCGCAACGGCCTGCTATTTGCTGGATAAGGGTGTGGCATAGAGAAGGCACGAATTGCTCAAGCACTTGCTGTAGCACGATTGTATCCTCTGAGGCGCTGGGGCGGAGAACTAAGAGGTTAGCCCAGAATGTGGAGGCGGATCGAATGGGAAGAGGTTCCGGTCGCGAGAGGGCATGCAGTGTGAAATTGATCAGAACGGCGAGAATTGGTGGTCGCTGCGAGCCCGGGTCTTCACTCGGGGATGGTAGCGGGGTTGTAAGTGAGAACAGAACTGGATAGTATTTAGGCAACAGGCGCTCGAGAAAGTCAATCCCCGCGTTGGCCGTTTCTGGGTCGTAGAGATCCGGGGTTTCCAGCATGGTGTAGAACAGTTGCGTCACATGGGCAATCAGTGCCGCGGCTTCGTCCCGGATCTGCAGTGAATGCGAGCCGTGGGACGCCAGAAATGAGGATGCGGTGGCCATGATGATATCTGTGCCGGAGATACCGAGTGGGAAGCTCTTGATGAAGTCGACAGTCATGGAAGGAGGAAACACAAACGGGCCGGACTTCTCGGTATAGCCAGCCCTTAGAATCTCGCACGCGGCTTCGATGATGCTGATATCGACCGGAAAGTCGACAATGAGCAGTCTCATGGCCTCCATGATTAGGCGTTGAACCTCGGTGCCTGGTCCAGAACTCCAGAACGATTCGTCTTCAGGTACTTCGTCATCCGTGAGCTCTATTTCGGTGGATTGAAACCCTTTCCCAACGCTGGCGATGCAGCTGAGAACAAGGTCGCCCCGAGCGCGAGCAGACTCATAGGCAGAAGTATTACCTTCTTCCCTTGCCGTGTGGGCTTCCTGAACCAGAAGCCGCAAAATTCGCTCCAGGGGCTGTACCTTGTCCTGGTTTTGAGGCAAGGCGTAAATGATAGCTGCAATTCCCTGTAGAACTCTGGGCATTGTGTTGACCGTCGCTGTTGGCTTGACTCGAAATTGATCTAGTTGGTCCAGGAATACCGGAATGTCTCCGACCAGGGCTTGAGAGCACGATCTTGCGAGGGTTTGAATAGACCGTGATGCTGCCTGAGCACATGGTTCAAAGTTGAGAGACTCGAACAAAATGGTTAAAACACCTGGGAGCAAAGGGGTGTGTCGTTTGAAATAAGATTCGTATTTCCCAATTGCATCCACCAATGTCTGGCGAGCTTTGAGTGGGATGGCTGCTCCAGCATTTGTGAAGACCTGGGTAAGTGTGTTACCCCCAAAAATGGCATCCAAACATTCATCAGCATGTCCATTCTCATCCACCGCTTCTGATAAGTATGTGAGGCAGAACATGGCCGTCTCAAAGCTTCGCCAGTTCTGGTTGCTAAGGTTGGATGTTGCACTCTCTTGGAAGACTCGGATGAGATCAACGCCGAGGAATTGATAGACCGACAGTAAATAGTCGCAGCCCTCGGACCGGAAAACGTTGAATTCACTCCGCTCTTCATCCGTCCAGCCCTGGAGGTGCTCCGTATCTGGATATAGAAGCTTATTAAATAAGCCTAGCACGACTGCGGCCAGCTGATCTTTCACGGCTGCGAATAGAGGATCATCAGATTCGAGCTTGTCTGGCAGATATTCAGCGGTCTCGTTCCAAAATTCGAGCACTCGAGGTGTTGCCATCTCCTCTGTTGCGGCATATCCAGGGCTCTTGAAAACATTGTGGAGAATTTCCAAGAGCTGGCTATTTGGAGGAGACAGGTGTTCCCGAAAAAGATCCAGATCCAAGTAGTAAGCAAAGGCCACCAGGAGATCGATAAGTGTCAGATAGTTCCCGTCTTCTTCTTCATCGGACAATCTTCTTGCACTGATGCTCTCGATGAGAATTTGCGAAAGCCGAGTTTTAGACTTGCTGTCAAGGGACACAAGCCGGCTCTCCATGACCGAGGTCAAGATGGACACTGCGCTGTCTCTCAGATCAGGTAATCTGACGGCTTCAATAATGTCATGGGCACATGACGTTTTGATGTGAGAGACCTCGTCTGGTATGTCTTGTGTTGTTGGGGATGGATGGTTTCCATGTACAACAAGCCAGGTCTGTGCCGCCATCAATACTCGGGTCTTGCAGCAAATGTGATGGTAAATCTGATCTTACCTTCCAAGAATTCATAGCCTCTGTGCCCAAGTCCGGGACAGTGGCTTGCTGTGATATCTGCCGCAAGACATACTGGGAAAGAAGAAACGCATCCCGGGTATTATGGGCAACACGCACAGAAACCGACATCCCTCTGCGGTCGCGCATAATATCCGGATCCCCTTCTGCAATAACATCTTGATCATACTTGTCCCCACCCAGCCGCATGGTTTCCTCTGCCAGGTGATTCGAGAAGAACAGCAAGGCAATGATTTGTTTCTGGGAAAGAGCCGGGATCACCGTGTTTTGGAAGTCCAATGACCCGCAGTCGTCCTCAGAAACATACCCTCCGTTGGCAAGACTGGCTGCAAGCTGCAATACGGCCCGTTTCCACGGCGTAGCCGGTTGCATGAAGAGAGCCACTAAGCTGGAGGCCAGCTTCCTGATCACCATGGCCTGCTCAACTTCATTGACCAATGTAACAAAATGGTTGACCAGGTGCTGCATGGCCTCTAGTGCCGCATCTTCTTTGATTTCTTTGCTGAAATAGAGTCAGTGACTTTGGAAATTCCCACCAGATGCGAGTCCTTACCCGGAGACATTGATTTTCACTGTAAAAGTGAGAGCACCGATGAAACGGTGGTGGGTGGAAGGCTCCCGAAGAAGCACATCCGCGATCATCCACCCATGCTCGCCCTTCTGGAGTTGCTGCAGACGCGCCTGGATTTCATTGACCTTGGAGGGGTTGCGCTGGTTGGCGGGATCGTAGAGCTCCGTCACGAGCTGAGACGGTGGTTAGCAAGCTGGAGGGCACGATTGAAAAGTAAAACACATACCAGGTGAGCCTCTTTCGCAGACTCCATGGCTCCCAAGCCTGTCTCCACGAAGAGACCAGGAACTCCGGACGGTCAAAGGAGGGAACAAACAGATGGTTATCATCACGTGCTGATAGAGGGGGTGGCAGAATTGGAGGGCGGTGAAGCAGTCCAACGAAGAAGTTGTAGTAGCACAGAGAGAGAATAAGAAGATAGTAATTCTTTACTTAATTCAAATCATAGACAATACCATTATTATCCATGTTTTGTGCGTGATAATCATCAAAATCCCTAGATAAGCCGGGCCAGTGCAAACATGGCAACTGTGGGGACCCGCGGTTTCAACCGGAGATCGTTACCGGACCACCAACACATCCGCTAACTGATTGCGCTGCTACCCTTCCTCCGTCCCTCCCCTCTTCCTTTTGGTCGCTTAGTTATCGCATCGAACTCCTCTTCTCCTTCCCGCTCGTGCGGTGTCCATGCTCTTCACCCAATCCATCCGCTTTTGTGGGACACCCTTTCGTTCGCTGCAACGGCCACTTTCGCACGCTCGATTCTTTTCTGTCCTCGGTCCACGATACTCGGTCGAGATGGGGACCGTGGATACCACTGATCGCCTGACCAGGCTGAGGAAGCTGATGCAGGAGAACAAGGTGGATGTGTACAGTACGCCATCATTCAATCCCGTGGACGACGTGTCGAGACTCATGTTCGCATCCAACAGTTGTTCCCTCCGAGGATAGCCATCAATCCGAGTACATTGCGCCGTGTGATGCCCGTCGAGGTCAGCGATCCGTCCACTTTCTCCCTGTCTGCACTCTCAGCTTACCACTGCCCTTGCAGAGTTCATCTCTGGTTTCTCGGGCTCCGCCGGTACCGCGATCATCTCCCTGACCAAGGCCGCCCTATCTACGGATGGACGGTACTTCAACCAGGCCGCGAAGCAATTGGACAGCAATTGGGAGCTGCTTAAGCGTGGAATTGAAGGGGTTCCTACTTGGCAGGAATGGTACGGATCAATTGACCTAAATGATAGGTCTGGCGCTGAAGCTGAATGTGTTTAGGACAACGGAACAGGCTCAGGGCGGCAAGGCAGTGGGTGTTGATCCGTCTTTGATCACAGCCTGTACGTTGGCTTTGCCTGTGCATATATGAACCATGGTGCTAATATCTATAGCTGGCGCGCGCAAACTCGCCGAGACTCTTGAGAAGAACGGATCGTCGCTCGTGGGTATCCAGCAAAACCTGGTCGATTCGGTCTGGGGCAAGGACCGCCCGCCACGCCCCAGTGAGAAGGTGCGGGTGCACCCCAACAAATATGCCGGCAAGTCCTTCCAGGACAAGGTGGCCGACCTTCGCAAGGAGTTAGAAACCAAGAAAAAAGGCGCCTTCTTTATTTGTAGGGAAAACCGTTCTTTTTTCCCCACCAGAATTGCTGACGAATGACAGCTATGCTCGATGAGATTGCCTGGTTGTTCAACCTGCGAGGAAGCGAGTAAGCGCCGTGTCTCCTGATGGTATATTCAAAATTGACCATTCCTAGCATTCCCTACAACCCGGTGTTTTTCTCATATGCCGTGGTCACGCCCACCACTGCGGAGCTCTATGTCGAAGATGACAAGCTGACACCAGAGGTCAAGGCTCATCTCGGCAAGGATGTGATCGTCAAGCCGTATGACTCCATCTATGCGGACGCGAAATCCTTGAGCGAAGCTCGAAGCAAGTCCAGTGGCAATGCCGAAGCCCCGTTCAAATTTCTGCTTTCAAACAAAGCTTCCTGGGCTCTTAGTCTCAATTTGGGAGGCGAGGAGCAGGTCGAGGAGGCCCGCAGCCCGATCGCCGATGCCAAAGCCGTCAAGAATGACACTGAGCTGGACGGCATGCGGGCGTGTCACATTCGGGATGGCGCCTCCCTGACCGAGTACTTTGCTTGGCTTGAGAACGAACTGGTCAACAAGAAGACGACCCTGGACGAAGTCGACGCTGCAGACAAGCTCGAACAGATCCGCTCCAAGAAGGATCTATTCGCCGGTCTTTCGTTCGACACCATCTCTTCTACGGGCCCTAACGGTGCGGTTATCCACTACAAACCTGAGAAGGGAAGCTGCTCTGTCATTGACCCCAAGGCCATCTATCTCTGCGACTCTGGCTGCCAGTACCTGGATGGAACCACTGACACCACGCGGACGCACCACTTTGGTCAGCCGACGGAGTTCGAGAAGCGAGCATTCACTTTGGTGCTCAAGGGTATGATTGGCATCGACACTGCGGTGTTCCCCAAGGGTACCAGTGGATTTGCCATTGATGTTTTGGCCCGTCAGTTCCTGTGGAAGGAAGGCCTTGACTTTCTCCACGGTACAGGGCACGGAATTGGGTCTTATCTGGTAAGCACGCCGAGCTCGATCCTGCACGATACGTCCTGCTAATCCCGGTCAGAACGTCCACGAGGGACCCATGGGTATCGGCACTCGTGTGCAGTACACTGAAGTGCCCATTGCTGCTGGAAACGTCATCTCGGATGGTTCGTCAGCCTCCCTCTGTACATCCCCATCAATGCTAATTGTGGCTCTAGAACCCGGATACTACGAGGACGGCAAGTTTGGCATTCGAATTGAGAGTAAGAGCCCGAACCAACCCCAACTTGCTATATGTGCTGATATATCTGTTGTTAGATGTCGTTTTGTGCAAGGAGGTCAACCCGCCCAACAAGTTCGGCGACAAGCAATGGCTGGGCTTCGAACACGTTACGATGACGCCGATCGGTCGCAAGCTGATCGAGCCGTCGCTGCTGAGCGATGCTGAGCTCAAGTGGGTGAACGACTACCACGCCGAGATTTGGGACAAGACGCACCACTTCTTTACGGAGGACGAGCTGACGACCAAGTGGCTGGAGCGTGAGACCAAGCCTATCTCTAAGTAGACCTGAGAATTAAAGTGCTAGTATGAGAGAGAATAGGATAGAAAGAAGATATGCTCGGCATGATTCTAGGGCTTTTTGTGGAATCCGTGTACAGTAGAATGTAGGTAAGTGGAATGAATGAATGTTAGAGAGGAAGCTCGTGTGGAGCCCCGACTTCATCCCGCCCCGACTGCCTGCCTTCCCTCCATCACTACCGCCAACACAACAACACAACACCATCAACCACAACCACAACCACTCCATCGCTGCTCACAAGCATCCTGCAATTGCGCGAACAAGAATGCTCGCTGTTCTTGTCCGCCCCTCGTTGCGCGAAATCCACTGGGCCTAAAGCCAGACCTCTACCTCCCCTCCCCTCCGATTGCGCCTCCACGGCCCCTTGGTCGCACCGCACCAGCGTGTCCTCAGCAGCATAACCTTCTGGACTCGACCACTTGAAGCCGTTTGGAATGAGCGGCCGATACGGATACGGCGACACCGGCCGGTACGACCGCGGCGATGGCGGCTACGGCGGTAGCAATCTCGGTGTGAACGGGTACAGCGGAGCAGGAGGAGCAAGCAGGGATCGCCGTCCTGGTGGCTACGGTGGTTTCTACGGCGAGTCGCCTTCGCCGCGCTCTGTGTCACCCAATCCGTCTCCAGAGCGGCGGCGCGATCAAGGAGATCGGGACGGGCAACAACAATCATCATCGTCCAATTCGCGGTCGCGCACAAGGAATGGAGATGCAGAGAACAGATATCAGGGCTCCAGACCTGATCGTCCGAAGGAGGCGCCGCGGTACCCGGAAAGCAAGAATCGAGATAGGAATGGGTCTAATGCCTTGAAAGTGGATGAAAATCTTGGGGAGCTGCAATCAGTTGAATGTCCGTCGCGAAACGTTTCCTTGGAAGAGACATTTTTGCTGATATGTTTATGATATATAGCCGTCCTGCAGTCGATCCAGCGCGAGTGGGATTTCATGACGGATACCGAGTGCATACCGGTGCATGTGGCTTTGAGTCTGATGGACATGAGTACACTGGGCAAGGCGGACCGCGAGCCGGACTTCCTCCGGATGCATAATCGGATCCAGAGGACTTTGAAGGCGATTGTCAATGGTAGGTGACTGAACAGTGATTGTAACGGGCTAGAGGCTGACATGACGGGTCATAGAACATCACCAGGGATTCAACAGCTCCATCGGAACATACCATAAAATCCAATCGAGTATTACAAGCTCCCAGGGCCGAGTTCGTGACCTGCGACAATCCCTGGAGGAGGCAAAGTCCGGTTTACTGTCCACGAAGCCGGAGCTCAAGGGGCTGGCAACATCCTCACAGAACTACGATGATATCATTCAGTTGTTCTGCCATATCGAGGAAATCCAATCCCTGCCTGAGAAGCTAGAGGCTCACATATCCGACAAGCGATTCCTCGCTGCGGTGGATGTGCTTCACACTGGCCTGCGATTGCTCCGCCGCTCTGAATTGGACAACCTTGGTGCCTTGGCAGATGTCCGTGCGTTCTTCAGCAATCAAGAAATATCACTCACAGATATCTTGATTGAAGAATTGCATGATCACCTGTACCTGAAGTCTCCGTACTGCACAGATCGATGGAAACCACCAAGCCCAGAGGGAGACATCAGCTCATTCAGTTGGACCGGCAACCGCTCTTGGGAACGACCAGTATACACTTTTCTGGCAAAGTTGGATGCGTCAACACCCATGGTCGAAGATGCTTCGCGGAATCCCGAGGCCGACACATTCTCATATATTCACTTGTTGATCGAAGCCTTGAACAAAATGGGCCATCTTGATGTAGCGATTGATCGGATTGAACAGCGTCTTCCGGTTGAATTGTTCGCGGTGGTCGACAAAACGAACGCAGATGTTGATGCTCGCTATCCCAGCCCGGCCAAAGGGTTTCCATCTCGAGACAACTTCCTCAAGACCAGTCTACCCACCGAGGCCATCGAAAAGCGAGGCCACGTGCTGGCAGAATTTCTATGGGCGCTGTACGCCAAGTTCGAGGCCATTGCTGAGGGCCATCGGGTCATTCACGATGTGGTCGCGGCTATTGTGCAACGTGAGGGTCTCACCACCGGCGATGCCCTTGCTGGAGGGTTCAAGGAGTTGTGGAAACTATACCAAAGCGAGGTAAGAGACCCTTCTTTTTCCCTTGTAAATATTACTAATTATATCTGCAAGATCCGATCTCTCATGCACGACTATCTTGCAACTGATGGCGAGACTTCTTATCGTTCTCGGAACGAGGAAGCCGACGCTCGGCGGCAGCTCTACTCCGGTCGAGATAAAACAAAGGTAGAAGATTTATATGGTTTTTCGATTTGACAGTAGCTGACGAAAAGGTGTATCGCAGAAAATGTTCAAGTTATCTGATATTGATCAGAATTCAGAGATGAAGGCTGAGCAGGACGAGCTGGATGAGATTCTAAAGTCCTCTGTACCTGGAATGGTCTCCAAAACAAGACAGAAATCCTCCACAAACGACTCTGCCCAATCCAGACAGGGCAACTCCGGAACTGGCCACAAGATCCTAATCGAACCAAGTGTCTTCAATATGGGTCTGCTACTACCGCCTTCGCTTTCTTTCATCCAACGCTTGAAGGATATTGTTCCGGTCAACTCGGACATCTCCATGAACACGCTGACCTCTTTCCTGGACGACTTCATGGTCAACGTCTTCCACCCTCAGCTGGATGAGACTGTGACGGACTTGTGTACGCTCAGCTTTATCGCAGCTGATGCGTTTACGGAAGACCCTCAGTGGGCCAAGGTGTCTCCTCGTCCCATTTTCAGGGTCAGTTTTCTCACAACAACGTTCTTTGCATTGTCTAATTTGACTATTTGGCAGGGCACGGTCAAATTCATGTCCATCATACGGGAATTTAGCAAGATGTTATCGAGCATTCCGCACGACCAGTCTTTCACACAGCTTCTCATTGACCAGATTGTGACATATTATGACAAGTGTTTCGGATGGTATAAAGGTAAGAATGTTCCGATTATTTCCCCTGAAATCTCAGGCTCATCTGTCCTTAGCAATGGTTACGAAAGTCTCGACTCGGAATCAGGGAGGTGGAGTCCGACTCAAGGCTGCAGCGCAGTTTGTGGAGTCCGGAGATGTTCGTGACACAGTCAATGAGCTGTGGAAAGGAGCCACAACAAACAAGCAGGCCTTGCTTGATAAGGTAAGCCCTGAACCTTCGTCAATAATGGCCTGAACTAACAAGAGCAGGAAATTGAGCTTCTTCTCAAACGGACTAATCAGGTGCCTCTGGAACCGTACGACATCATATCCGACCCCAAAACAGTCGTTGCTCTTTCACTCCTGTACAACAGCATGGTAAGAGAATTGTGTGTATTCGTGTCTAAGCGGCCACTAACATTCGCATTATAGAAATGGCTCGGCAGTCATCTCACCAAAATTCGGTTGGTGATGGACCCGGCAGCGGAGGCTGACTCGTCGCCATCTCTGACTGCGAGCGGACGACCGTCGCGACGGTGGACCTTATTCGGAGCGATGAGACCTAAGCGTGACAGTATTAACCAGCCCGTTTTTCTTCCACTCAACCAAGAGACGGCGGTGGCCTTTGACCGAACCCTGCAGTCCTTGCACGGTCTTGGTTCTACCGCAATTCTGACATTGCACGTTGACATCCGGTGTGGAATCATCCACATGCTAACAAGAACAATGTCTGGCCCGAATCCCCCTACTATCCGAAATTCCGAGCCCCAAACCCCATCCCCCAGCTCAAACGAAGCCTGGTGGCACATCCTCATGAACCAGCCGACGGCCGCGTCACCGACCATCCTCGAGCTGAACAACGACCTCATCGCCTTCGACACAAACGTCTCGCTATACCTCGGTTCCCCAGAGCGCTGGTTCATCACCTCCGGCCTAGCACGGTTCATTGATCACGTCTTCGTCGCCTGCACGCGCTACATCGGGGCCATGAATGAGAACGGCGCCTTACGTCTCCAGCTCGATGTGCTGGTCCTCCAACAGAACCTGAAGAACATCATTATCGACCCGACAGCAGCGGACGAGAACGACTCCTCGCACGAGATCGTCGCCTTGCCGCGCAGCGCTAAGTTCCTGGACTGGTTCCTTGAGGGTGCGGAGAAGACTATCGACAACGCCAAGTATGAGAAGGAGGAGTTTGCCGCTCAGGGCGACAAGGCCCTTGCGGCCGGGAACGGCGAACCTTTCAGCTACGATGAGCTTCGCGTGCTCGTCGACCTCTGCTTCTCGGAGATCCTGCGCGGGCCCCGCGGTGCGGACAACCGTGAGGATTTCATGGCGGCGAAGAAGGCTAGCGGGGATGCGATGTTGAGTTTGAGTGAGATTATGTGGGATGCCCGGTAATAGTGTGGTTGGCATGCATTTTTGGTGATTTTAGTAGTATTTACTCCTAGATAAGAGCAGGTAACTAGCGAATCTCTCCGAAATTATTATTTTTCTCCTCTGCATCATCTCTCCCATTGATTCGGGAATTAGGTCAGTCCTGGTAATATTTCCCTTGATTAAACTGCTAAATTAAGCCACCACTAACAACCCCAAGCCCTACTCCACGCGTGTTTCAGAATGGCGCGGGACTCGTCTCTGCCCTTCCGTCAGCAAAGAGTCGTAGCCCTCGCTTTCTGCTTGTCGTTTATTTTTCTTCTCCTTCTTTCTCTTCGCTGTTTCCAGACCGTTCGTTCCTTTCTCTTGCTATCAGGCAGTGCCTTGGCTATTCCATTTCCATACTTAAGTCTGCGATTCGATATCCGGACGTCCTTTCATTTCTTTTCTTGAGACAGTTTACGCTGTTGATTTTTCTTCTTCTTTTGAACATATTCTCAACAGATACCCTACCTAGTCTAGGTTAGGTCTGTCATTGTACAATCTACACCCACCCACCCACACCAGCCGACCCTTTTCGTTTCAAATAACAAGGACAAGATACGAGAACTACGAGAAGGACCAGATGAAATATCTCCGTCTACCATTCACCGGCACCGCCGCTCTCCTCGGCATCGCCGCCACTGCGTCTGCATCTGTCGCTTCGCGCCTTCAACCCAACGATGCAGGACAGTGTCCGTCAGGATATATGATTGTCGTTAACACCATCGCTGTCGAGGTGACGCTGACACCATCTTCGTCTTCGTCGGTTCCGACTACTACTACCCAGTCCACGACTACTACCACGACCACTACCACTGAGGCCGTTGTTCCGTCGTCGACGGTGACGGTTCAGTCGACTAGGACGAAGACGCTTACCCTTCTTGATATTTTGACTACTACTTCTGAGGCTGATGATGCTGCTGCTGCTGCTTCTACCACCACTACTACCACTGCTGCTGCCGTTACGGCCGCCGTTCCTGCTGTTGACAATGCAGCCAGCGAGCAGTCCACAACTACCTCGGAGACATCCCCTGCCGCTGCAACAACCATCGCCTCTTCATCTTCTTCCTCTCCAGGCTCTTCCGCTGGAGGCAACCCCGGCGAAGCCACATACTACACTGGCGATGTCTCCAGCGGCACATGCTCGTTCACGGGGTACACGCTGCCGAGCGACATCTTCGGCGCTGCGCTATCGGTCCACAGATGGAATGATGCAGCGCACTGCGGAGCGTGTGTGTCTATCCAAGGACGGGGTGGTAATTCGATTAAGGCTATGGTATGTGAAGACCAGTTTATGCATTCATTATTCCCTCCCCCCACCAACCAAAAACCTAACCCGCAAACAAACCAACCCAATCCCAGACTGACCAATACCCCATAGATCGTCGACCAATGTCCCTCCTGCGCAGAAAACCACATCGACCTATTCAGCAACGCCTTCTCAACCCTCTCGGACCTAGCAGCGGGCGTAATCGACATAACCTGGTCCTACACATCCTGCGACGTATCCGGCCCGCTATCCCTACACTCGAAAGACGGCTCATCGGCCTACTGGTTCGCGATGCAGGTTGTGAACACCAATGAGCCCGTCACGCAGCTGGAGGTTAGTACTGATAACGGGGCCTCGTGGACGGACACCACGCGTACGTATTATAATTACTTTGAGAAGGATGGTGGGTTTGGGACGGAGACTGTTGATGTGAGGGTTACGGGCCGTTCGGGGAAGAAGGTTGTTGTTAAGGACGTTGGGTGTGGATCTGGGGAAGTGGTACAGGCGGAGGAGAACTTTTGAGACATGTTTTGATGATGAGTGGGGTGATGGGGAGAGCAGGGGTTGGTTCTTGGTTTTGTAGTCTAGTGCTTGGATTCGTTGTTCACGTCTACTCTACTAGTGAAACAATGCCTAGGATAGCAACCGTCAAGTGCCACCAGCACTACGGCAAGAGGGCAGGGGAATAAGAAAGAATAATCATCAAATTATACCGCAGCTCCAGAGCCTCAAAGGGCAATTCCCATCCCGACCTTAGATTTCGCCGCCCAGTCCATTAAAGATGAAAAATAACGATAAAGAAACGTGGTAGCATACAAACACAAAAAGGATAACGGGGAAGAGAAGACGCCAGACGGCCAAGGCACCTGTTGGGAATCACGCGGGTGCTGGGAAGGATCACAAACACAGATCTCTGGTGGGAGATACACTGTATCGTTGATGATAGCGTCAAGGGAATTGAGGAAGGAAGGAAAAATCGAAGAGAGGAGTCTCAACCAGTGAAAAAGAAAGAAAAAAAGGAAAGAAAAGAAAAGAAAAGAAGCAACCACGCGCAAAAACAAGAGAAGTGAGGGTATGTTCCGGTGTCAATCTTAACCTCCAGGGAAAAAACAACGGTCGTGGCACATGCAGAAAGGAAAACCATTCTAGTCCATCTCCAGCGTCTCGAGTTCCTTTGCTTCCTCGTAGTCATCAAAGTCCAGGCCGGCCTCGCGGCAGCGCGACAGCCACTTCATGGCAATGGCATTGCGACGACCGACCTCGGCCTTGAGCTTCGAGTTGGAGGTGCTGATCTCGGTGATGGCATGGTTGGCCGTCAGACTGTGCTGCTCGAACCGCTCGTCCATGCTTTTCTTCTCTTCCTGCAGCTGGCAGATGTACTCGATGGCACGCTGCAGAATGGCACCCTTGTTCTTGTCGCAGTTCGGCACAAGACGGGCAATCTGGTTGATCCCTTCATTGATTGCCTCACGGCGTCGGCGCTCCACTGGTTCTCTGGATCAGCACTGGCATAGAATAGTGTGGTGATAGATCCCTGTCTTACCTTCCTTGTGGTTGTTCTTGCGGATCTGGTGCCACTCGGGCGAGCCGACATTCGGCTTCTGGTTCATGCTCTGAGCCTCACGGGCAGCATACACCGCAGCAGCGGTAGAGTTGTGGTTGTGGCCACCACCCATGGGGGTCTGGTTCATTTCATCGAACGACAGGCCAGAGGTGAGGTTGTTGGCATCAAACGGGGTATCCGGGGGAGGCGGGTACTTGTGTTGCGGAGTGTGTGCCGCCAACGCCGCTTTGGCATTAGCAGTCAGGGCATTGTCATCCGACATGCCATTTTGGGGACCAACATGCTGAAGGATCTGCTGGTCGATGTTGAGGTCCGAGCTATGCTCGTAGTTCAGGGAGCCATGGCCGAAGTTGGGCTGGTTCTCGCCAGGCATGCTGCCATTGCTGCCGTGGGAGGAGCGGTTGAGGCGCTGAGGGTCCGGGCCTAGGCTGTCAGAGCCGTCGCGCTTGCGCTTGTGAGTGTTATCGGGGCTATTCATGGTGGGGTTGGACATCAGTCGTTCTGCTTAGGATCAGAGTTAGCCATCCGGTGCCGACTGGAGAGTAACGGCATCGAAAGAAATAAGAGAGTGAAGGACAATCATGGGTCAGTGAATATCAGATAGCCCCGGTGGAGCATCTGCAGTCACTCCCCACGTAAACAGAGACGCGTGGTGCAGACGCGCTTGCCAGGCCTCTTGCGACCGCACAGTGGGATTCAGCTCATCCGAACTGACGCCCCCTGACCATCACAAGCGCACTGAAATCCCGTCTACGGGATAGCAATCATAGTCAAGATGTTCACCGAGTGTATACACCCCGACGACATCAGATACGCGTCATTCGCGATCGGTCGGGGGATAACACAGGGGCAGCGACATCATCAGGGGGCGCAAGACAGGCCGGGACTCAAGGCAGGCGCGCAGCGACCGCGTCGTCGCGCACAACTTGTGGGATGGGGATGAACAACGGGATGAGGAAGGCGTACCTTGGGATGATCGCTTTATCACCTGACAGGAAGTCACCTGCTCAAACAACAAGAAGTCACGTTGTTTGCGCGAGCCGAATTGGGCAAGTCGAACGTGAAAATCAGAAAAGGCGGGAGATTGTTCGGGGACAAGTGGCCGTAGAAAAAACGATAGCCAACGCCCAAAACGGGGATAAATTGTAAAGAAGGGATGCTTGACCGGGGGGGAGATGTAGAGTGCAAGAGTCGAGTCGAGAGGGACTGCTCACGTGGCGAGGAGCGCAGTCGAGGACGGGCGAGGGTGTGCGGGGAGGCAGATAGACCAGTCGCGCACAATCATCAGGTGACGGGCCGATCGCCGGATGGGGGGCATCCAGGTGGAGTATATAATCGCGCAGTCTACGGGCGAACTACTGGTACAGATGCAAGCAATGACAATCATCTCTCATCACCGTGGATAATAATAGATAGGACTATCCTCCATAGTATCAAGTCAGGTGCAACGATCCCGTGCCCCTCCTGTTGCTGCTCGATTTGATTGGCCCGCCCCAGCCAAGGGGGGTAGGCCCAGGTCACGTGGTGAGGGCTGCACGACAATGAAGATGGCGGATCCCACATGTCTAGACACTCTCTAGCCTGTGATCTAGACTCTCGCGGTGGGCGCTAACCGGCGAAAGGGTTGCATCCTCATGGGAGGCGGGTCATGCGACGGGATGTCATCGACGCAGAAATTAAGGTGGGTGTCTGAGCGTCTGAAGAAGCCGATCGGGGCGATCAAGGTGCATGTATGCCATCGCGGGTGTCTGCATACCGTCACATGGATCCTGGGGATCGACCAAGGTGGCAACGTCTGGTTCCGTGATGCGCGCCGTCGCGCCGGACGGTAGCGGGATCTGCGGCCGGGGTGGGGGATAATATGTATGTACATATTATCATGTCGAAAGGAGAGATTGGGAGACGAAGCAGGAGGGGGTGGGATCACAAGTGACCATAACCATCATTGTAGTCTTCCCTGAATTTGCACGCTTCGGCCTCAACCAAGACATGAAAAACAAGGCATCAGCATCCACTGCGTCCAGGGTGGGTGGGTCTGACGCGTCGGGAAGACGCCTCAGACGGACGCCTTTCGCAGCCCAAATACCATTTGGGGGTCTGCCGTGGTATCCGCGAAACAAATGCCCTCCTCCGCCGCGCCCAGCAGGTCCCAGCAGAGGATCTTCGCATCCAACGGTGCCTCTGCTGCAACGTTTGTCTCAGCTGCCTTCTTCTCTCCCCGTGATCCAGGCGCAGGCCGTGGCTCTGGCTCCCCACCATCTTCGGGCACGGGACGCTGCGTGATGGCGATGATGGCGCTCGTCCCCGCATAGCGCGCTGGGGACTTGCCTTCCGCCACGGGAGGCTCCTCGCCCGCGCGGTTGGCGAATACAATAATGGTTTGCTTGTTGGCGTCTAGTTCCACTTCCTCGTGCTGCATTCTTTTGTTGAGGAGCGGCCAGAACCGCTGGATCCAGTAGTTGAACGTATCCATCTCGGGCTCGCCATTTAGCGCATCCAGTTCTTCGCCACTCAACGTGGTCAGCCAGGCCATAGACAAGACCACGAGCTGGGACTTGGAGTCGAGCACGCGGTGCGCAAATTCCCATTTTGTCCATGGAGCTTCGAACTTGTATGGATTAATATCCATGCAGATGCCAAATGAAGTAGCAACCTGCTTGGACCCGAACGACAGCGCGTGGAATCCCCGCTCCACATTGCCCTCTGCAGCCCAGGTCTCGTCAGTAAAATACAAGAAGCTCTTCCGATAGTTTAAAACGAAACCTCCGTTCTCATCAAGCACAAGAAGCGAGTTGTAGCATGTTGTTTCGTTGGTTGCTGGCGTCTTTTCGATCTCGGGATACCCCACACAGACTTTGCACTGTAGTCGCTTGGCCGTCTCGCGAGCCCAGGATGCACTTGGACCGTCACCAACTGGTTCGAGATATGGCTTGATCTCTTCTAGTGACGGGAAGTTGTAGCCTGGCAAGACATTCGTCATTCTGATTTTTTGTCTCTATCAATCAAAAAGAGCAGATCGCATACCTGTCAAGGCCAACTCGGGCAGCACCAGGATATCGGGTCTCAAAAGCTCAATACCAATTCCAGCCCCGAGCTTTTCCCCATCCAGCGAGATGGTCTTGCCGCTTTTCAGAAGAGCATTGGCTCTCTCGATGTTTCCTTGGACATCACCCAGCCTCGGGGCAAATTGCAGGGTCGCTATTCTCATCTCTGGAGATTGCGAGGCTGAAAAGGTTCTCACACTCCACGGAGTACAAGGCAGAATGCACAGTCTTGCAAGGTGATGGTGGTTGCCAAATGCTGGAGATGTATGACGATGAAGTCGCAAGATCGTGGGCCCAAGATGGACGAATCTCTGCGCTACTGTTGCCAGGATGGTGGTGTGTATGATAATATGGCAAGACTTCTGATCCTGTTTAACACAGATGATGTAGAGTTTTCAATTCAGTCGAGAATTGAGCGGAAATGGATCGAGGGAGTTGATGCGTTGGCGATGTGGAGGGGAGTGCGGCTGTTGATGCCTGAGGATGCAACAGTCGCTGCAAATCGCCGTGTTTACTTTTACTGCTCAACACAATTATGTCACAATCAATGGTTTGGTAGGTATTTTCGCAAAAAAAGTATCATACACAATATGTACCAGGCACACTTCCCCAACACCATACAATGTAAAGCTGATGATCTCTAACAAACGCCCTTCGAACCAAATGCAAGATGAACCTCACTAAAGGTAGTAAACCGATCAATCGCAAACCAATTCATCATCCATCATCCATGACAACTATCTGCTCTGTGTAAACTTCGGGTTGCTATCGGCTGTGAAGTTCAAAGGCTTGTATGCCAACCCGTGTCCACCAGTTGCTCGAATTCGCTGCTCGGTACGCGACATAGTCCTGCCCAGGCCCAAGGGGGTATCGGGAGCGTAGGCGACATTGTAACTCTGGGAGAAGGCCTGCGGAGGCGAGGCACTGCGGGCAAAATGCAGCGAGGAGACGCTGCTGCTAGGGCTGAAGGAGGATCCTCGTGGTTCGCCGTATTCTGACCAGCCGTCAGAAAGCTTTGGGCCGCTCCTCAATGATTCAGCGGCGATCCGTGCAGCAGAAAGAAGCATTTCGTCTTCATCCACCTGAGTGGACTTGGGCCTGGCTTCCTCGGTTTCCTCCTCGCTGGGCCGCTTGCGTTCCGTCAAGGCCTTGACCCGTTCCAGGATAGGAAGAGTCGGCAGGGGTTTGACGGAGGAGCGTGCCATCGAAAACTTGGCGGGCGGAGAAGATCCTTTTCCTTCTGATACCTTAGCAGCCTTGGAGCCTGGACCATTCTCAGTCGGCCCCGTTTCAATCGGCTCTTCATACATCCGTTTCCGACTGGGCGCCTGTGTGTATCGTCGTCTCATCGCAGCTCTGTTCAAGAGGTCCACCCAAGCACGGTGTCGTTCTTCACTCATATCATGAGCTAAAGAATGAATAAATTAGTCTCTGGTGAGGGGATGATCGACATGTAGGAGTGCTTACAGGTAGGTAGACTCGCGGAAATTGGCGAGGCTCTCGATTCGGAAGGTGGTTCAGGCGTGGTAGTTGACTCGACATGCATTGTTTGTTCAGGAGTACCATCGGGTTTGGTGGTGATGGATTCGGTCGTAACAGTCTGTGATGGCAGTAGAGGACCATCGACATTGTTCGCCGCAGGGGTGTCGTTTAGTGCAGTGGTCTTTGACTTGCTCACTTCAGTCGAACCATCAAGGCTTTCCGGTGAGAGGCTCGACTCCTGTTGCACTGCGGGAGTGCTTCCGGACAGATCCAAGGGCGTTGCTGGTTGGAAGAGTGTTCCAAAGGCAGGAGTTGCTGGCGCAGTGTCGAAAACCTTTGGTGCTTGTTTGGGCTCAGAGAATACAGGCCGTGCAGGCTCCGCCACCGAAGGACCTTGAGCAGGTTTCTCTTCGTCCGTCGTAGAAGGCTGAGGAGATGCGAACAGGGGAGCTTGGGAGACTCCGCCAAAAGACGGTGCTTTCACAGAGCTGAAGAGACTAGCCGACTGCTGGCTGGAGCCAGGTGTTACTCCGGCTGAGGGACCAGTTTGTTCGGGCTGGGAGGCAGATGGAGGAGACGAAAAGTTGAACAAAGAGGTTGGTTGAGAGGTAGTAGGAAAACCGAACTGCCCGGAGAGAGTGGTCGAGGTACTGGTCTCCTTCTGCTCGACTGAAGCAGCAGAGGCCGGCAGGGTAGGGAATAGGGAAGACGCCTGCTCCGCTGTTGACTCTGTCGCATACTCAACTTGCTGGAGTGGGGATGGTGCCTTGGGAGGCGTGAAAGGTGAGAACGAAGCCGTAAAAGGCTTCGAAGCCACAGAAGGGGTCTGCTGGACAGTTGGTGTCGATACAGTGGCTGTGGGAGGCGTTAAAGCCGAGAGCGAAGCCGCGAAAGGATTCGAAGTTACAAGTGGCGTCTGCTGGATAGTCGACGTCGATACAGAGGATGCTTCTTGTTGACTTGGCCCTGGCGCCTTGAAGGACGATAATGAAGCCGTAAACGGGTTGGGCGCTGCAGATGGCTTTGCAGTGCTGGTGAAACTGCTATCAGAAAAGATCGATGATGGCTGCTGAGTAGGTGTCGCAGTGGCGGGATTTTCTTTCTCGGCTGGCTCAGGCTCCTTTGAAATCGCCAATGGTGATGGCAAAGGAGCGAAGGGGCTCGATGTCGTGGATGATAGAGTAGCAAAAGGGTTTGGAGATGCTGAAGATGATGCCGGGGGGTTACTAGTCATAGTGGCCCCAGAGAAGAGCGAACCGAACATCTTAGGAGGTTCAGAAGGCTGGAAAGGGTTTTGGGACTGCGAAGGAGTGGAAGAAGGTGGCTGCGAGGCACCTCCAAAAATGTTGCCGAAACTGGACGGTGTGGGAGACTCCGGACGGACATTCTCCAGGAGAGACGCGTTTGGTTCAACGACAGGGGCCGGTGTCGTATTGTCCTCATCGCTGACAAAAAGCGAATCATCCTGTGTAGGAGTCTGGGATTTAGCGGTGAATGGCGTGGTTATCTGTTCAGGCAGGCTAGAACGGTCGAGCATGCCCATCCTCGCTGCCTCCCGAATCTTCAAACCAAGGACGATGGCAACCAAGGTTCTCCCACCCCGTTTTGATTCCACAAATGTGTCGGAAAAGACATGCTCAGAAGATGGTTGGAAGCCTGGAGATGTGTTAATTTTGGATCCTAAAAACGTTCCAGTCAGAAGATAGCACATACCGACAGAGTCAACAGGGCGGTTGCCCCAATTGAGATAGAGATCTCCCTCCGCATTCTCAGCCAGCTCCAGGTCTTGTTCTTCGCAAAATTTGATCGTCTGGTCATCGTCGTCAAAGTGTAGCACCTTGGTAAGTTCCTCCACAGTCCATTCTTCATTTTTGTGCTGCTGCGAAGCGGGTGAACGACAATAGGCTTTCCAGATCGCGCGAATGGCAGTCTGCCGCATGTGATTGAAGTATATTTCAGCCACACATGCCATCAGGTAGGATACGCTTGGAGAATTGATCAAGTTGAAAAAGCGAGCGTAAAATCCCTGTGCGATGGCATTTGGCCGACGCGCATCCAGAGCACCCTGGTACTCCCATGTGTTCGAGGCGGCCGCGAAGATCTCCAGGGCGACTTGAACGCGTGGGGAGTTCAGCATGGCGGCCGGCCACTTCTGAACACGAGCTTCAAGGTCAGGTCGTTGATCGTGAATGGAGAAGATGATGTAGTAGGCGCGGAATTCATCTTCATTCCGAAAGGCAATGCGGCCGCGATTGTCGTCGTAGTAGTACATGAGCGACAGCATGGTGTTGTTCAGTTGCTCGCGTTCCTGGTGACGGTCAAACGGCTCCTCATTCGCCGGATTGGTGAGAAGGTGGAGAGACATGATGTGGAATCGGGCAATCCGTTCCAGGCAAGTGACCGCTGTTCGAACGTCGGCCTCCTGGGTGAGTTGCTGGACCGAGAAGTCGTTGCGAATGGACCGCGTACGATCCCAGACATATTTGTGGATTATGCCAAGAGGCTCACTTCCACCAAGGATATGCCGAGTGAGATAGTTTGTGGCTTGGAGTAGTGTCTTTGGTGTTCGAATATCCGAAGGGAGTTGCTCGTCATACCCAGCAGCCGATCGTCGAAAACGTTTGAGCATTTTCGTTTCCATATTCTGCAGAGACCCCGTCGACGGGTGAAGAAACTAGGTGGCAATGTAAGCGCATCGTTAAACTAGCCCAAATGCGCATCGAAGGTACCTTTTCGCTTTTGTCGACCATCTTCTGCACAATGCGTTCCACGCTCTCGAATTCGGGACACATGCTGGTGCAAGTGCCAATGGGGGTGATGGCTTGATTCAACGAGGTGGGCTGGTTGGGGTCCGCCATCTGTCCGTCCTTGATGGCCTTCTGTCGTTGTTTCGCCCGGTCGACTTTGAGCTGTAGTATTTGTGAGACCGTCCGTCACGCACGGCCGCAAGTTTGCTAGGGAGGGGTTTGCTGACCTGCTCGTAGCGCTCTTGGTAATGATTTAGGACCGAAGCATCCTCCACAGGCACGGATCCTCCTGTTCCTCCACCCATGCTGTTCGCTTGCAACGATTTAGGCGTACCATTGGCGCCATTGGACGTCGTGATGCTATTGGTGACACCGGGAAAGGAAGGCTTTTGCTGCGCAGGCTGTCCGCCAAAGAGGGTAGAGAACGATTTCTTCTGGTTCAACTGAGCGAACGGCGAATTAACCGAACCTGACGTAGATTGCCCAGTAACAGTGTGCGATGTGCTGGTGGTCGACTCAGAAACAGCAGCGCCGCGGCCTCGAGCCGCGCGCGTACCGGATCCTCGCCCACGGCCACGAAACTTCGATTGCTGCGGGGTATTGGAAGTCTTGGTCTGAAAGGGCGCCGAGCGCGCATTGAGTGTGCTGCCGCGCCCGCGTCCAGGCGTGCCTGTCGCCCCGGCTCTCTGGCCACGGCCAGCAAACGGGTTGAACGGGGTGGCCATCCTGTCCGCGGCAGCGGAAGAGAGTGGACAGGCCGCCTCCTTCCGTTCTAACACTCCACCTTGCAAAATACCTTCAGTGCGTGTTGTCCTTGGGTTGTTTCCGATGGCAAAATTCCGAACGGGAATGGGTCCGGATGACGGGATTGAAGGTAGAGAGATCTGAAGCGCTGTTTGATCGAAAACAATTCGCCGAGGCGAAGATAGAAAAGTCAGCCCATGCTGTTTAAACCAGGCAGCTCGTGTTTCCAACGGGTCGCAGTGACGAAGGGTGGGAGGAGGGGAAAGGAGAGGTCGAGGACGAGCAAGAACAGAGCGGAGAGGGAAAGCAAAATCGAGCACGGAATGAGATGAGGCAATTGCAGTACCTGGAACGTAATCGGGGGCAGTTACTCTTCGATGCGAACGGAGAAATTCCTGCGGATGAGTTCTTTCAGAGTCGGCGTTGGTCGCGTTGCGACTGTTAGGGGCGGTCGAGACGCACGAGACGCACGTCAGGTGACGGTAACGACGCGCCCGGTCGTGTTGGAAGCGACAAGGAGATAGGCGAAGCGCGACTGGGATGGATGACCACCATCCACTGGAGACGGGTGAGATGCGGGTGGTTGAAAGCGACGTTGTTGAAGGGAACGACGATGTTAGGCTGGTTCGAGCTTACGGGCTCCACTTATGGTTAGCCGCGCGCCAGCGCTTATTGTTGGACTATGCAATGGAAAATTGAAGTGACAATAGGACCATTTCTACGAATCATAAGGAAAAAGACATTCCCAGAAACAAATTCGTTGTCATAAATATCTACTAGACAATAATTTATCCACAAAGCCTACTCGGAGGATCCCGAGAAAAGCATGTATATGTTCAACAAGAAGAGGATACAAACAGGACTCCCAACGAAAGACAAGTAAACAGCGAGCTGTCTTTACTTCAGAGGCTGAAGATCAAGGACATACCACCGTCAAGCAATAATAAAAAGCAATCAAAAGGGAAGGCCTCCCAAGGTATTTTGAAAGGAAGAAGAAGAAGAGGGGAAAAAAGAAAGAAGAATCTGCCCAGCACCTCTTTACGACACCGTCCGTTTTTTATCCCGCACAGAGAAACAAAAAACTCCCCGACCCAGGCCGCTGTATGAGCGCAAAAGCTTGTCGAGTTAATCAGAGCCATCAGTCATATATATTCGTAAGATCCATGCCACATTTTCGGAGTCGCTTCGTTCATTGCCTGTCAATCGGGCTCAGCCCGTCCGTTGACGTATTTTCTTTCTCTTTTTTTTTTTTTTTTTTTTGTGGTTCGTTTTCACGCCTGATGAGACAGCGGCAGCCCGTGGGGATGCCCTAGGGAGCCCGTACGGAAGGGCAGCGCTCTTTGGTCCATGGGAGCATGAGCGTGATGCGACGACATGTCGTGCAGTTGGGCAGGCGAGGCCATGGACATGTGGTAGGGCATTGCCGGTGGGGGAAGTGCATGGCCGGAGCCCGGTGTCCCATAGTCGATGGGGCTGAAAATGTTCTGGCGGAAAGTCGGTGTCGTCCACGAATCATACTGGCCGGTGCGCTGAAGCTCAGGCGTGGAATTTGGGAAGGGATTGGAGGCAGGATAGTCGAAGACAGATGTCTCGTGCGGGCTGATCATCTCCGCACTCACCGGAGTGCTGAGCATGGCCTGGGACGAGAAGGAGTCCGCGTAATGGGGAGGCGTGGTGTAGAAGGCACGATCTTGTCGGCCAGCGCTCTCGAAATTTAGCGGCTCTGGGACAGAGAAGAGATGGCGGTCACTACCCGGGATATGACGAGATGACATGGTATCAATTTGTGTTGCGAGCGGTGCAGATACCTGCTCGACCGATGACGCCGGCGTCAACAGCCCTTCTTCGACATGCTCTGGCTCTTCGATGGCGGAAGAGGGAGCCTCGCCGGACTCGTCATCTTCATCACCCTTGGGGCTAGGTCCACGGTTCATGACATAGACAACCATGTTGGCATCTGAGCACAGATTAGTCTAGGCTCATGGCGAGCAACCGCGTTGTACATACCAACTTCACCGCGCTCAAAGCGCTCCTCCATCTTTCGCACCCGGAGGATCTCATAGATGATTTCGACATGCGAAGGGTGCTTCAGGCTGCGCTTGGTGTCGCCGGCGACTTCCTTCAATTTGTCGGCAGTAATACCATGGTTGCCGAGCTTGCGGACAATGTGAAGCAGAAGCTCAATGCGATCTATCTTTACGTTAGACTGCGCCGAGTTGCGGGTAGAAAGGGGAAGACATACACTCTTTCCTCAAGTGGTCGGGCTCCTTGTGCATAACACCCGGGGGCCACCATTCGGGCTTGGTCTTCTCAGGATCGCCCGTTGTTCCGGGAGCCGATCCTGGTGGAGGCTTACCTCCGTTATAAGGGTGCCTCACCTGCTTGCGAGGTTCGATGAACTTGATAAAGGCCTTGGCAACCATGCGGCAATTGAGCTGCTGGAAGTGCTTGAGTGCGCCCTCGTAGTATCCGAGGACCTTTTGGGTGTCACCGATGCGAAGGGGAACCATCTCTGACGATCCATGAGAGGGAAAGTCCTCATTATCGGATGCCTGCTCAGGCAGACGGTCATCAGAGGGAGAGGAGCTGTGGAAATCTCCCTTGCGGCGCCTAACCCGACGAGGTGATGCTTCCAAGGTGCCTGTTTGAGCAGTCATGTTAGCCAGAGACTCTGAAACAGTGAGACTCCTGGGGTTGCACTTACGGCGAACAGGCTGTTGGTAACCAATTCGTTCACCGAGGATTTCTAGGAAATTCTGGCGGACCTCTGGGGTGAAGACGGTCGAGTTCTGCTCCTTGATGGAGGCAGACTCGTCAACCTTCAACTTGCCCTCATGATCGAGGTAGATGAGAGCGTAGTGAGCATAGGGAAGACGAAATGATGGGCGCGAAGAAGCCATCATGGGCTGCAAGTGTTGGGTGGTTAGTTTCAGTAGTTCAGAGCGTGTCCTCAAGGCAGACTCACTGGAGCAACGTCCCAGCCAGGTGGGCCGTCCTGGAGGGCAGAGGCAGACCGCTTCATGCCTGCTGCGGGAGATGATTTACTGAAAACCATATTGGTGCTGGACCAGAAGAGATGCTCGTTGGCGATCTCTAGATCTGTGGCAGGACTGAAATGGATGGAGAGGCGATAATCATCAACCAAGGCGATACGGCCTCGAGAAAAACGCCGTTCTCTTTATAGAACAGAGATCCACTGGCGGGGGATGGAGCAGGTTTAGACTTGCTCTGGTGTACTTTGCAATGCCTAATGGCTGGTAGTCAGCATTCTGATACTCGGCGGCTTCCCAGGGACGACGGCCCGTTGCGACAAACGGGACGGGACGCGGGGGTCACATACAAGGCTGGACAGGGAGACTGCAGCGAGATGGATATTCGCAACCGACGACAGCAATGCAGGAACAAGAGAGAGAGAGAGCGCTCCACTGGTTTGTGATCCCAAAATCCTAGTAGGTGGTACAAAGTCGGGATGGAATAGTTGGATACGCAATTGCCCCAAACAAAGAGGAACCAGAACAGCGGGTCAGATGGAGGGACAAGAATTTAAGAGGATGGACCAGGGAGGAGAGGGGATGGGATCTGGGATTTAAAATAGAGATCGAATCTAGGCCGGGTAGAACAAAAGCACAACCCAGAAAACACTGTGCCACCGCCAGCATGGGTGATCCTTGAGCTTCCTGATCGAAATGCAGCATCATGCAGCCCGACTGGCTTGTCCCGATCGAGCATTGATCCCTGTTCGACTATTTTGCAGATCTTACTTGACATTACAGTTTGACAAGTCCTGCTGGGTCCCTAGTGTCATAAACCCCACCGACCGGGGCGGACGGCTTCCGGAACGCCATGGACTGTCACTTGCTCTAGACTGTCCCTTGATCATCTCGCATCAAGCGCCTCCATTGGCCCACATAGTCCGCATAGTTCCTCGGCTTTCTTTTCTACCGGGATGGTTTCGTTGTTTGGGGGGTGTTGTTTAACCCTAGGAGGAGGGCAAACTCGCCTCTCCGCTGCTTGACGGCATCTGCAATCTGTAGCCTACATAGACTAGACAGTCAGGCACAGCCATTTTTCTTTTTTTAAAAAAAATATATTTATCCTTGGCCGCACAGGCCCTGCCTTGCGTCCGGAAAGGACCCACGGCCACGCCGTGTGGATAAATGTGGGTGCTATTCTTGCCATCGCAGATCGGTCCTCAGCATTCGGAGATTCCATATGATGAGAGGCATTGATTCGTCTCTGGGCGGATAATCTGGGGGAGGGTACTCCGCCGCATATTGCTATCACTGGCCCCAGCCATTCTTCGTGATCGGATCTGGCCGTAATGTGCCCCGGCGCTAGTTTGCAGTGGCCACCACCAATGAGACTCGCCTGGCGCCCCCCTGAGCGACTGAGCGAATCAAAGCGGGTGCGCGGCCCATGATCCTGGATCCTGGTATAATCTCAAGATAGAAGTGGCTATAAGGCTTTCTTCAGCTTCTGTCAGTTAACTGGTCATGCCGATCAGCGCTCTCAGAGCCTCTAACATGACAGACCCCGGGGTTTCAGCTGATCCAGGAGCAACTAACTACCCCATTGAACCCCTGAGGTCAGACCTCCCGAGGAATATAGACGAGGAGATAGAAAAAGTACAAGCAAATCAGAAGACATCGGGCGTAAGCGATGGACACTAGCTACGGAGCGAGTATCCGTAGGCGCGAATAGATAGAAGAAAAGGAGAAGGCAGTGCGCTCTAACACAGATCGAGACGCCTGAATCAATTCGCCTTCTGGCGGATCAGAAGCCGGGTCACCAATGGATCGAGTCCCTCATCCAAGGCCGAGTTAGCCGCCGTACCTTTGCTCTGCACTGATCCACCTTCCGCTGCCCGGCTGACAACAATTTCGCCGAGGTCAAAGCGAATACTGCCCCTGGGTCTGTGCTGGATGAAAGAGTCCCGGCAAAATGAAACCCAGACCCAAGAGACTGTCACCGCGTTAATCTCCCGTCCCGGGGTGAGGCTGGGTTGGAGGCTTGCGAGGGTAGCAAGGCAACTGGCCCAACGCCACATCGGGAACACTAGTCAAAATGTGATGTCGACATGCACCCGCCAGACACCGGATGTCTGGTATCAGCGAACCTTGTGTCCGTCTGATCGCGAGGCTAGCCCCTCCTGAAGTTCGTGCATGCGACGCTATACCTCTGAAAGACGATCAGTAGACCCATGGTAATGATTTAGGGTTAGGTTGCGGGTGCAGGGCAGATCGCGTTTGAGTATTTGTCATTGTCAAGAATTTCCGATCAGGATCCATTCTATACTCCGCATAACCGGACTAATTATCCAACAAACACACTAACAACGACGGTCTGACACCGGACCATGCCATATCCAATGGGGCCAATCCTCCTTGTTTGACATTTCTTTGTGTTCGACCGTTCTTGCCGCCCCGAATTGCTTTTTCGGGTATTATTGTAAGTGTCAGGCCCGCCGTTGGGATATGACAGCGGCCCAACAAACAAATTAAACAACGGAGACGTGGATGGTCCATCATATTTACGCCATACCACCAGCGGGGTGAAAGGGCGATCATTTGCTTTTCAAGTAAGCCCACGGGGATTAAACTGATTTGCTTCCAATAGTAGTGAACCGTGCATTCCGCTCTGACCCCTGCCACACTATTGTTATTAAAGAGCGCAAGCAAGCAAGCAAAGAACTGCAACGTGGTATGGTTCAAGCTTCTCGAGGCCACGACCGCTACAGGGGGCTATGACAGGGCCTGGCAGCTAGATGGCAGGGTTGGTCTGCATGTACCCATGCAGAGAAGCGCAATACAGTCCAGGAAGAATACCGTTGTGGTTCCCGACAATCCCAATAAACACTTGATGGCAGGGCTTGGCGACCGGGTTCGAAGTGGATCGTCGTGGGCAAACACAGGGTTGCAGATGGCCGTCGCCCATAACAGCACCAGTTATTACCCGGTCGGCCGCTTTTGCCGCCATGGACAGAAAATAGAAGGGATCGCGGAGAAGTTCGGAGATCAAAGTCACCCTGAAACTCGAGAATGCAGCTTGGCGTTGAAGAATAGCATGTTATAGTGCCCTATAGTTCCTCCAAGCTATATTCCAAATAGGCGTTATGACAGGTGAGCATTGACACTTGGGTGATATGGTATGTGGGGGCCGGAGCCCCCTATTTCCTTGGTAATGTCTGAAACTGCTGCATAAAATCCTCAATTGGGTAAACTGAGAAATTTCAATTTCGCCGTGGATCTGCAAGCGGTGTCTATGCCCGAGTCACTCTCCACTTCTGGAACGCTCGAGAATTTGCAGGTTGATCATACTCTGTGGGGACTGTATACATAAAGCAGGGCCAGGTACTTTGGGAGAATTGCTTCATCAATTTTTTGTCATAATATTAGAACTCGTATTGATCGAGAGACGGCTGGCGAGGCCGACGTCTGTTCGCAAGACATTCGCCAGAAACCAATAGTGTACGCAATTTTCTACGGCGCACTGGCATCAACAGTCAAAAGTACGGAGGGCGGGTTGCTCTCATGACCAATCGATCGGATGGTTAGGGGGGGGAAGAAGGCAGAGAAGGGAAACATGCCAATGTTCTCGTCGTATTCCACCAAATGTCATATACTTTATTTGAATCTTCGGGATATCAAAGCGCAAGCCAGTGCACAGTCCAATGGGGGGGCGAACAGCTGCAGGCACGATCGATCAATGACGCACAGCGATCGAACGCTCATCGGACCGACAAACACTGGCATTGCGTCATGCAGCCGCCCTTGTTCGGGGGATGGAGCAGCCGAACCCGTAAGTGTCTAGCCGAGGGCCAGGGGTTCAGGGTTCATGGTCACCTGGGCTGATGCGCGTAGTGGTAGTCCCAGCTCACGCTTGTACTTTGGTTCTAGGGACTGTGGTTGGCTGACGAGCAGGGCTTCAAGCCTAGACCCCGCCCCAGTCTTGGGGGGGCGGCCCGGGGATGGCGGTCCGGCAGACTAAAGCTGTCAACCTCCACTTAGGGCATAGTGTCATGGGGTCCGGTCCCAATGGGAAGGTCAAGGTTGGCAATCATTCGAAAGACTGGCCAGGCACCATTTGGATGGCGAGCTGTTTCAGTTAGCGATTGGAGGCGTTTGGCCGATTGACCGTATATGGAGGAGGGGAACGATGTAAAGGGGCAAGAACAATGAGTTAGTTGTCTTCCAGAAAAAGCGTCGTTGTGTTGCGTTGGGCCTGGGACGGGCCGAGTATGTACCGCATGTCTCGCCTTTTGGGTAGTAAGCCCTAACCTAACGACAGGACCTCTCCACACTTGGTCACTACCCGCTCCCTTCCCGGCGCTGGTGCTTGCATGCAGTCTTGCCGCCATAGTGGAGTGGCCTGCTTCGGAATCTACATAGTCGTACAGCAGCAGATGCAAGATTGGTTTGCAGTTCTTCAAGGCAAAGGCACGGCGTTCCTAGAGGCCAATGACAGCCTGAAGGATGCTGCTAGTCTCGCACAGCATACCTTCTTTCAACAAAATACCCGATAGCTACAAATACCACCTTCCAGACGGGCCTCTCGGCGCCGCATTGTCCGCTCTTGCCAAAAATTCGATATAACATCAATATGATTAATTCTCTACTGTAATTCAGCAAGTCGTTCTCGTCCTTGTCCCATTGCATTTCGATGTGGGGTCTCTCGTCAAGTGGAGCCAGAGTCCAAGGATCGCCTGGCCTAGTAGATCTAAGGCAACCAATAGCTCCAACTTTGTGGTGCCTCGCACAGAGAACAGCGGAATCTTTTTCCGATAGTAACGTGGCCATTAATTTGCTCGCATCGTGTGTTGCACGTCAACCACGCGAGTCGGAGTATTAAACATCAAATCGATACTCATTTCCACCAAATCGAAATTGGCAGAGACAACTGAAAAAGGAACGGTTTGTGATAAAATCATGCCCTGCACATCAGCGAGGATCACTTACCCAGCTACCAGGATACGATCGATGGGGGTGTGGCTTGACTCGTCCCGGGGCAGTGGGCGCCCTGAGCACACCGCCACATTTACACTTTGACCTCGCCTTC